TGGACTGTATTGACCTGTTCACCTTGTGATGTTGGATGCCGGCTATACACCATTAGTGGCCCCCTACTGTTGCATTAGGTTTTCAATTTTACCGGTCAAGTTAAACTCCAAGATGCGATTCTCATGGTGTGCAGCAACAAACAAAAAAATAATAAAATGATGAAGATATAAGGTGACTTTGATTTGTGACAGCTTTAAAGAAACTATGTCAAGACTGTTGGAAGTTGTTACAGCAGTGAACTCAACAACATTTCAAATTGTAATGTGAATGCATATAAATCAACACCTAAAAGGAATACTAGCAGTGTTTTCTTGTAAAAAAATAACCCCAGTCCTCAGTTATCAAGAGGCACCAAGTAGTTAAACAATTAAAGACTGTAATTTTGAGTGGGGAGGGGAACAAAACAAAACTGAACCAAAAAACCAAAAAAAATCAAACAATGCAAACACAATTTTCAAACTCATCACTTTGATTGAACTTATGAAAAGACTTTTTTTTATCATTTACTATCCACAAAGATTTGAGTATGGGCAATTCCAGCATCACGGACATTAGAAATCAGACATTGTTTTGTACTTTAAGAGCTTAAAGGGAACATACAACATTTGCAAACATCAAAAAATAAAGCTACCTAATCATTTTGAAATATCTTGCTGGACTGTTAGTGAATGACAGTGTAAAGCATCCTGTAAAATCATGGCACCTGGTATACTGTCATTTTCAAGAAAAGTGGTATTTTTGTATCAATTTCCAACGCTGGTCGGCTGACCAGCGTTGGAAAAAAACTGGCTTTTTTTCAAATACTGGCCCCAATTGACCATCGCACTTGTTTGCAATTGATTACACACCTATGAACGGGTACAAGCCAGCTAGACTGGTTCCCTGACCTTACAATTCCCCAATGTATGTAAACTGCTCTGTTTCTTCTTATATGGAGTCAGGGAACCAGACTACAGGAAAATGATTGTTTTTCTTGGTTTTTATAGCATTTTCGAACCCAAAACCTTAAAAAAGTCAGTGTAACTATATTTGCTATATATTTCCAACCCCCCAATTCCATCCATTTCTGAAAATTACAGCAAAAGCAAATGATGTATATTCCCTTTAAGGAACAGACATGAAAATGTATTTTCAAATCTTATACATCCATCATCTAATAATGGTCAAGGATATTACAGACTAGGAGTTTTGGATCATTTCTCTGAATCAGTAAGCATGATATGGTTAATTGGCTCTGTCGCAACCATTTTTTTTACATTTTCTTAAACACTGGGATTGATACATTAATACAAGAAACACTTTCAAAATCAGGATTTGACAAAAAAGTGGATTTTCTTATTTCTCTTAGGTTGAATTTTCATTACCTTTCACGTTTTATTAGCTATTCAGTTTTTAAAATGTGTTTTGGCGCTGCCATACCCTTCAAAGCATGGAAAGGATTACTTTAATACACTTCCAAATTCATATGGCTTCTGTCATACATTCATGTGTGATCATTCTTTGGAAATTCATCACTCACACCCATGATGGGATGACTTTACAGCTTGCTTGTTTAGCTTTTTGGAGATGACGTCCCAAGTAATAAGCCAAAAAGCCAGCCTGACTCGCCGGCCAAAATAGCCTTGTGATGCCAGCCCGTGCTGACAGGATGTGCTGACTAGGATGCTGGGTTTGTCTATGGTGATAATTGAATTGGTTTGACCGTCCCTGGAGGATAGATGTTAAACTGGAATTTCCAACCATGCCTTGTGCACATTGATAAGATATCTGTGTTATTGAAATGCCACTGTATACAAAAAAGTTCATGATAAGACTAGAGTCCCAGCCAAGTTTTACTGTGTGTTGTTTGACCAGCAAATAACTAGTTATACCAAGAACTGATTACTCACATTTCATGTTTTACTACTTATGAGCAGTAAAAAAGTTGGGAGTCATTATGAGGTCAGAGAACAACATGGACCATTGTAATACAACACAAACACTTAACATATGGAATAAAATCACTGATCTCTATGTAAACAAAACTGGATAGCTCGTTGGCCGTTCTGAGCTATTCAAAAAAGCAAAGCTACGCACAGGTTCTAGATCCCTCCATTCGAAAATGGGAAGTCAACCAGCCTCAACCACTCCCATTGTTTAAAATTATTTTTTAAAATAGAGTCGCTTATAAACTAAGAAACGTTTTTTCTCAAACAGAAATTAGATGTCTTTCTTTACAAATCTATCGTTCTTGGAGTGGTGATATTGTGGATGGTGACTTCACTTCTAACAGCCAATGGGCGATCTAGATTTTATTGAGATCAGTGAATAAAATCTTAAATGGTTTCACAAGAAATGCAGGATACCATTTTCATTGGTATTCACTTGGATGACTTTTGACCTTGTCTGCCTTTTTGTGTGTGTGCATGGCCACATCTATGTCAATATATAACAGCCAGCACATCATGATTGTCGCTGTGACCTCTGACTCATGATCAACTAATTTAAATATTAACACATGCACAAGTTGCAAAACAAGACCAATCAGACTACCGGAAAGTAGAATAATCATGGCACAGAGCAACCAATACAATTTCAGAAGCCTGGAAGGTACTGCCTGTCTTCATCTTCTGGTCAGTGACCCCCAATAAATGATTCATCCACAGCAAACATTAGTGCAGATCAGTTACTTGTTGTCTGGGTCAGCTGTTTAAAGGTCAAACCCTCTTACTTGATGATCCACTGGTACAAATGCCACTTTCTGATCATAGGTTCTGACTTCCGATATAGACCAATCCCAGGCTATGGCCCCCTTCAATGGCGAAGAATTATGCTTGCTTTTGTTCAGATAATCTGTCAGAGAACAGTTGCTTTGTACAATAGCATGCACAGTGGTTGCGCCATTGAAAGGGGCCTCCCAAATATACTGTCACATGCCCGGATTTGTCGAGAGTAGAAATGACGTCATTGTTACATACGTACACTTAGACCATGGTCCAAGCGTGGAACTTAAGTTTTCAAAGCTCTGTTGTCCAATTTAAATTAAAAGATGGGAAATATTCAAGTTTTCCCTTGGCTACTGAATAATCTGCAGAGTAAGTTTCAATTTCAAAGGTGTATATCATTTGATGAAAAGGAACCCTTTTAAATTGTTTAGAAATACAGCTATACAGGAAATACATTTAATTCTTTTCGAGGACGATTCTTTGAACTATTGAAGGAAGAATCTTGGTTCTCTGGTTTCAAAATTGTTCACAACGCAGCGCTACTACTCATTTCGTGATTTTTTGTTTCGTATCAGGAATCTGTTACCAGAAGTTATTCTGCACGTAGACCAGTGATAAGTTATTGCACTGTAACTTTAAAAATGTCGTGAAGTAAAAGTCAGTGCACTGTATGGAAGGATATTGCATAACTGGTGCTGATAGCCTTGGTGTACTGCAATATCATGATTGGTATTATCAGTTATTTTTTTGGCAAAGTCACTTTTACTTGGACAGAATAAAAGCAGAAGTAGCTAGCCCACACCTCTCTACAGACCACTGGCAACCGTTCTTGGTGCAAATCATTGTGGCTAGGGCCTGTCTGTCCTCACCAGCAAGATACATGTGGAAGCACAATTATCCTGTCTTCACTGGAGCATGCACAGCCTTTTTATAACCATCGATTTGCATATGTACCCATTGTTGCTGCATAACAATAGGTAGGTTACACATGATGACCACTGGGGTTTTTTAAGGGGAAAACTTTTGAAAACACGTCAATGGAGATTTTTTTCCTTTAAAATTTAGAAGTTTGTAGGAACCACTGAATATAATTTAACTTGGTTCCGCGTGTGCGCGTGTTGAGGTTTTGATTCCTGTAATTCGACACCCCACTGAAGTGCCTATTTTAAGTTCAAAATGCGTGATATGCATTGAATCTGTCTGTATTTCCTTGTGGGAATTCATTGCTGCCCCCCTTTTTTTGTTATTCAAGATACTACTGTACATATGTTCACATCCAGACGATAGTTTTCGTTTCACTGATCCAATGACATGTTCTGTATAAAAAAAAACTGGGGAAAAACAGCAATTTTTCCCCGTTTTCAACATACATAATTTATATTTAGATATTTTTTACATGTATTTAAATCTTGATTTCCTGCCTAGCGTTATATTTCTCAGTTATGTACATGTACTGCTGTGCTACTTGTACTGTCTCCTCAGGAGTTCAGGTTAAATTGTGAAACTAACTTTTTAACTGTGAAAGAATAAATAACCTCATTCATTCCACTGAAGATGTACATGTTACTGATGTAGGTGCTAAGTATTTGGCTACGGATAGAATACAGGCATGTAAGTACTATTAGTAGTCTAGAAGTTGTAAGTTTCCATCCAAATTTTGTCTGCATACTGTACGTTTTAAGTGTTGAAGTCAGAAACAGTCATCACTGTACCTGTTGCACACCTTGTTTTTATATCACCGACAGAGTGCAACCTTTATAATATCTCAAAATCCAGTGGGCCGAACTTTGGTACGAGGCGCCCGTGCCACGCATGAGCCAGCACCTCACCCCTAAACACCTCTGCAACCCTTGCCACAAACATGGCATGCAACGCCCATTGAATCATTCGAACCCCCAATTCAAATGGGACTTTGCCTCACAATGGCCTCCCAACTGTAAAGAGATCAGAATGACCCTGTGTGTTGTTATGTTAAAATTTGCATGATAATCAGCTTACAAGTTGGCCCGTTGAGACTGACTGTGCTCCAAAAGGGGAGGAATTATATTTATTCCAAAACGATGGCAGTGTTTTTAAGTGTTAATTTACTAATATGCGTTTGTAAATTTTATCCAAGGTATCACTGTTTATGACTGTTATTTGGGTGCTGTTTACTGTGCCTGCTGTTTTAAGACCCGCCCATAAACTGTTGCATTTGCTTTAAACAAAATGTACAATACCCCTGCTGTCCACAATGGATCAGCCCAATTGTGTTGGTGATGTGTACAGATGTGATGAGTGAATGGGCTGTGTATACATGGCTTGCCAAAGGTTTGCTTTCGAAACAGCCAAGCTTGTTGTAGTCTAGTGGAACCAGTGCCTTGGTCGTCTGTAACTGATGGAATTTTAACATTTACATCCCGTAGTTTTCCTTGGATTTATACTGGAATATTACTGGGGGACTATATTCTTAAAAGCAATAAGGTGAGTTGGCTGGGTGATGGTGTTTAAATGGTTCAATTTTAGCCAATCAATGATGATAATTAGTGCAGGCTAGTAATTGAAAGGTTAGAATGCTGCAGTTAGTAATGCTTGTGTAAAGTGCATTGGATTTGTACTACGTCATGGTTAGCTCTGGTCATGCTGGTGTGTGTCGCGTGAGTGAAGCTCTACAGTTGTATGTACATGTACATAGTACATAAATTAGTGAAGCATCCCTTTAACTTCAAGTGTGGATTAGCTGATCTGAAATGTTTTGGGTAAATAGGATTCAGATAACCTCATAATTATTCTGTAAACTGGAAATATAAAAACCATCTTTAATGTGAACTGGAAACACTACACTAGCATGACTAGTAAAATAAATAGTAGTATTAAAGCATGGTATGGTAAGTGAGTTTACCTTTACGGTTTGCAAATCTTGCCAGTTGATTCTGTCTAACGTAAAGGTTAAACTTATGAAAAATTTGTCGTGTTGGTTGAAATTTTGATTGGGAAAACACAAGTTATATGTGTTGAAATCTCCCGCGCGCGAGTGTCTCAGCTTGCACACATTGTGGAAGATACATGATTTAGAGACCACGTGTTGTAGAGAATGTTTACCTGTGGGTGACTGGTGTTCCACTCTGTGTTCGTGGGTGACCTACCGGTACATGTACAGCTTGTCCAGCATGGTTCGCGTGGATAGGGTTGGTTGTTCCAGGAAGGAAGCGTGTACGTGTGCCGATTGTTGAATTCATTGAATTATGGAATCAGCCATCAGCTAATGGTAAAGACAGGCGTGGGGCCAAATTTTGGAACCCGGAAGAGTCCGAAGCACACGCACAGTTTTTCCTGCATGTAGTCCCGGATTCTGACTGTTTAGTTTGTGTACAAAATACAATGTAAATGTGATGTATTGAGTGTGGATTTACACTTTACCTGATGCACCTCCAAACCTATTTGAGCAGTGTGCAGCATATAGTGAGTACACATATGTGATAGCAGTGTCACACTACATATGTCAACAAGTGTAAGTACAAGTACATGTACTCGGACTTAAAATTTTCTTTGGATTGTTTCATTTGCCAAACGAGTAGGAACAAATAGCAGCTTGAGCACCGTTAATGGTGGATAAGTGCGCTTTGTAAGAAACACAATGTTATTAATAGTGTGTCTTACTTGCTGTCCAGTATTTGATTGGTCAGTCTTTTCCCATTTATTGTTAACATGAACTCCCTGAATCCCCCTTTAAAAGTAGGCAATCCTCAAGAGTCCCCAGGAAGAAATTAATCCAGTCACATTTGGGCAAATTTATTACGAGGAGACTGTTTTTTTTTAAGACTCGGGGACTCTTCTGCCCATAGCCTTACTTTTCCAGGATCACCAGAGGCCTAAACAGCTGTTGTCGCTGCGTCAGAAAGAGTTGGGGTCTCCGCTTGGAAACAGCCCAAGCCAGGTGCGGGAACAAGGTTCAAGGCATTGTCACTGCTAAGATGGAGAATGCTGCCTTTTGTTACTGTCATGTGCCTGATGAAAAGTTGGAATGGTTTTTCACTTGGCAAAACAGATCCATCGGTCCTTCCTTCGTTTTGTTTTGAAGCGGAGTTTAACTGGCAGTGGCGCCGTCCGGGAAGGATGGGACTGCGGAGCTGGTTTGTCCATTGCCATGTGTCGCCAGTTGTTACACTGACAGTCGGTGCTTGGCAGGAACTTCTAGCAAATTCAAGTGATCGTCTGGAGTGTGCGGAGTAGACAGGTTACAAAACACTTAATCCTTTTTAAACCAGGGATTGCCGGAATATGATGCATGAATCATCCATACAACTCTGCATACAGACTCTGAAGCCTTTTAACATTAAAAAGTTTTAAGCGCAAAAGTTTTATTCTGTTTGTACATGTCAAGAAATGTACATGAGAAGTGGTACACTTTTCTCCAAGATCATTTGTAGCTCAAGTGCCCATGTTGCCTTGTTCCCATCGGATTCTGTTTAATTTTTTTTGGTTTAAATCCATTGTGGAATTTATTTTCCTGATGAAAAATTTATTACGACCTTGATAAAGTTTGATACATAGGCCTTCATCATAGAGCCTACATGAAGCTGCTCTATGATGGTACATGTACATGTGAGTGCCAGTACATTTCGTAGGACTTGCTTGGTACACGTACATGTATAATCGAAAGATTACGAAGATCATAAAAGAGGATCACAGGATTAAGCAAGCATTGTTGAACTGACCTCAAGGCTCAACAGGTTTGGTTTACAAATTTAACAAGAAAAAACACCTTCGGAAAAACGTACACATGTAAGCCTGTTATAAAAACAATGAGAAAATTGGCTTCACTGTAGAAAAATTCAGCGAATTAAAAAATTCATTGTTGGCCAAACTCTATCCCCAAGAGATTCATTGTTGGCCAAACTCTATCCCCAAGAGAAGCAGTGAGTTGGTGAGGGAATTGAGCCAACAAGAAAACCTGACCCCGCAGATCGCCATCAACGGCAGATTGGGTGAACCGACAACTGACAAGCTTTGGAAATGGCCTGTGAAGTTGCAGATAGGAACGATGTGAGAACGGCACTGTACAACTCAAAAAATCCAATTTCCGAATGTATTTCCTCATAGTTTAAAAGTGAAACACAAACCTTTGAATTTCGTCAGCGTGAGGTTTATAGCTCCATAAATCACAGGGAACCAAATCTATAGTGAAGTACTATCCATGCATCAGTAGACGTGCGTCACAATGTGCCTGTGTTTCACTCAAGGATACGTGCAGTGTTGTGACAGTCGTAAATGTGGAGGTTCTTTCAGGGGGAAAACATTTTTACAAGTGAACAAATGCAGACGTATTACCCTTAACAACGTGTTTTGCAAGTCAGTATAATTTACTGGAAAGGTTGAGGGGAATTTACATTGATTGTTTCCATGTCCTAAATTTAGATTTGAACAGGAAAACAAAATGGTTAGAAACCAACAGAATGGTCAGAAACCTTTTGTTTTGTTCATACAGCATGACACAATCGCTGCAATGCAGTTCCCATTGATCCGACATGTGAATTGGTTCATAAGACATCTTGTGATGTGAACTTTTCCAATTACTTTTCTGTGTTCAGTTGGTTATCAATTAAGCCAATATTTTTGAAGTGAACTTTTTCTCAAATTGGTGTGAATGTGCATAGATACATTGTACATATTGCCATTTAATTTGTGAGTCAAAATGAAGAAAAAAAACTAGAGTAATGAGTGCTTTTAAATCTCAGCCCGATTAATCAGCATGCTCTCCAGCCGGCAGTTGTTGCTTCAACCAGACTCTTCCTAATTCTGCATCAGTCATCTACCACTGAAACCAACAGACCCAGCATCCCAGCAGGGTTTAGACTGGGCCATCAGCATGGTTGGGCCTCCCACAGGAAACCCTGTTGGAATTGAGGCATGCCCCCCTGAGAGAGGCAGGAAACCAATCCCCATCAACATCTCCCACACAGATGTGGTCTCATAATGCGGCCTGGAATTACAAGTATTATTTCCTCCACTTATTCATAATTGCCGAGAATAATACTTCGTGTACATGTATGCATATATATAATTTTGCTTCTGTTCCCTACATACCGTACATGTATAGAAAGATACCTTATGATATACATCTTTGACTTGAGCAAGCCAAGTACATGAACATATAAATGTTGGGCTTTCGAAATTCGATATGTATCCATATGTACATGTATGTGTCACCTTTTCCCCAATTTTTTTTGTCAAATTTGAATAATCCACAAAGGGACAGTTTTTATTACATTGAAATGGGATTCATCAAATTCATGTCGAAATTCAATAATTTTCCTAGAAAATTCTGCAACTGCATTTGAACTTTATGGTACAATACGTGCACGTGCACACATCATGTATTTTATTTCGGTGTGACATTTGTAAAGAGCCAATTCACCCAACGACACTCTGTCACGCTTGGCTAAGGTTTGCATCAGGTTAACTGGATGATATATTATCACACCAGACAGCCGTACCTGCTGTTTTGTCACAGAAGGCAGTGCCCAGGCTATCCATAATTTTTTTTCCGTTGATTGATAAGCATAAGGACAAAAAACTAAGTCACAAATCCTCCAAAAAAAATCCACACAGGGACTGATTGATAACAATAAAATCTACATAAAAAACCTAGATCAGAAAATTTGACAAGCTTGAGTGTCTGAGTTCCCATTTCATTCAGGCCAAAAAAAAGTAAACTCAAATCCCACTATTTTATGAGGTTTCCATAGAGACCAACCAAAGCTTCATCAAGTTCAGAAAAAAAAGGAGTTTGTTGGCACACCATCAATTATTCCTGTTTGCCCATTCCAATGTCTGTCAGCAGCTAGCTTTAGTTACCCAGCGGTCTAGACCTCTTTGGGACTTTTTTTTTTTTGGCCAGCCTTGTGGTCAGTGGGATCCAAAGGTCACGCTGGGCTTATGGTCATTATTCCTCCATGTTATTACTGGATGCAGACTGGTCCTGTTGCCCTTGTACAAACTGGTCCAGGAGGTCACTTTTATCAACAGCCATGAAGTTTTTTTGTTCAGTGATACCATCCTGACCATTGAATTCGTGATGGAGAATTGGCGGTCAGATTCGTGTGAACCTGCGGGAGTTCGTTTCCTGCATCGGTCGCTTTGTGTTTTGACAGGGTCAGTTCAAGGGACTTTTTTTAATATTGCAAGAAGAAACCAAGTTGCGCCATTGAATTGATATTGTTGAAATTAGAAGTGTAAGGCCTTAAGCCTGGTTTGAATTAAAGTTTGCACGTACATGTACTGTACACGCAAACTTAAAAATTTAATTACATCTGACCATCCTGCCAGCCAATGAAGAAGATGAAAAGTGACACATTTACCATTTTCAAAATGACACTTCACTATTAAAGTTGGAAAACAATTATTGGAAAATCACCTAGGCTGACCAGATGTGTAAATACATCAAGTCACAGTTGAGTTTTACTGAACAACTGGATATTGATTGAGTTATTAATTCATGATCTGCGCAACATTAACACCTTCAACAAAAATCAAACTCATGGAATGTTAACCGGTTAGCCAGCGTGTAAAGTGTGGACCCTCATTTCTCATGTCAGACTCTCTAGACCCTGGGGTCTTCTACAGAGAATTAAACTTCAACTGAGTGTAAGGGGTTTTGCCAAAGTTGGTCTCCTTACACCCCTAACTTTCCACTAGTTCTGCTGAAGGAACATTAACACATATTAGACCAAAGTTTAAGGGTATGTTCTTTACTTATTTTTTGGACAAACAAGCTCCCCAATTAATCTGAAGCGCATGAAGCCAAACCCAAAATGAAGGTGAGGTTTAGGAAATGACTGCATTTTCACATGTGCACATGATTTATCAGATTGGGAAATGACAGCATTTTCACATGTGCACATGATTTATCAGATTCTTGCTCAAGTCTGGTACCTATGACCTTCCAACAAAAGCAGTGTCTGACCTTCAGCAAGCAGCAATTAGAGCCCATTGTTATGGAGACTGTTTATCCAAGACACCTGTGGGTCCATTGTCCTCTGGGGGGTTCATTTACACCTTGCCCAAACACAGGGCAATAACAGCTTTCTCTCTTTACTTTGGTTTCAGCTTGTAAGCTGATCAAATAGCATTTACAGTTTGGTGTGAAAAAAAACAAACTCACAGGAAGTGGTACTCCAAAGTCTGAGCATTTCCTTCCCACACATGCTTCATGGAAGCAACCTCTTGTGAAAATTGATCAATTTGATGCTTGAAAACTACTGCGTATTAAGCAATACACAAGTTGATGAATTTTGTGTGGGTTGTGTTGACGTACATGTCCACACGATCAACGTCAAATGGAGAGAGTAAATGATCCGCATACATTTTATGTGTGTAGAGTCACTCCTACCTATTCCTATTCCCATGTGTACATGTACGTCACTTTCTTGGTACTGCGGTAGCCAGAAGGCACATGACACAAATACATGCTGTGTTTTTCTGACACCATGATCATTGTGACTTCATGCTAGTCAACAGTGTGTGATTTATATGAAATGTGTTTTCAAGTTTTCAAGAGTCAGTTGGAAAGGGGTCAAGAAAAGACAGTTTTTCTCTGTTTATCCAACTGTGAATAAATTAATAAATTCTTGATTAGCAACATTACAGTCGATCATAATATTTGATAGCATTTTTGTGTCGTCATCCTGTTATTTTTGTACAAAGTTTGTTCGAAAATAAATTTCACAAGCTTGGATGGGATTCAAATCCACAACCAATCGCTAAGTTGTAAATACTGGTGTTACATTTTTGTTTTCTTACATGTACCTGTGGGAACCATTCCACAGTACCTGAGTGTGTAGGGTTACACGCCTGGTTTAGAACAATGGGAACGATAAGAATATGTATCCTTCTCAAGAAATCAAAATGAAAAATTCACACTTTAAAATTGGAAACAGCAAAACACCCCGAATGAGAGCTGACATTTATGATAGTGAATAACATTGCTGGATGTTTACACATGAACATTGCCCACATCCGGCCTTCTCGGACAGCCGAACATTAATACATCAATGCGTAAAAGGGGTTAATAATCCCACGTTTTACAAACCGAAAGAGGAACAAAATGAAACCGGGTTACCCTGAAGTGTTCAGCGTTGAACAAACAATGCAAAGATAAAGCAGAATTAATAAAAGGGTATACATAACATGTACACACGTTGATGATAGTGATAAACAGCAAGTCAAGATGCCCATAGTCATACATAAGTAGGGCCTATTTGTTGAATGTGGGGCTTTCGTGTTACTTCTAGCAAGGAGAACTTGCTTTTTTTTTTTTTTTACTGGGATTCCGCTCCGCATTTTCTGGCCAAGTGTCAAGTATGCAAGATGATTTATTTTCGCAGGATTTAGCGAAGCATAAGCAGAGCTGTTAGGGTTCGTCTTTGGGTCCGTGATGGATTTTGTTATAACACGCTGAAATGCCAGAGGATATTTTTTTTCCATCGTCGGTGCATGAATGCTAGATAGGAATTTAGATTGGGCAGAAAGGAACTTGAATTTTTAGCCTCAGAGGAGCGGAGCCTCTACTTGTTGAAGTTTGAACAGTAATGAATAAAAACCTAGAATGCCAGTCTCTCGAGATTTTCATGCTGGCTCTCTTAGCTTACAGAAAACTCTTGCTGCATTCAAGACAGGGTATATTTCAAATCAGACGTATCAAGAAAAGGTTTGGATAAAGAAGTTCAAGTCTCGATAACATTTAATTTTCGAGATAAGTACATGTATTATGACAGCATATATGGCCATTACAACCTCCTGTGTTCATAAACAGTGTATGAACATTTCTACCCTGGGGATTTTGTTTACTAGAGTTGAGAGTTTCGACTTAGTAAACCCCTGAAGGAGGGATCAGAGGGAAAAAAAACTGTCAAAATGAAAACAGAGATAAACAAATTGGGTGGGACATCTAGGAATTGGGAGCAGAAGCTTGGTGTTAATTGATTGCTTCATGCACTGAGAGGATAAGCTCAGGATTCTTAAAAATAAAGAAAAAAAATAGCTGCTGAGAGTAGGATTAAAGGATGTGTGGCAAGATTGAAAGATGGGTCAGGATTAAAGAGGTGATGAGAGTAAATCCCCCCAGGGGGTGGGGAAGGGCTCGGGCTCACAGAGGGTTAGTAGGATCATGAGGGGATTAGAAGGATCGTGGTAGGGAGTGGCTAATGTCTGTGAGAGTCTGCAGCGCCAACTCTACTTACTTATCCTGGATTGGGGATTATCATGGATTAAAGGATTCAGCATCACCAACAAAAACTGTTAAAGGGAGGGGCATGTGTATTTTCCTTTGGATATTTCATTTATGGTATTTTAATCCATCCTGTTGTCATCCATTGATCAATTAGAGATCAGGGCAGAGGTGTCTGGATCGAAGCAGATTTCTTTTGTTTGACTCTGAAAAAGTGTGGAATTGTCTGACTGATCCCTGTGTCATCAATATTCAAATGAGTCACATGTTACACACTACAGCCAGACAAGGCTAAATCTGGATTTGATGTGTTGTGTATTGATTTCAAGGGGAAATAATGCAGTTTTTTCTGTGCATGAGACCTACATGTACAATGTACATGTCTATCGATCAAACACTGAAACAGCTGACTGAGGTTTGTTGTAGCTTGTTATATGTGGGCTGCAAATGGACATTTTTCGAGTACCCATTCAATGTACTTGTGCACACTTTTTCCTTTGATAGCAATTAACCCTAACTCCCTAGGGTGGTTTACTAGGAATCTTCATCATCCATACAAATCCCAACACCATGGTAAACTGTGCACATAAACAGTTGGACTCTGTTTATTTGTGGTGTGCCTAATCCCATGTAAAGCACAGTCAGTTTACTAGTGCAGTACTCATCCTACACAGATCCCAACAATTCCTGGTGTTGGAGTTTGGCTGGTTGGGGAACGTTAGGGTTAAAGAACAATTAGACAATGGCTATGAACTTGTTTGGAAAATCCCATCAACAGACTGTCCAGGTACACATGTACCGGTGCGTAGTTATACGGCTTATACAGTGTACATGTACATGTACATGTAGTTACAAAAAAAAGTGTCCTGACTCCTGACAACAGTTATTGTACATGTACAATGTACCAGGCAAAATACATCATGTTTATGATTGAGAACAATCCCAGGTCAATGAGTATCTTTATGGTTTTTCCTTCTGTTGCTTGTTTTGCCTTTTGGTAACTGTATATATTGTAGGTTTCATATTGTTTTCATTTGTGCCAGTGTGTAAATTTTTATTTGATCTTAGTGTGCAGCTGTGTGCATTGTACATGTACATAGAGCTGTGTTATTTGCTGGCAATAAATATGCTGGCAGGGAGTACTGAATACGAACAGCGCTGTGCATGTTTCAATCATGCACCATTGCTCATTGAATATGACTTATACTTCGGGCGTTTTTAAAGCCTGGCCTTTTCACAAACCCATTGACTAGAGCATAATGAGTTCGCGGGATTCAATTCACGTCACTGGAATGACAAATTGACGTGCTGCTCGGCATTAGTTTTCTGAACATTGCAAGCCAGTGAACACATACAGTCATGCATTTATTCCGTCATTCACGGACCTCCATCACTGTGACAAGCCCCCGTCTTTTGAAATCAATCTCAAACAGTTTGTTAAATGCACCGTCCCCTTTCGCAATACTCCCGCACGTTAGTGCCACTTTCTTTTCTTCCCATTTTTAATTGCCTTTTACATTGTGTTTAAAAACATAAATCACAAATCAAGTCATATTTCAAAGTCAGCTGAGTATACTCGAAGTGGGTCTTTGAAATGTTGTTGAACTTGTTGCTGAATTTTGCTATTGAGATACGTGTTCATTTGACTTGTAAAATCTAGTCTTTGACGTTCAACTTGGAGATACATGTAGTTCCCTATAGGAATTTCTACGCAAATGTTTTGAGAAGTTTAATTTTGGCCCGGATAGAGGATTGAGGGAAGATGTGTAGCAGATATTTGTAGACAGCTATAAATACTGGCCACATTTCCAGTTCTTCCTGATTTTCTTCTGTGTACACTGTCTAAAGAACGTTTTTTAATCACATGATATAAATAATCATGCTTTGAGTCAAGTACTCATTTTCTGTACTTTAACTTTGGAGGCACAACAAACCCATTTAAAGAAAATTGCACAGTAATGGCACCTGACTACCTTTTTACCATTCTCCCAAATCCTCTAAATTTCAAAACCTGCTGGTTTATTCTGATGGGTCTGACGGAGTTAAAAATAATTTAGTAACCTTATTATATGCATGTGTAGTCTAATTGTTTCTCCTTTTTTAATCTTTTGCCCTGCAGAAAACATCAAAGATAAACCGGATCCCTTTCTTGATCCTGAGTTCCGAGGAAAGCTTCGGCAATCCAGTCTGCGACATCTGATCTGTGCATTCGCCAATCGTCATCTGCTTCCACATCGGATCCTAAATTTGTTTTGCCTTAAATTTTTATACTTTTAAAAAACTACAAACTTGCCAATAAAAAGAAAAACTATGGAGAAGTTATTACCAGGGAGGAGGCTTGTTCACAGGACGTGGGTGATTTTAGTGCTTGAATACCTGGTGTGCTATGCAACGGTCATTACAGCAACGTCAGGCATGTTTCAGGACCAAGTCCCGAAGTTTGTAACATCAGAAAGTTATTACGCAGGTGAGTCACATTTCACATTGTCCTCGTTTTTAATGGTCATATAGGTTCTATGACACACCTCGGAGATGATTCGATTTGCATTCATGGGTTGGTTACGTACTGGGGTACATGACTGACTAAACAAAACTGAGGAACCTAACTTTGGTCAACTGAGATATATGTATGATTCCCTTTTCCCTACAATTCACTCTAAGCAAACATAAGGCCTTTTCACACCAGAGCCTCTCAACCCAGGTTGAACTCAACCCTGGGTAAACCCAGTGCCGCCCCGGGTTGAGTATTTAATTTTTCAACCACGCATTTAACCCTGCTTATTGCGCTCGGTTACTACTCTTTTTGAACCCTGGCAAGGGTTGCAGCCTGGGTTGAAAATCTCAACCCTTGTCTTGAACAGGTTTGAGTTCAACCTGGGACAAAATCAATCTAGGGGTGGACGAAGGATTGGCGCAGGGTTGAATATTTTCAACTTTGAAACCCTGCGCCAACCCTGAGATTTGTCTAGGATGTGAAAAGGCCATTACATGTAGGTGTTGAGTCAGTGTACATTTTTACCTTTCAAATTTCCCAGGTTACTGGAAACTTTTGGATGGTCCAAAGAATTCAGGTACACGTACGTGAAGTCTCATTTTACTCGAGAGTTGTGTTACATTTGTGTTGGGTCTTGTGAAGAGCTGCACGTTCACCTGGTGGGGTCGTCCAAAAGAAAAAGTGCAGCAGACCCGCTGCAAGATAATCCCCCAATGCCACTTTCTATCTTACTTCCTCTCCCGTCTTCCCCTGATCAATAACGTTTCAGGGCTTCTAATCTCCACTTCCATTGATAAGACTTACCTGTCTGCGATAAAAGAAGCGGGGAAACAATGAGAACAATTCCTGGCCGCGGAAGGTCATTGGAAGACGATTCTCCCCCATTTTGAGTACGCAATGTTCATGGCACAAGGGGCAATGATCGTGTTTCGACAGGAACAGTATTTTTCTGGACACTTGAGACAGAAGCAACAAAGATTACACTACTTATTTTCCTGCTAGGATCCTTTTCCATTGGATGTTACCATCTTATTTTTTGAAGGGGAAGTTTCTTGGGGTATTATTTATATATACAAGCGTGGATTGTTTGAAAATTGTTTCGGAGCCGGATGTAGAGAACTCTGATAAAATAAGGAACTCACAGGGAGGTTCAAGTTACAGGATTTTTCTTGATGTGATCACCCGGAGACAGTACATTTCCATAAATATCTTCACAATTCTAAGTTAACCCAACCCTCCCAAATCCACCAGGAAGTTTGTGGGGATGATTTTGCATAATTTTAGAAGGTGCAGCCCTGCCAGTAATATTTGTGGAGCCCAGGCTCAAATGTTGTGAAAAGGAGCACAAATTGTGATAAACCTCTCAAGCTTGAATGTGCTTTCACGATTTCTTGAAAACTTCTGAAAGGGTGTTTACTTCCCTGTGCACGCCAGGACATCGCCGTCAATCAGACTTCTGTCACACAGCAGGCTCGCCCAGTAGAAAATTGTGGTAGGGGGACCAATAAGTTGTGAAAAAAGGGCAACATGCCTCCTGGAATTTGTGAAAAACAAATTTATCGCAAGTGTGAGTACAATCCGTTAAACGCGCACAAAGGAATCCCCGCTGCTATCTGATATTATTCTAACTTGCTGAAAAATAACTTCACAATTACCTGAGCTAAAATATATTGACCTCTGCACTTGAACAAATCTCTTTCTCTCTCTCTGCATGTTTTTGCTAAAGGCTAAACGTACAAAACACCACAAAAATAATCCCTTGTTTGCTATAGGTCTGGGTAATCCTGTACTGAATTTCTGACAAACACATTTAATCTCCAAATCATGGTCGTACATTTATACAACAAGATTTACACAAATAATTTTTTTGTAAATTTTTTATTTTTCTAAAGCTTTCCTGCAGCGTAAGCATACTCATTGAACATTGTGGCTGTGATATTTTGATAACAAGATTCAGCACAATTTTGCTGCCATGCTTGAATCTCAAAAGAACTATTATTTCACTCATTGATAAGCCATGGAATTAAAGTTTAAAAAGCACAAACATATCAGACAGCCCTAACCACAGACTGGTACATTTCATCATAACCACAGACTGGTACATTTCATCATAATTTCGTGGAATGCTCAAGGAGTTTTTGAAGTGACTGGCAGACTAAATAAACAGAGCGCCCAACCAGCTAGACTACCTTCCAGTTCCTTTGTACAGTGAAGTACCGTACATGTATTCCACAATTTCTTTGCTGTTCCTTGGTAGTACAGTACATGAGATGGAGCTGCGATAATGTCCATTTTCATTCGATACTTGTTTTAAAGTTGATGTTCCGTGTAAACCTTGGCCCTAACCTTACTATTTTATACTAACTCCATCAAAATCCATCCCCCTACCGAGTACCGGTATTTCGGGGGATTTGGGCAGATAAGCCATGTGTACCGAGCCATCAAAATCTACCAGCACACCAGTGTTTTCAATGAATTTAGTCCTGAAGCATGCATTTTGTGAAGCAGAGTGAATGATAGATTTTGATGGACATGGTCTTCTACTATTAAGACTTAACAGGGAGTTTAGGGTTAAAAGGAAAAAATGAACATATAGTTACGCAATATACGTTTTGTACATTGTTAGCTGGGCCCCATTTTACAATTTTATTTGTGATCTATACGTTACCCACACACAATGTGATATTACCTTAAAGCCAAGTGTCAATTATAAAAAAAGCCAAGTGTCAATTATAAAAAAATGTTCTTTGTAGCTGAGGGGGATTTATCAAGAACTTGAATTGTAAAGAATGATTTATGCGTGGATTTTGCCACCAGACTGTCGTGACAAACCACAAGGATATGAGATAAGTAAAAAGTATTTGAGAATAATGCTCCAAAAATGTGCAAATATTTGCTGGGGGGTACTAGAGACTACCAAAAACCACTTCCTAGTAATAACCACCATGTAAATTTGCTCAAGATAACAAATATTTGTGATAGACAGAAAGTCATCCATTTTACAAACAGTCCTCATGTTCTTACACATCCACGAAGGACAGCAATTACAAATTTGGAGTTCATACTTCATACCATAGACCACTGAAAAAAAATCAAACAGTAGGCCTACTACAGAAAATGTATTTATTATGCTAATTGAATCTAAATGTACATGTACCCAACCCTGACCTTGTTGTGTTAGCCATTTATGTTTATGACCTTTTCATGTTTGCCATTTATGTGTTTGATCTTTTCATGTGACAGCTGTCTATGACTCACGGTTTACTCAAATTGAGAACAAATTCTCCTCTTTTGAAATGCTAAATGCTTGAATCTAATTACCGACTTCAAGTTCAGGGTAGTGCTTTTAGTCAGCTGGACAAACAAGATATTAGCTTCAAAATATAAATGGCTCTCAATTATTTTTTTTTTCAATTTGATCAATAAGATAAATTCTCAAACAATAAGCTCCCTCAGTAAATCATTCTGATATGCCTGTTATGTACATGTAGGTGTAGATCTGAGTTGGCACAAATTTCATGAACGCATTGGTTTTGAAGTTAAGTTTATGTGTATAACGAGTTCTGAACTGTTACAAAAGTTGCTTCCAAAATACATGCAACTTTGCCATCGACGCAATAACGCATGCATGCGCCAATGGAGTAACCATATAGTGTGTGCCAGACATGTGGGTTCAGTTACTGCCAGCCATACATGTAACCATGCGTGTACCGTACTTCGTACACAGCTTTTCTGCCTTTAATTCTTAGGTTAACCACTGTAAACTTGTGTACATGGTAAAATGTGCATAAATTCATGTACAATGTACCGGTACATTGTACAAATGCAGACGCTGCCCTTTGTAATTTGTCCAGCCACAAATTCTAGAGTCATGCACAACACAGACTGATAACACCTGGCCAACAATGGAGGATGAATCTCTTATCAGCTGTGCCCTTTGAACCCTGCCATTGTCAGGAATAAGTTCAAGCGCATTCCTTTGGCATACCACACGCAACTTGTTGACAACATTATGGTGGGGAACTACAATAAATCACACAATTTTAAGAAAAGGGGGAATCTGTGAATTTGGTTTCCACATTGTACAAGTGACAAACGTGCCTTCTTGGTATTTTCCAATTGACATTTTTTCCCAAATACAATCACATGAAAATGGTTTAGGGTCAGTGTACTTTAAACAAACATAAAATTCATTATTAATTGCTTTCCGACATTCCGTCCACAACATTGTACATCATGTACCATGCATTCAACACATACATTTTTTTAATGCTAAATGACCACTAACTCCCCAAAACCTTTTTGCAAGGATCTTATGCAACCCAAAAACCTACTATTCTGCTACTCTGTAGGATAGAAGCCTAATGGTACATTCCTTGTAGTTCAAACTTTCAAATCATCCCAAATGTTGCCAATGATTTAAAAGGAACTGCATGCGTACGGGTCGAGCCGCGAGGAATATTGACAAAACAAATACACTCTTGATCTTGTGGATGTGGTAACAGTTTTCAAATCGGACAAAGTTTCATTCCATGCAGTACAAAGTTAAAATAAGGCTTTGCGTGAAAGTTCTTGTTGGAGAGATTCCCAAATACCCAGGGACTTCTATTTTCCCGCCAAAGGGGAAAGAGTGAATGACCCATGAATTGCCAGATTTGATCTTCACTTCCATCCAAACAGGATCCAAACGAGTCAGGCAGAAGTCCCTTTCAGCATTAGCAGGTTCATGTTACAAAGCCTGGGCCAGCTGTCCGGATGATTCCCTGGTCAATCGATACCAAGTTGAAACATTTCCATGAGTATCAAATTCTGTTCCGTTCTGTGCAGGGCTTCTATGTTTTCAGAAACAGAGATCCTTTGTGGAGTTGCAGGATCAGATAAAATTTCAACAGCCAAGCAACTGTTGGCACTGCAGTGAACAAAACTTTTCGTACCAATGACTTCAACAATTGTTCACAGGAACGATTTTGAGGTACCAAACTTAAGATCTTGGAGAGAAAAACACAAAACTGTCATGCGATAAATTATCAATATTATATGAGAAAACAAAGTAATTGTGTTTAATCTTTCATGTATGAATGTTCAGCAAATTAGAATGATGAAAATGATACTGCAGAGACCAGAAAAAGAAAGGAACAAATACATCGCCTGATCCAGTCGAGAGAGAGAGGATTGTGAGATATTCTGTCATTTTGACAGTCTTTCTGGGGGAGGAACGTTTAACAATGTATCCCAGCTCAGTCATTGTTCACTTCCGATTGTAATCCTACTCAGTGAGATTTTGACAGTCACGGTTTTGTCGTTTTCAAAGTTAATCCTGAGGGTTTGGATTGAACAATCCCACCCACTTGCCCACACGACTAGTTTCCCCACCCCCTACCTCCATGGTGTGCCTTAACCAAAAAGGAAAAAAATCTCCAACCAAGTGTGAAACACTGTTTCCCTGTAAACCCACTTGATGGGTCATGTACATTTTATTGTGTTGCAAACAAATTTACAACAATATTTTTTGGTTAAATGACCCTGCTTCATATGACCCTGGGTTAAGGTTTTTGGGGGTTGAAAGTTGTGGTTTTTTTTAATAAATATAAAAAATTTCATCCTTTGGACTGATAACCATAGCACTGTCCTCCATTGAAGCTTATTGCCTACTGCACGTACATGTACATGTACCAGTACTCCCCTTTCGTGCATACCCGGGAGTTAGGAGGAAATCCTTGTTGCTTGTTCCACCTCATTGATAGTACCAAATGGGTCCTTGTTGCCAACGAGGAAATTGCATCTTTAAGTTCCAATGACAATGGACAGTTTCACATCCTGTAACACTGTGAATTTCTTTGTTTTCCCTGCAACACTTCTCTTGCGTGTAGTTTTACACACACAAACCATGAGGAGAGATTAAGAAAGTTTCATCCCAAAACCGCATCCCTCTGTTTTCTGTCAACATCAAAAAAAGAGGGAGATTTGTTGTTTTGCATGGATTAGGCCCATTTCCCATGAAACGCTCATTTTAAATCCGAGCAGCCTTGTACTAGCTTTGGGGTCTTCTTACCCAATTACTTTCATCACAATGTGCCGCAAAATCTCCCCTTTCAAACCAACGTTAGGGGGGCAGACCAGATCCCTAACCACTTTGAAGGCCTCTCAATAATACTCTTTATGCTTTTTTTTTCTCTGGATATCTTTCTCTCTTGACCACAACAGGCAAGGATAAAGCCTTTAGATTACGTTGTGGTTCCCGGTAGGTGCACCCTTTTTCAGCTAAATGGAAGCACAACTGAGCTTAATTGCGACCATATTGTCCCGTGTTAAGTCGGTCGTAACCTACGAGCAGCGCACGGTTGGAAAAACCAGAAAGGGTTTGATGTAGCGTGAAGGCTCAAACTGTTACGGGGGAATAACATTGGGTTGGGGATAAAATCAAATTCGTCACAGCAGCTACCTTTTTTCATGCGACTTACAATACTTTTAGATACTGAAAGTAGTGTGGTTTTAAGATTTCCTTGAAACTTTGAAAGACTGGTAGGCATGGTTGTATTCACTGAACAAGTTTTGCCATGACAATTGATGAAACTGTTAGGAACTATACCAAAATTGTTCCATAGTGGATTTTTTTTCCAGATTTTAATTTTACCGGAAGTGATCAAGCAAATTTTATTTTTTAAGAAAAGAGATCTTTTTTAGGGTTTTTTTTTTTTTTAAATCATACAATTTGGTTTAAATGTTATTCTCAAATGATGTTCACACACAGGTTGTTCATGCTTTTTGTTTTACACAAACAGATGAGTAAAGTTCTTAACAACCCCCTATGAGTTCATTTGGAATATGGTGCCACATACTACAAAGTACTACAAAATTATGTACAGCAGGTACCCAAATACTAGAAAATACTACGAGTGCTGTTCTTGGTGACGTTTGGACCATCGTTTGACTAAGAGGCATTCGAACGTCGGTGCATAGGCATAAATAACGTCATGAAGCAACCACTAGTTTTAATAATTTGGGAGGCTAATCATATTAACTCAACAGCTGTGAAGCTGAATTGCGAAGGACGTGGCCAAGTAGCAACGTGCAAACAATGACTTTTGACTAATGGTCTTCGACTGAACTTGCTATATGGTTAACCATCCTACTTAAACATGCTCACGCCCATATATACTTGTTCTTATTGCTTCTTCCTCTCTTCTACATTTTCCCATTCCAGATTTGAGAATGTTTCCAGGCCAGAGCCTGACAGCCATGTCCCTTTCCCTCGACGGCTCTCAGCTCTACTTGGGCGGCAAGAACATGTTCTTCATCATGAACCTAACCCAGCCCTTCGGCCAGTCCTCCGCCATCCGCAATGTCTCCTGGGTCTCTGAAACCTCTGTTATCGACTCCTGCGAAATGAAGGGCAAGCAGGGATGGCAGTGTCAGAATTTCGTCCAGGTGGTTCTGATGAACAACGAGACCAATCGGTTGCTGGTCTGCGGGACCAACGCCTGGGCACCGTTGTGTCGGTACTTCTCGGTAAATATAAACAATTTGAAAAATTAGGACTGGACCTTTGTAGCAAGCCATCACTGTAGACTCTTAAGCCCTTTTCACACTAGAGCCTCTCAAACCCGGGTTTAACTCAAGCCTGGGCGAACCCAGTGCTGCCCCGGCTTGAGCTTTTGATTTTTCAACCCCGCGTTCAACCCTGCACCGTTTTACACTTGGTTCATGCAAATCAAGCTTATCATGCTCAGTTACTACCGTTTCGAACCCTGGCAAGAATTTCAACCCGGGTTCAAAATCTCAACCCTGGTGTGGACTCGTGGAGCAGGGTTGAGCTCAACCCGGGGCAGAATCAATTTGGGGGGGGGGGGGGGTTGACGCAGGGTTGAAATTCTTCAAATGTGAAACAATTTATGCTTTCAACCCTGCTTTCAACCCTGCATCAACCCCGAGATTTGTGTTGTGTGAAAAGGGCTATTGAGGCCCTTCGGTAATGAAAGCATTGTACCATCTATACACCCCGTGCACTTGTACCCCTCAGTGGTTTCAAAGGGTGCGTCACAATCTGTGTCTGACATTCTGAAGTTTGAGTGCCAGCTCAAGTTGATTCCTTCAAAATTCCTTTGTCATATGTTCATTTTTTTATCAGTGTGATTTTAGATAATTCACTAAACTTGTTCAAATTCATACTCTTTTTCCATCTGTAGTGAAGTTAATGTGTAAAATCAAGTCTCATTTCAATGCACTGAACTCTGAAAACCATACAACCCATCTACAGGAAGTGAAAAAAGCCTAACACAGTGCTTTGAGCACGTACATGTACGTAATGAGCAATGGATGGTTTTGTGGCAAGCCACTAGATAATATCAGCGGTTAAAATACATCAGATATGACTCTGAAACTGATTCATATAAACTGTCAAGTGGTTTTGGTGCAGTTATCTGTCTTCCTACTGGCCTTCACCTAAAGGGGTAAAGTAGTGTTTAGATTTACTAAGGCCATGTCTAAATGACTTGGCTATGGCTAGAAATAACACACAGGTCTATGGGAAAAGGATACAGCCGCTTTCATAAAAAATTGCAGCCGTAGCCAAGTCATTTGGACGTGGTTTTGCAGTTGCACCATGCAGACCTTCAAATCTTATCTGGAGTCTAGTCTGGCACCTGATCTCAAGACCATAATTGGCATACAGATTGAGGATCATGGAACCAGCCCCACAATGCACAATTCTACACTTGCTAAAAAGCTTTGTGTAATTGAGCACAGATAACCCTTTGCTCTGTGCTCTCAGCGCTTGTCAAAAAGTCAGAGGTCACCCGCCCTAAGATCTGAAGCTTTGAAGCAGTTGCATAAAGTGGCTACGCAGTTTGTCAATCCACTAGCATTCAGGGTCGTTCCAATGTCATGGAGTTGCTAAGCCAAGATATGGTGCTCAGCAAAGTTATGTGCTGAGCAGAAATCAGCAGGGAACTAGTCACAAGTAATGTATTGTATATTGCATGACATTTTGGCTGGTAACCTGCCTTTGCTAAGCACATATTTTCCGTGCTTAGCAGATCTCTCTGCTTAATGTTCAGCTTTATGAACTGGCCTGAGATTCTTAAATAAGGAAATAAATGTGTGCTTGGCTGGTTTTAAACACTATGTTGAAGACCGGTTGATCCGAGCTGAACCTTCTTGGTAAACAAATAATCAAAGCTTTTCGGTCCAAAAGTCAAAACAAGTCAAAAGTTATACATTTTCAACGATTTTGTTAAACAATTTTACTTCATTTTATTTTCGATACACCGTTCTACCTATGCTTTGGTATGGCCCTTACAAGAGTCAGTCGTAAACAACTTCTCATATGGACTATTGCGCTCGCATCACGCGTATTTTGTGATGTGGCGCAGTACGCAGCTGTGCCGGTGTAGTGTGAATTTAGGACCATGAAATACTGACTCACTGGTAGTATTGCACATGCTTACGTGAGGATTGTGAATGTTCAACCAATAAACACAACTGGCACCGGATTTCATAGGAGTCCAAATATCATGTGACACTGGAAACATTTAAAACCGGCCACGTGATGGGCTCTCGACCAATAGCAATGATAAACTGTCTTAGGTGCTCGGTATTTATGGAGGCCACATCAAATTCAGCAGTGTAATGGCCAAAAATACATACTGTCTACATGTAGTTCTCCTACTTCTCAGAACCTCACAAACTCAAAAAAAAAGAGATTTGTTACATGTTGCAACTGTAACTTCTTATTGCCCCCTGCAGGAACAACCCCTCCCTTGTCCCATATCTGAACCTTGACAAAAATTCCTGTCAAGTAAATATCTGTCAAGGCCAATTAATATTCACAGAGTGCTGAGTGTTCAGAAGCCTGTCACTCAATTAAAAAAAAAATGACTTGGGAAAAAAAAGATAGTGGAATGAACTTTGGCCATGATTTTTCTTCCCCACGCAGCGGAAGTTTTTGCTTTTGCACCGGACTAAGTAGATTTCCCTCTGTCCTGCACTCTTGATAAGAACCCAATCGGGCGGAAAAAGGTTGGAAGTGCTTGAAAGGTTATCGAGGAAGGAAACCATTTGCAGTTAAAGGGCTAGAAGATGTCTTGGGATTCCAAGAGGTTGGAGCCAAGTGATTTTCATAGCCTTCATGTAAAAATGCGGAGAAAAGAACCCAATAGTGTATAATGCACCTTAGCTCCTCTAACAGAAATACACCGGGGTGGGGAAACCATCAGACTATAGACCATCATCATGTTGCGGCCATCTTGATTTTTCAACGTAACCAAAGCGAGGCTTGAAGGAAAAATAGTCTGGTTCCTGCTTTGCACATAACCATTATCATTAATTACTGTTAATGGATACAGGGAACATGACTGAAATGGTGGCAGCAGGTCTATGGGGGTGCCACCTACTTATAAGGGAGGGGGAGGGCGGAAGTGGGAGACTGAAGCGTTTATGTATGCATACATACATGTACGGTACACATGTATTTGTACATACACCTGTTCCCTGCAATATTATAGGACTCATGTAAAATGAGTGTTGGAATGTCAATATCTTAGCGGTGACCATTATATTGGTAAGATTTAGGTAACTTTGGAGGGGTAGACGGATTGTCCAGGATGTCGTCCATACACATACGTGTATCATGCACTTATTCTTTCAAAGCACTATAGTACATACAGACTGCATGTCTTTATGCGTAATCCGTGATCAGACCATCCTAAATTGCTAACAGTTGGTAAACGGGGAAGATTCTACATCAAAATACATCATCGGTGCTTAAGTCTCGGAGATTCGAGGCAAATTGATGCTGACAGGGGGGCTAAGACCTTAACAGGAAATGTCTGTGGGATGATCTGATGGAGTGGATTTTGTTATTCAGAGGGACCTGTCATGTCCTATTTATTGCTAGATGTCTGTACACTGTTAGTTGCTACAGGTACATTGCAGGGTCGCAACTCTGACAAACAGGAATTATTTATTGTAATGTTTAATCCTTCAGATTATTTTCAAGAACACACATTTTGTGCATAAGCGGTGAGCTTCTGTTGTTCCTCCTTGTTTAAACTTGCTTCTTTCTTGCTGTTTTTTTGTTGTAGCCAAATACACTGGGGAATTACGAAGAGCTTAATGGGGTCAAGCGATGCCCATTTAGTCCGGAACAGAAAAGCACAGCAATATTTGCAGGTGAGTGCATAAGTGATTGCTGATTTCCGTACTACGGTACTATACCTGGTTCCAATAGATGCACACACCTATTGTACACCGAAATTATGTAATACTTTTCTCAAAAGGAAAAACATCTGCAATGTTACCTATAGTGTGATTGAATATCACTGAATGAATGTGATTTTATTATTGGTGATTTTGTTTTTTCCTGTACAGATGGAGCTTTGTATAGTGCCGCTGTAACCGGCTTCACTGCAGTCGATTCCGTCATCATGCGCAGCATGCAAGGAGACGTAATCGAGACCAAGGACGTCGACACAAAATGGCTGAAAGGTATCTGTTTTCTAGTTATCTCCCTTGGCAAGTATTGAAAGTGGGAAAAGCTGGACGCAAATGAAAATTTCTAGTTCTTTTCAGAATCACTTCTCATCCAGAGTTAGTCATCCACGTGGCGTGTCTTGATAATTCTCCAAAAGTGTGCTGTTCACCATGCCAAATGTCAATTAACATGAAATCTAGAGAAAAAAGTTTTACCAGTTGATGGACAGGTTATGATCTCTTTTTAACAAAAAAAGAACCCACTTTAACACATGCAACATCTGTATCACTTCAACACGTCATATGTGACCTGTTCTGTCAAAATCAGACTTTTCTAGGCATAAGGTCGAAAATGATATTTTTACATATTGTTAACAAATGTTCTTTTTCCTTTTAATAGGTGGTTTAATTTTTGAAACCGGTCATTCCTGCGCAGAGTTATGCTATTTTATGAAGTTCATTGTGTCGAAAAGTAGAAAACGGAGAAAATGGCCACAAACGTCACAAAACAGTTATTACTTTAACTGATATACCTTATCAAAATCATCCAAATAGTATATGTAGAGTTCAAATTAGGGTTTCAAACTTTTATAATATATTTTAGACATGTTCAGGATTACAAATATGCAAAAATTTGAAAATCGATAAAAATCACCCCCACAGCACTTTTTGGCCCTATCTCAATTTCAACCTCTGCCCAGAAGCGTCTGCTTTTGCCAGAACAGGTCACATATTATCAAGCCCTCTAAACTTTCAAGATTGTATATTGAAAGTCAATTCAGTCAAGAAGTAGTTGACAGTATTTTGATTAAATTTTACATGTGAAATCGGATTGTACAGTAATTCTTAGGAACTCACTTTAACGCAAACAATCACATTTCCTGCCTGTCTGTTTTCATAACAGTTTACATAAAGTTCACGGTATGTTTTTTCCCCTTGCCTCCCTCAGTGCCGGAATTCATCAAGTCGTTTGAGGTTGGCGACTGGGTCGTATTTTTCTTTCGAGAGATAGCAGTTGAGCATGTCAATTCCGGAGAGGTGAGGAAAAATGTTATATGTGTGTAGTTTAACGGAGAGAATATGAGAAATTTCACTTTTTATGGAAATTTTTCTTTTTTCTATTTTTCTCCTTATGGCCAAACTCCCGAGTTGTCCGTAAGTTTTCTATTAAGGAAATTAGGACCGAGTTATGGGGACTTTCTGCTGTCCCCATAGCGTCTTCGGTCCCCATAATTAAGTATCGCTCAACAGGTGTGTGGTCACCACAATTATGGAACAAGAGGGGGTGTGCGTGTGGGGAAGTTTTTTATTAGGCAAATTAGGATCCAGTTATGGGGACTTCCTGCTGTCCCCACAGCGTCTTCAGTCCCCATAAGTACCACGGGACAACTTGTGTGTAGTCCCCACAACTATGGAACAAGTATGGGTGTACGTGTTTTACATAACCCCCGAGGACAGACACACAAAGGGAGAACAACAGATCCTTTCAGTCCTCGGGAGTTGGGTCTTTTGTTCAAAACGGTCCTCTGTCGTAGGTTCGTGTGCTTAGTCTATGGAAGAGTGTTAAATTTAAGGGACAAAGGGAAACACAAATCATTGTCCTCGGGAGTATAGTAATTCAAGAGTGGGTGTATGGGTGTGTGTTGAGTTCCCATGATCAGAATTCTTATACGTTCCTGTCTCATTGCTGTTTGGCAGGCCATCTATTCTCGGGTTGCCAAGGTCTGCAAGAACGACATCGGCGGTGATTGGGTCTTGGAGAGAAAATTTACCACCTTCCAGAAGGCTCGCCTCAACTGCTCGTTCCCCGGCTCCTTCCCCTTCTACTTCAACTACCTCCGTAAGTTTTCTTCCAATTACAAAAAAAAAAAAAGCAAAGCCTAGCATCTTGAGTCCAACCTTCCTTTAAGCTATTCAGCCCCATCTGGCTTTAAGTTTCATGAAGTCCAGGAATCCCACACTGCTTTCGAGTTTTACCAAATTGGAAATGCAAAAGACCATTCCATCTTAGAATAAAACCATTCCCAAATCTTCAAAACCCTGTCTGACCTTATGTGTCATAAAAACAACGAGGTTTTCTACTCGTTCTTTGTTGGTCACACCAAAGGAATTATCATATACATCATGTACCATCAGATCCAGTTAACTCTGCTGCAATTCTTAAATCACTGGTTTTCAGAGGCAGCGTTTGGTTGAGCTTATATTTGTCACTCAATTGTTTTCAATTACAGAGGACGTGCACATGGTGGGAGAAGGCAGTAATATCATTTTCTATGGAGTCTTCACAACAGGAGAGTAAGTTGCCCTGCTAATTGTACCGTTTGAAATTGTATATGAGCAGTGTTTAAGGTGCAAGGTCACCTTCTATTTGACATTTAAAACTATGTGCATCCTTATGTAACTATCTGCTAAGCAGAAAGGACTGTTAAGCAGAGTTTGCTGTTAGATTCATTCCGCCAGGGGTGAAATTTGTCAGGATTTTTTAAAACCTGCTTTTCAGGATTTTTAAAGAATACCATTTGAAATCTGGAATTTCTGGCATTTTACCGTAAATATGTTTTTAAAAATGTTTATATTTAGAACTCACAAACACTTGTATTCATTTCTGACTTCTTTCTCTCTCTCTCTGTCTCTTTGTAGCCATGAGATTCCCGGCTCGGCCGTTTGCGTTTTCAGCCTGGACAAAATTGAAGAGATTATCAACGAGGGCCAGTTTAAGAGGCAACAGCAGGGTACCTGGTACCCGGTCCCTGTTGACGATGTGCCCGACCCAAGACCTGGCCTTGTGAGTACACTAATTTTGAGGCATGCGAAAGATTTGTATTTTAATTTTTTTTAGATTCAGCTGGCTACAGCTAGTGTTTGTCACAATTTGTTTTTTTTTTTTTGTGTGTGTGGCTACGGCTTTTGGCTTCTCTATTGGCTTTCCACAATACATGTGTAGTTCTGGTCATAGACAATAAGGCTATGGCTATGGCTTAGCTATGGCTTGCAGTCACTCATGTTCCAGTAAAATTAGCTAAAGCCCCTTCACATTGACATGTATATTCGCGCCAGGTGTCGACAGATATAGCAATTAGCATAACACCAGCAATATATACTCGCAAAAGTGCTGTGCATTTTGAACACATGTTGATGTATCTTACCCTCAATGGCAAGTTGAAATTTCACTGCTTTTTTTTTTTTTTTTTTCTTTCAGTGTGCGGAAAATTCCAAGGCGGTACCTCAAAACACGCTGGAATTTATCCTAGCACACCCACTTATGCACCAGTCGGTACCCAACTTGGGCGGCGACAGGCCGCGCTTTGACCTGACGCGGGCCGACTTTCGCATCATGCAGGTAGTGGTGCACAAACAGAAGGCAGCCAATGACAAGACCTACGATGTGCTGTTCCTGGGCACCGGTAAGCAGTTTTGTACACTAACGATTCCGGGATGGATCCTTAATTAAGAGAGAGTATTTGTGACCTAGCTATTGTCAGAGAATGGACCATGGGTTGCCAGTACATTGCCATTTCAGTTCTTCGGACAATTCATACCTCTGCTTGTTGTTTAGAGAAGTATTTTTGATCACTAAATTATGATAAAAAATGTTGCATAATATCGTATTCCAGCATACAGCAAGGACTATTTGGCTTGTAGACATGGTAATTTTTGTTAGCGCAAGATTTTATTGCTATCATTTTGAGCAAATACTGGTAAACTACGGTGTAGGTGAAGATTCCACTGTTTTAGGCAGAGAATTGAAAGTAATTTCTACTTGCTCCTCAAGAGATATTTTTGTGTTCAGTATTATTTGCTTCTGTTGGGATAACATTGTGGGCCTCTTTATGATTCCTTTCAGAAGCTTGTGTTTTGGAAGCTTGCTCTCTCACAAATAGTCTTGTAGCTTAGTACCATTGCACAACCATGATTGATGTGGTTAACACTTCTGGGTAACAGTTAGAGGTGGCATTTATAATGATGCCTTGAGCGTGGCGCACATTGGGGCGTAGGAATGTCCAAATCTAATCCCCACAGAAAACAGTCTTGCCTGATTTGTATTTTGTCGCGTCTTACCTTGACCAGATGACGGCCGAGTTCTGAAGGTGGTCATTTTCCAGGACACCAACGGTCAGTACCGCTCCAACCTCCTGGAGGAGATCTTCATCTCGCCCCGGGACCATTCCGAGGGAGTGGTCAACATGGAGGCCATCCAGCAGCAGATTGGGCAGCCGCAGGTCATCCTGGTCAACACCAACAGTACGGTGGTGGAGCTGCCCCTACAAAGATGCAAAAACCTCACAGAGTGGTACGTATCATTTCCATCACGTAGTTGATGACTAGCATTAATGTCACAGTGGTTCATATAGATTTCCATCGTGTAGTTGATGACGACTTGTTCATTGCAGTGTTTTTGGATTCTGCCCTCGCCCATTCTCCTCTATCAAAGGCAAATCGCTAGTAAGGTTATAGGTACTGAGGAATGAACAAGGATAACGGAATACCTGTTTTTATCCCCCTGGCTTTCAAGCCTGACAGGGGGATATTGCGATCGCATTTTCCTTCTGTTTGTCCGTGTGTCTGTGTGTGTGTGTTCCAGTACACTGTAAGTTCAGTCATCAATCTCAACCAAACTTAAAAGGTGGTACGTGGAGAGAAGGCCAACATCCAAAAAAAAATCCTTTCCAATATGGATATTTACGAGGTCTCTGGATAGATACTAATGACTCTAGCATATGTTAGTCCGGTGTCTCACCCAAACTCTCCATCCAACCCAAACTCCCCGTTCAACTGAGAACTAATACCTGTTGGGTGGACAATCAAGGCTGTCACTGAAAATCGTCCTTACTAACTGCCTGTGCATGGACATGTATACAAACTGGCAGGATGCCAGGGGGATTGCGCAAGTTTTACTTGCAGTATTTCTGTTTTACAGTGGTTTTGAATATCTTTCACTTGATTTAAATTGGATGACTTGTGGATTGCTTTATATTGCAAGTATGTTTGTCACTGTTTTGTCCTGATGAAGAATCGTTTGCAGTTTGTAGCATCACAAAATGCAACTCTGCATTCCGTAAATGTATTGGCAGCGTGTTACCCTCTACTTGTTTGTTATCATGCATGTACAATACATGGAGCAAATTGTGGTGATGTATTATTGTTGTTGTTTCTACAGTGCATGTCAACAGGACCCTTACTGCGTATACAACAACCTGAGCCAGATGTGTGTACGATTCCATGACAACAAATAGTAAGTAACCAAAAAATGTTTGTCTTTTTCAAAACAAAACAACACAAAAAAAATCAATGTTTTATTACAGATTTGGTCATTATATTAGGACAGCTATATTATGTCACAGTAAATGGTAGTTCAAAACTGACTAATGCATTATATGAAGACCAAAAAAAAAAATTAAAAAGGCAGAATTGGAAGTCCTTATGTACGTGTAAAATAAATTTAAAAATATCATAGAAAGCACTTGCCAGTAGTAATTAAATGCTTCCAGAAAAGTTACTGGATAAAGTTCCATCCCTGGACCACACTTGACACCCTGTGCATAAACCCTATGAGACTGGTCTCAAAAATTCCAAGTGTTTTCTCTGTAAATGCTTCAATATTTTCCCTGCTAAATTTGACTTTTTAGGACATGTTATCCCTTTCTGAAGGCTGATAGGTCACTGCAGGGAAAAAGTAGTGATGGTCATGTATGGAATTCTTCCCAAGGCTCTTAATTTACTACCATTCCCTTGAAGTGTTCAGTAAGTCAATGTCATCTTTGTGTTTCCTTACAGTGATTCATCAGATGTTGAAGACATTCGCGACTGTCCAAGTAAGTTTTTTTACATACTAACACTGAAATACAAGAAAAGTTGTAGAAATTACTTACATTTAAAAACCCCCCCCCCAAAAAAAAACCAACCCTATACTAACCTTTTCTTTAAATATTTGCAATTGTGTTAGGTTTCTCATAAATTGGAGCGGTTATGATATTTTTTCAAGCAAAGAAAATGGACACAAGAAATTTTTGTTTTCATTTTTTTTTTTAAATAAATACTCCTAATGTGTAGATTTTGTTGAACTTACTTTGAATTACTCGTGCGGCAACTTCATAACGTCAATAACTTTACTTAATTGTGACAAATTTTGTTCTTTATTTTCTATCCCTTCTATTCCTTTCCTGCTCTGACCCTGCCTTGATTTTATTTCATCGTCCAGAAGAAGAAGGTAAGTCAGAAAGTAATCCCAATTGTAGATTATCGGTAGAGCTTGTTTTAGTAAAAACAGCCATTTTGAAATCTTTTTATAGGGTTATGTGCTTTGGTTGACTATTATTGCTGCTTGCATTTTGTCAGTTTTCAAGCTACTCGCATTTCTGTTGAATTTTCAGAACAAATTCATAAGTCATGGCGAAAACTTCATTTAACAGATGCATACAGCAATAATGGCAAATTCTAGAAGGATCTTGTTTTCTTTAACTCTTTTTGGATCCATGCAATTTACAATGACAGATTTAGAGTATTCAGTTTAGAGAAATTTATATTTTGGTAAAAGCAAATTCAGGAATCAGCACTTGTAATTTTTAATATGCATTTGCTGGCGTAATTTTCTACTTTCGTAAATAGGTTGCACTTAAATTTGTTAACCTCATTAATGCGAAGGCTAACAAACCAGGGATTTGCTGTGCTGAGATTTAACACAGAGTTAGGACGCTAGGACAGAAATAATCTAGTGTATAGAGGTGTGCCGTGTGTTTTTCGCAATGCAAAGTAGCTTTGCACATAACAAGCATCATCTGCCATAAGCAGCTGCTGCAGATGTAATACTGAGGTTGCAACGGTGCACTAATCACCTTAGATTTTATCTAAATATGGAGAAAAAATAGGGGGGATTGGGAAAAACATTTTTTGTGCATTTGTCTTTTCTAGTGAATGGTATTTTTTAGCTTTTGAACTCATTTTTGTAAGCAGTTGTACAATTAAATTTAATGCACTCAAAGTTGTTTCTGAAGTTGAAACCAAACAATCCCAATTTGCATGACATATGAAAGAAGAAATCCATGGAAGTATAAATAATCCTTTTGTGAAAATGTTGTTTGGGCACAGAGATACGAAACCAAACATTTTCAAAACAGGGAACAGTTGAAGGAAACGTCTCTTTAAACTTTGTATTTATTTTTTTTAAATTGGGGTCGTGGAATTTAAAGATGTACACAGGGGGCTCTACAGTGTGTACTAAACAAGCTTGAATACTGAAATAATAGTGTTGTTTTTTTCTAAAATTGGTTAGTTGAGACTAATTAACTTGACTTTGCCAAAGTGTGAATCCATGCTTTACAAATGCTGTCAGCCCACGTGTTAATCAAACATTTTGCAAATTCTCATATCATGCACATCTCATTCAGTCACATATGAACAAAGGCTAAATGCGGTACATGCACGTATTTGACAATATTTCTGGGTCTGCTTTGTACCCAGCTCTGCCCCGTAAAACTAAATGATTGAATCTCCAAATTTACTTCGTATTGGTTTTAAAGTATACCAAGTTTGATATCCCCTCCGTCAAACTGAAAAAGAAATCACACCAAAAAAACCCACAGAAAACAAACAAAAACAACCCCCTCTAAAAACCCACAAAAACAAACCAACCGCCCCGTACCTCCCAAAAATAGAAATATATACATGTCCTTTTTGGGTGCATGGTTGTGAACTTCCTCAAAGCGATTTTAGATTTTCATAAACAATCAAAATTGTAAAAAAATATTCCCTCAAAATTATAACACTAAACTGCATTGGCATGGACACAAACATCACGTCAATAATGAAGAAAGGACTCAACACAAACCATGGAATATCCCTTCTTGCAAAGAAACTGTCCCACGTTTTATTTTGGCCAATTGCACATTGTGAATGTTACATACACATCCCCCTTCCAACACATTTTACTTTTTCCCCCTGCCGCTGTTGGTGACTTGAGGCATGTGATACTTTTCTCGGTTACTGTTACTCACACATGTACGTGTGTTGATATGATGCTTATTAATTTGACGAGTTGACTAACAATGGAAAGTGTTTTTGTGTGTGTCGTATATTTCAAACGATCTCCAGAGATGGAGTGTCTATGAGAACGATTCAAAGCTAACCAAGTTGGTTTGGTATGAATTAATGATCCCTTTTCTCCCCATTAACACTTCAATTTGTGGCATGCGTTATTTAACTATGCGAAACAAATTTGCGGTCTACATTGCATCGTGCATTGAACACGTATGGTGATTTTTAAATTTTTTTTTCCAACTCAAAAGGTTGCTGTGTTATCTGGATGAACATTTTGTAAATTAAGCCTTACGTCAGATTAATTGCTAGGTTTTTAGGTTTTGTGAGGGAAAGAAATGAAAAGATTTATAATCCAATTTATTAAAGTTCAAAGTTGCAAGTCACAGATATCAGGGACCTTTAGAAATGGTTAAATCGCCATTTTGTGTGATTACCAAAGCCCACATCTATTTATCTTAACGAATTGATGTGAATCAACATTGCCCATAGTGTGGCAGATGACATAACAATGCAAAATAGTGATTCAACAAGCAACTAAGCGTTCCATTTCTAATGGTCCGTGCTCTTGTTGGGAGAGTGTATACAAATAAGCCCCTTTAGGCAACCATTTTGGATTGTCTTTTCTTCAACGATAAAGAAACATTTCCAAGATGGTTTTCCGGTGTTTGTCTGTTTCTCAATACTCCCACGATGGTTGCTAACATTGCCAAATCATCGTTGTCATTAATTTTCTCACTACCCTCAGTTCCACCACCAGTACCCTGTACAGGTAAAAAAAAAAAACCGAGGTGGTATTTTATTATCAAGATTGGTTTTTTTTTTGCCTGTTTTGAGCTTAACATTTTGTCCATTTACCATCGAAGCATGTTGTCTAACTTGTCATACGCTTGGGCTTTTTGGTGTCATACGCTTGGGCTTTTTGGTGCTGCTTTTGCTGCATTGAGTTGTTTAAGTAGTGGTACAAGGTTTAGTTTTAGTTTTCTTTAAAGACTTTAGTTTATAGGTCAAGGAAATTGAATTTATTTCAAATCCATTTCATCAAATTGTTGTACATGTATATCCTCCTTTATTCAGCAATGGACAGTTCTTGTTGCTTTGCTCATGAGACTTCACGATAGTGCTCAAATTATTTTGTTTTTTCATTGAGTATGTATTATTTCAATGAATATATTAGCATTTGAAATTTCAAAAACAATTCCTCACCAGGTACCCCAAAAAATCTGGTGCCAAAGAAGTCTAAGATCACCACTGTCTCATATCTTTCAAATCCATCATTACGTTTTGGTGGATTTTGTAGGATTGAGGAAGGCCCATGTGTGAAGCCAAAACCAATATACTTAGCATGGGGGTAGATGCCCCTTGACAAAAAATGTCATTTTGGTTCCTGCACAGTGTTTGATATTGGCGGATCCAGTGAAGTTCAAAGCAAGTTAATTTGGGAGTGGGGTTAAATAGTGGTGGAGGTGGAGGGGGGAGGGGTAGGGGTACAGATGTACGATATGTTTTATCTGCAAGCATCAAGATATGATATCCATTGCTGTGCTGAATGGGGATACATGTACATCAAAGCTAGTACAACTTTGCATGGAGTTATTATTTTCTTATTTATGTTGGAAAGCTGAATTTCTATTTTGTTATAGTTTGCACTCAAAGTTTAGTTAAAATGCAAAAAAAAAAAAAAAAAAAATCCATGGCATGCCCAATGCTGTCATGTTGCACACTGTGAATGTAGCATGCTTGGCCCAAGTTTGCTGTCAAAGGGTCTGAGAAAAGAACAGGTTATGAGGAGATATTTTTTGTTGTTGGGAAAACAAATTACATATTCAATTTTGAATGCATGAACGAAGAAACATGTGACACTGGTCTCACTGAGTACACAAGAAATAAACTAAAAAAATAATGTTGAAATAAATTTTAAAAAAAAAAGAAGGCAATTTTCCTTTTGGCTAAAAAAAAAAAAAATTGTTTCCACCAGCAAACTTGGTAAGCATGAAACTTTGCAGTTCAGTATTCGTTTTTTTAGTTGATTTCATGCATTATGCTGTGAGCAGTGGTATGGGTGAGCCATGGAATCCCGATCCATGAAACAAAAAAGACAGTGGCTGTCCCCGCAAAGTTATTTACTGAAAGCTGAGTTTGTCAGAGTTATGTTAAATCTTGCAACACTTGAATCAAATGCAGAATATCATTATAAACAGATTACATTTCAATGTTGTGAATTTAACATTTCAAAATTTGAGTCATTTTAGAAATAGATTTTTCAAACATAAAATACATTCGGGAATGGATTTTTATATCCAAGAAAACTTGGTTGTAGTTGATATCAGCTGTTGATAAATGATGGGAATATTTTGTCAGGACTATGGAGAAAAAAGACTTGGGGGGGGGGAATTTAAATTACATAACAAAAAAAGATTCCGATATGGCTTCCATACCACTGCTCATTTTCCGCCCATGTTACTCTTTGATTTTTCATTTGCCTGCTTTATGATTTGTTTCCTTTTCTCCAATTTCCCCATTCCTTCGCTGCCTATTTTGGGTTCAACCCTTTGTTTTGGGGGCAATTTTGTTTTTGCTGTGCCATCGGTCCTCCTCCCTCCCTCTGTACCTCTTGCTCCTGCATGTTACAGTACCAGTACCTCAGACAACCACCCCGGTGGAGTGTTTTTGTCCGACGGCACAGCCTTGTGTTAAAACTGGTCAGTGATTCTTTTGAGTTTTGATTTTGTTTGCCTCTTTTTATTGTTGTTGTTTTTGTTCCCCCGTCCTTAGGTTTTGCATGATTTCATGCTCACCGGGTTTTTATATTATTTGATGGTATTTGGATAAGGGAAGTAAAAAAACAACAACATCTGATTGTCCAGGGGTCATGATGAGCATTGTGACAGGTCAACTTACATTGTAAAGTAAACCAAACAAAGGAAAACCTCCTATTGGCTTGTGCAGACAGCAAGGCACGGGTTTTGCGTGCGTCGATCCAAAAGTGACTTTTCAAGTGTTTTTCTGACTGGCGTCTGTCGCAAGAATGGCAGCACGTTCTAACAAAAGAACACGAGATTGGGATGCATTGTTGTATGACTGGGCTATCAAGGTCATTGAGTTGACGCATTTCAGAGTTTGAATTTTGGGAATTCGTTGAAAAAAGTAAAGTCAAAAAGACAATCAAAATGCAAATTAAACTATTTTATAAAATCAGATTTGGAAACATTTTTGGTATGGATTGACATGCCTTGACTCAAAACATGACAACCGTTCTTATTTTTTCTGAAAATGAGGGTTTTCAGCAAATCAGGTTACGGACAAGCCGGTGCATAAATACATGTTGAGCAAGGAAACAGGATTTTAGAGATAACCTCATGTGCAAAGATGTGTCCAGTTTACACATCTAAAAATAAACTTCAAACTGACGCCAAAAATGAGAACTGAATGAGCGTTACGTCTTTCAAATTTTGGAATCTGTCTTTCAATTAGCAAGGGCGGTGACTGAACTTTTGTAAAAACGTTTTAACAAAAGTTTCCAAACTGGAAAAAAAATTGGAGAGGATTGTTTTCGTTTTTGTTGCCTTTCATTGCAAACAGGAAGTGGGCTTTGAATAGAATAAGCAGAGCAGTCACTGAAAGCCTCTCTGGACCCCTGGGATTTTGGATGTTGTTTTTTCTCTTCCAACCAATCGAACATCCTGAAATCGCTTTCCCCATTTTGTTTGTCCACCATTGTTTGACAAATTAAACAATGGAGGCAAAAGTCAAGGATCTTTTTGGAGCAGAAATAAGTATTGTTCATGGAACTCTATTTGTTTTGCACTCGTAGAATTGTGACATTGAGTCATGCAAAGAGCAATGCACCAAAGAACAAAATAACAACAACAAAAACTGGAGCTGTTCTGAAGTTGCATATTTTGGCGGGAAAGCCATTTCAAGTTGTTGTATAAAGTACGAATGATGCACAAGCTATATATGAAATGCTTCTTTTTTGTTTATCTTGTATCTTCTTTCTACGATCGGCGCAGGCAAGGATTGTGACGGAGAAGACCCCGATAGTGAGTCTAAAAAAAGAGAGAAAATTTCCAAAGAAATCATTGTTCACTCGAGAGTTGCCGTAGCGATAACATACTCTAACAGGGTGTTTTGGGTTATTTTTGACATTTTGTTCCAAACATCAACTTTTTGTTTTGGGGATAGATTTCATCAGTTCCGTTTTGCTGGTTTTAGTGCTAGTTCATAACATTGTTTTTTGAGATGTATGTCATGTCCAATATCCAAATTTTGCCGTAAACGGCTGCGGCTAGACTGGTGTCTTTTTCTTGTATCATTGGTCTTTGTGATATCGGGATTTGGTACCAGTCATAGCCTCGTTTGGATACAGTTAAGTGTGTAACATGCTTTGTTTGGGGATGTGCACAAACACACATGCACTGGTTCTATGCATGTTACATATCAAGAGCCGGAAAATAACTCACTTAATGTTATGCAAATCAGATGTCTTTAAAAAACAACTAAACCAAATTTTCTCTGTACACGTAGTTGTTTTTGTTGATTCTGCTTGCATACCAATGTTAATTTAATATGAGTTGTTGTCTGCCTTGCCTGCCATGTACAGTAGTCATTTTTTTATTTAATTTTTTTATTTATTTCTTTTTTAGTGGGCATATTTTTAACAACTTTTCCTCCACAGGTTATTAATTTAAAATTGAACTGTAATTGATTTCTCAAGTTTTAATTTTGGAATACGTGTAACTTTGGAGAACTCAAGCAGCATTGAGATGCATGATGTTGTTGATGGACACAGACGGCCATGGTTAATTCATTTGCATGCGACCCCTGACCTTTTCTTTTCTTTTATTTCTCCCCTCCCCCTTCACAATGCACTCCGCATCTTTGTGCCCTCGGTATTTTGATTGCTTATGTTAAAATAAAATTTAAAATACCCTGAAACTTGCCTGCCCTGTCTGACCGCATCATGTGATCGTCATGTGATTGTCATGTGATTGTGTTGCTTATCCCCGCCCTTGTGATAATTTTGTAGATTTGCCAACCACTATTCACCCACCTGCTGCTGTAGCCACCTCGTCGAGCAGCCCAACGTCGCCCCGGGAGTTGATAACCACCCCAAAGAAAGGTAGAGCGCCCTCATGCTCTGCGATTTATCTCTTCATATTTTTGTTCGCATCTTCGGGAGAAAAAAAAAATCCCAGATCAATGTAAAATCCCAAACACACTTCGAGAAGCTTTTTTTTCTGGCACCTTTCGTTCCGCCCCTGGTTGCACCAACTGAGTATGTGTCTGTCCTTGTTCATTTTTGCACTTGGTTCTGGACTTTTCTTTTCCTTTGTAAGAAAAGGGAGTTGCAAGAATTGTTGTGTTTCCGGTTTGGGACCCTGCTGTTTGAGTATCTCTCAGTGTTTTTCCTGCATCTCTGGTCTTCTTTAGCTTTGCACGATACTGCACTGTTGTATCTACCCCAAACTCCCGTCTTAATCGAGTTCTGAGCTTTGTGTGATATTTAATCTCTCTACACCTCTCCTAACCATCTAACACTTTCACAATCCCAGATTGACATCTCTAACAATCTCTGCAACTGAACAAGTGGGTAGTTCCATGTCCTTTTGATGTGTTATTGAAAAATTGCACATTGTAAATTACCAGAGTTTAATTCCTTTTTTTTTAAAGGTTATTTGTGTTACGTTTGCAATCATTTTTTGGTTTTACAACAAGAATTTGACTAGAATCGTCTCTGCGAAACCAATGTTGGTTAGTAGTTTTTTGATGTAAAAAACCTCCAATTTTGAAGACAGAGGGGTGCTGTGGTTCAATGGTTACGGTGTTCGACTCATGTGCCGTGGTACATGGGTTCGAATCCTGATGGGGAACATGGTGCTTGTGCGCTTGGGCAAGGCACTTTACCTCGATTGCCTCTCTCCACCCAGGTGTAGTAAATGGGTACCTGGTAGGAAGAAATTCCTTCAATGCTTGAGCTCCGTAATGGCAGCCGTGCTAAAGCCAGGGTAATAATAAGAGCGCCAGGAGCATCACATGAGCGCATACAAGAAGCCATTATTATTAAGAAAAAATTCGAGGCAGAACATGGAATTGCCCACTTTATCCACTTCTCAAACACTTGACATATCCAACTGTCCTTTCACTTTTGACCTCATACTGATCCACTGTCGACACTTTCACAACTGGAAATTGGTTTCCCAATCCTCATTTTGAAAGCACCATGGCCATCACATCAGGAAAATGTCCATTTTCCATCAAACTTCCATATGAATTTTTTTTCCCAGAGACTTCCTTGTGGTATTCCTTAGCCAGGGTAGCTTGTGCATCTTAGGGATTCACTACCATTGATTTATTTCAGAATTTTGACAACTACATGTATTATGATAAAAAAATCGGTTCCCAGTTTTTAATTTTTGATTTCTGAAATTTTGCTCTTTCTTGACATCAGAAAGCTTCTCTTCCTTACAGTTGTGTTTATGTTGCGGTTGTGTGATTACTAATGTGTGGTACAGGATTAACATTCTATTAAACTGTAAATGAATCTTTTGGTGACCAATTAGGAATAAAAATCATGTGAAGATATTTTTTTATGAAACACCGTATTTAAGTCTAGGCAGTCTGTAGTGTCATAGGTTTACTGATTACCTCTAAAACTTAGGGGGGGGGGGACGGTATCAGGGGTGGCTTTGGACAGAAACATCTTGTTCCCATGGATAAAAAGCACAGTGATTATACCTGAACTGCCTTATAACCAAACTACATTGTATTTTATATAATTCCCTCCAGGTGTTTTTAAGTGGTTTCCAGTTGAACATTATAAATTTATAATTGGAACTTATATGCCAGTTTGGATGAAAATAATAACAAATACCTTGCTGACCAATGTAGGAGCTATTTAATATACAACTAATAAAAATAAAATAGATCCAAACCTAAATTTCCTGATATACAAACCTTTAAAATCATATATCAATTATCCTTTGGGTAGACTTTCCACATGTTATTGTTAGGGTTATCTTGAAAGTTCATTGAGTTTTGTTGTTATTTCATATCACTGCTGGAAGTCAATAAGTGCTAACACACTCCGTGTAGATTCTAATCTCTGAATAGAAGTACGGAAAAATAGAAAGCAAATATCATGCAAAAACAACTGAAGATGAAATTTGAAAGCTAGCTGTAGGATGAGTGTTTTTTTCAATAGTGTAGTTATTACAGAATAAAGTCAGCAAGGTTTACATTTCCATCCTGTTGAATCCTGTCGAAAGAAAGATCCTGAAAAGCAAAGGATTGGATAAATTCTGTTGCCATGTGTATGGGAATTGAGTTTGATAATCTAAACTTTGTCTGTTTGCTTTTAAGTTGCACATGTTACTCCAACTTCAGTTTTGATTTTGGTTAAGAACTTCTGAGCAAACTCCTCTTTTTTTGTTGTTCTTCTACACTATGTTGTTTGACTACGTTGCTTTCCTCACTAATTTAAAAGAGACTTTTTGGGAGTAAGATGAAACCGTTAAGTAACTCAGTAGACTGATGACATAGAATTCCTATGGGGGGAGCCTGGAACCTTACATAAAACATGACCTACATTGTTTTTATTAATATTTTCTGAAAGATTTTTGATCATGAGTATGTTCCATTTACACACTGCCACACGAATCCAATCCATTTTGAGCATTTTCACTGTTGAACACCAACGTCAGTGAGGGTTTGTGTGTGAAAGTTTAGAATATGTCGCTTAAAACTGTTTAACTTAAAGTTTGAGTCTCTTCTTTTTTTTTAATTATGGTTGTTACTTCTGGAAATCAACTGATATTAATTTGATGAAGAAGATGTATTTACTAAGTAGGTCTCCATCATTTCCATTTGCAATCATCGTCCAAATCCACTGAGAAAAATGGAGTCGCACTCGGTTTAGTTTTGTTCGGTGTCAAAATTTACACTTGTTCATTATTAGGAAATTGAAATAGATGGGTTTAATGATTATTTTTCATTTCCAATGAAGATTCTTAAAATAGTACTATTTTTTTTTTTTTTGGGGGGGGGGTAAGTTTTACTAGGTATTTTGCAGTACTATCCAGTCTTTCCTGTCTTCATGTTTTGTTGAGCACTGACTCAAACTGCACTTTTAAGTCGAGTTTTCTTTGATTTTACGAAATGCCTGAAAAAGTGTAATCGGCTCTAGAGCCAACTGATAACTTCTCTGTGTGAGTACTAACTTCCCACGTGTGCACCGTAAAAAAAAAAAAGACAGTCCACAGTTTTTGTGTATATCTGTGTCAGCTGCAGTTGCTCAAACCAACCAACCACCCCTTTGTATCTCTTGCCCCCTCCCTCCTTCCCTCCTCACCGGGTATATCTTCTGTAGGCACGACGTTGCAAACAACCGAGGGCCAAACCACTATCCCGCCGCGCAGTACGCCCAGGCCGCCGATAGTCCAGAACACAGACAATGAAGTGCACGTCAAGACCTCGCCAACGCAGAAAATCCCCACCAAGGGCCCTAATGCCGTCGACCCTTACTTGGGAGGTAAGACCCTTTGTACACCTCACAATGGCGGCTACTTGGTCTATACATTTAAGTTCAGTTCTTTTTGTCGTTAACGTTGCTACCGATAATTTGGCATCTTCCTCTTGCATCATTATACACTGCATTATAGTCACTGACCCCCTCCATTAGTGCTACAGGGATGTGATTGTTACGGGTAGGTCTAAAAATGGGAAACAAAAATATGATATTTTGGCAAATTTGTTCCAACGGGAACCAAAAGTCTTTTTGTTAACTGCGGATGGTTCATTACATCCCTGTATCTAGCATTAACTCAAGGCCACTGTAGTGCACTGCTTAAAAGACCATATATCTAGACATAAAAATAATAGAAAAAACTTGGCATGAATGCTCCAACTTTAAACCTAACAAAATCCTCGTTAAATTAACCAATTAAGCAGCCAATAAGCTTTAGGCTTTTCGCTGAGTGTATAGCGTACTCTGCCTCGCAGGGAATAAATACGTAATTAACTATTATCAGCTTTGCATGAAAATGCAATTCAGTACTGCTTAGCCAGTTTTTTTTTAAAGGCACTTGGAGAAAATGGATAATTGTAGTAGACTCCTCATTGACGCCTTTTCATGTTTAACATTTGTTTTAGTAGTTTTTTTTTTTTTGCTTTGATGTTCCCAGAAATTGTACTCACTAACAAGAACTGCTCTTGGCACGTTAACATTAACTCAATACCAGATATTCCTAGAGAAATCTTTAAGTGCAGGCAAAAAAATGACACACTACAAAACGTTTCACTCAAAGTTATTCAAGATGTACATGCATGCAAATGTCCTAGTGCCTGCTTGCTTAACCCAATGGCATCCTGCACTGTTTACTAACTGGTTTTAGGTAATGAAATTTTGGGACAGCTGGAAATGTCTTGTGCATGTGACATAAATTGCATTGTGAGAATCTGTCAATCAGGGCTTTCTACAGCGGGACTTACGCTGTATTGCTTGAAACTGACCGGCCTATAACTTGTCGTTCTGCCTAAATTCATGGGCAGTTTGTGCTGTCCAGTGTCTAAAAGTTTTAAAACCCATCTGCTTATTATGGTATAAAAGAACAGCAACCTCAGAAATAATTGTTGTTTTCCCAGAAAACAGGGGTGGGGTGGGAGAGCAACCTCAAAAATAATACTTTTTCTGAATGAAAAAAAAAGGGCTGGGACTATTACCAAAACTCTTTGTGTCCTGCTTTTGTCTGACAAAGTCTGTACATACTCGTTGTAATCGTCAACCATCTATTTCGTCTGTCCATTTTTTCTTAAAGTCCCAACTATACATCTCAAGTACTATCAGTCAGTAAACAGTGTCATGCACAATTATTTTCTGTACCCTTTAATGATGTAGTTATCTGCATGCCCCGACTCCAATTATCATCTTTTATTTGAACCCCCCCTCCCCTCCCACCACCATATCTGCATGTCTTACCAGTGTACATACCCTCAACACACAACCAGTCTTTGTTTTCAGTTGAACAATTTTGTTATTAATACACATGTGGTGACGCCATTGTGAAACGTTTGGGTCAAAATACATCTACAATTCGAGATACTCTGCCAAGAACATGGAAACATGTTTTTTTTTTTCAAATTGGAATAATTTGTCACTTAAGCAATCTTAGGGGAAGACCCTACAATGATCTAATTAATTATGGTCAAGATGTAAAAAAAAATAGAAAACAGAAACTAATAACAAATTTAAAAAAAAACTGCTTTGTGGTGGCTAACTTTGATATGGTGTCAAGAAATTAATAAACATCTCTACTGATGACGTCGAACTTTGTTTACGTGTGCGCTTTTCTATGGGGCTGCGAACGGTCATCCCACCAGGCTTCCATAAGAAAACACACATGTAAACAAAGTGTGACATCATTGCTGCAGAGGCCTATTGAGTACCGAAGTGTCACGTCATTTAGAACCAGAAAGTGTAGTGCAAACGAATGGAGTACGCGCGCGTGTTGGTTCACGGGCTGAATCACGCGCTAATGTCTTTTACACACATTTTGTGCGCGTGACGTATTCACTTCGGTACTCCATTGCGGGTTGTTTGGAGTGTTGCTTACAAGTTGCCTTGTAATCACACAAAAATCAACAAATAAGTTATAAATAACCACAAAAAAATGATTTCTTTATCTTGGTGTGCTCAGGCAATTCAATTGCAATACACCTCTCTGCTTAGTGTGATTTCCTTCAAATTCATATTGGCTCATTTGTTGTAGGTGAAGCACTCAAAAAAAAAAAAAAAGAAATTGCAGAATTGTAACATATTTTGTTTTCTTGGTTGACGAAAAAAGAAAAGAAAAAAAAAACATACAGCAGCTGATAAGTGCTTTGTTTTCCCAAAAACCTCTGTCTGTGGTATGATTTGTGATTTTAGTTTTACCCCATTTTTGTCCACTGCATGAACTCCATTTTACAATACTCCACTGGATTTTTTTCCCTTTAAGTTCACATTAGTAAAACTCCCTTTATTTTAAAGGTTAATTTCAATTACAGACAATAACTTCATTTTATTATTTTTGCGAAGTTTGTGCCAGTACCAAGTTGTTTTTTTAAAGCACACAATTTTCTTTAAATAAGGTCAGGTTTTTGTTAGCTTTTTTTTTCAATCTCTTCATTTTTGCACTATCAATTTAGAATTCAAGCTATACTTTTAGGGACACAAAATAATTTTTTTAATAAAAAGCAAAATTGCAGGGAATGTCTTTGAAATACACCATATACCTCTCATGGGCATTGTCAAACATTCTGTCCTCCACAGATCAGTAGATCTTAGAAACATGCTAGCAGTTTTTAAGGGTGCAGAATCTCAACTTAATTTAATCCAATTTAAAAACAAAAAGTCAGCAAATGAAATGAGCCATTCCTTCATTTAGCCGCCAAAGTGAAATAAAGGGTCTTCTCCTCTGTGTCATTTTCTTAGCAGGGTTCTAAGATGAAGGGATTCCTCTTTACTTTTTCTTCTGGTAGACATTGGCAGAGTACAGTTGAAATGTATTTACACAGGCAGTATTGTCTTCACCATAGATTGTATTACTTAACACTTCCACATTTCAAGGTCAAATTTGCATGAACATAATACACTGGCAAGTTCTCAACCATTTCAAATATTCCAAAACAATTCCAGTATTTAACCATGCCGATTTTATAGTCCGCATGTGTGCTTTTTTGTTTCTTCGGTTGATTACAATCACTGTTGTTGATTTCGTTTCAACTGTACGTGTCAAAAGTTTTTGTTCTATCCAGTCTGAGAGTATTCAAGTTTACTCAAGAATGTTTTGCATTGGATGAGTGAGGTCTTGTCAAGTCTTCACCATACATGTAAACGGAAAAAAAATTTGACAACTAAAAAAAAAGGGGAAAATGAAACATGCTTGGGTATTGAATGCTCTCTGTTTGTTTTATAATTCTATCATTTCATTGAATTTGTATTGGGTTATTTTCCCCACTCCTGTTTCACCAAATACTGGTTATCTACATTTCTCCCTCCTGGAAGCTTTCCTGTCTCCTCAGACCTGAAGGGGAAAACAACTTGCTCTGTAGGGCAATGGGCAGATTGTCTGTGCATTTCTGTGCAGCGTTTGAAAACTGTTTAAATCTGTCAGTCCCTGTGTTTGGAAATAAGCAGAACAGCACTTATTTAACATGTAGTTGGCAGTATAGTGGAACAGGTTTGAGAACCACTGGTGCTTGGTGAAGGAACTTTAAAGCTGTGTTGGTAGTGTGGGGGAACTGGTTTGAGAACCAGTGCTGTCTGGTGAAGGAACTAGCTAAGCCGTGCTGGCAGTATAACGGAACTGGTTTGAGAACCAGTGCTGTCTGGTGTATGAACTAGCTAAACCTGTGTTGGCAGAATGGGGGAACTGCTTTAAGAACCAAATGCTGTCTGGTGAAGGAACTTGTTAAAGGGTGTTGGTAGTATGGGAGAACTGGTTTGGGAACCAGTCCTGTCTGGTGAAGGAACTAGCTAAGCTGTGATGGAATACAGGGGAACTGGTTTAAGAACCAGTGTTGTATGGTGAAGGAACTAGCTAAAGCTGCGCTGGCAATACAGGGGAACTTGTATGAGAACCAATGCTGTCTGGTGAAGGAACTAGCTAAAGCTGTGTTGACAGTATGACGGAACTGGTTTGAGAACCGGTGCTGTCTAGATCTGTGTTTGCTGTATGTGGGGAACTGGTTTAAAAACCAGTGTTGTCTGGTGAAGGAACTAGCTAAAGCTGCGTTGGCAATACAGGGAACTTGTTCGAGAACCAATGCTGTCTGGTGAAGGAACTAGCTAAGGCTGTGTTGGCAGTATGGAGGAACTAGTTTGAGAACCAGTGTTGCCTGGTGAAGTAACTAACTAAAGCTGTGTTGGCAATATTGGGAAACTGGTTTGGGAACCAGTGTTGTCTGGTGAAGGAACTAATTAATGCTGTGTTGGCAGTATGGAGGAACTGGTTTGAGAACCTGTGTTGCCTGGTGAAGTAACTAACTAAAGCTGTGTTGGCAATATCGGGAAACTGGTTTGGGAACCAGTGTTGTCTGTGAAGGAACTAGCTAAAGCTGTGTTGGCAGTATGGAGGAACTGGTTTGAGAACCAGTGTTGTCTGGTGAAGTAACTAACTAAAGCTGTGTTGGCAATATAGGGAAACTGGTTTGGGAACCAGTGTTGTCTGTGAAGGAACTAGCTAAAGCTGTGTTGGCAGTATGGAGGAACTGGTTTGAGAATCAGTGTTGTCTGGTGAAGTAACTAACTAAAGCTGTGTTGGCAATATCGGGAAACTGGTTTGGGAACCAGTCTTGTCTGTGAAGGAACTAGCTAAAGCTGTGTTGGCAGTATGGAGGAACTGGTTTGAGAACCAGTGTTGTCTGGTGAAGTAACTAACTAAAGCTGTGTTGGCAATATCGGGAAACCGGTTTGGGAACCAGTCTTGTCTGGTGAAGGAACTAACTAAAGGTTATTGTGGATTACTCACTTTGTTTGACCAGTGTTTGTTTGGTCGAGAAATCATCATATGTTGTATTAGTCTGGTTTTGACTGGGCATTCTTTTCTTCTGGATCAGAGAGCTTTGTTTTCAGCCTGATGGGTTGATAACCAGTTTGAACCAGAGCTGAGAATTGTGTTGTTTTGTTGTGGTTTGAGAATCATTTATCTGCTATGTGTTTTTGGTAAATCTGTTTCAAGGGTTTACTAAATTTCGTCTTTTTGGGATGTTGTGTTTGTTTGGATTTGTTACGATTTGTGTTTTTAATTCAAAGAAGTTTAATTTGTGTTCAGTTAATTTGTTTTGTTCAGTTTTTTTTTGTATGTCAGTAACATTTTGATTTCAATTATTTTCTTTTCCCTGATTTTATTTAGTTATTATATAATCAACATAATTTTCTTATCTCTATTAAGTGTCCCCATCCTTTAACGTAGTGTTGAATTTTTTTTAAAGCAAAGTATGTAAGAAAGGTAGCAGCATTCAAAAACACTAAATGATAAAAAACTAAAACAAAATATGATTTTAATTTTAATTTTGTAAGAAGAGTTAAAAAAAATATACATTTTTGTTAAGAAGCAGTGCACTCAGTGAGTGGGTTGAAATTTTCCTTTCTTTTATTGTAAACTTGAAAACAAGGAGAAAGTCGGAAAGGCAAACAAAACTATTTTTTTTCCAAAAAAAAGAAGAGCTTAACCCTAAAAAAAGGGGTTTAACCCTAAGCAGTGAGCAATATCTTGAAGGTTCAAAGTTGTGTTTTAAAGACATCTGATTTGTATGGGTGTTGTAGTTGGGATATTGATGATCGTGAGCATGCCTTTCCTGCAGTAGATGATAAGAGACAAATTTAGCGAAATAGATATTTTAGTTGTCACAAGTCCACCCGTAGAAAGTAGTTGCAACTTATTGCACTGATCAATGTTGCATGAAGAAACGGATAGAAAAATTAGTGCATGAATTGAGTGACGTCACTAGTTTGCATGACTTTAATACCATCATCGTAGTACAAATAAGCTGAATCAAATCATGTTTGCATTCATTTGAATTTGTTGATTTAATAATAACTCAAGGAGTCAGCCTTATTTGGTTTACAACTTGGTACTTTGATCAAGAAGAAAAACAAAGTTATATTGTTTCCTCCTTTTAAAGTTGCCTTTTGAGCAAAGACAGTCAAAAACCAAATTTGAAATTTGCCAGTCAAAATTGGCCGCTATTTAAGAAACTGTTTAAGAAAAACTTTTTCAGATACGAGCTCTGTAACCAAAGTCTCAAAAAGGTATCTTTTATTTAATTGATATAATAATGGGACAGGAAACAACTTTCATGCTCGATTTTTCAGATTTGGTTCAGGAAAACTGGTGTTAATCGTTTTGATTGAAAATATTGCAACATTTTGCACTCAGTAGACTTTTACTGGGCTCGGTAGAAATTGGCCAATAAGGTTGACGTTGACTTCAAATCATCCTTAGATAGGAAGCATCTAATCATCATATACCATTTTTGTTCTATTCCTTCCATTTTCCCCCCATTCACTTCCCGTACCCATTCCATGTGGATATTCCGTTACCATGTGGATAATTCCCGACTAATTCCGTGTGGAATTCCCGTCTTGTTTTTGGTGAGTTGTGCATATCCGTATTTTTGACGGGGTGGCAGCTGAAATTGTTCATGTATTCATTTTGATTTTGTTAATTTTCTTTCTTCTTACATTAATTTTACCTATTCACGAAACTTTTCACGTGGTATTTTCCTCTAACTTAAATGTGATGGTACGTTGTTCTTTCTGGAACCCAGCAAAATAACAAGCTTATCGTGACTAACTTGTAGAAGAAAGATTAGTGTCCACTTTAATGTCGCTGTCCAGTTTAGAGTGGCATTTTGGTTAACTAATGAAACTGACTTGTGTTTTATTTCACTGTCTTGGTTTGAGCTGTTTGTTTCTTCATTCATTTCATCATCAATTTCTTTTTTGTTCATCATTGGCTTGTGCATGTTTCCACTAAACTCATTCTAGTAATTGTTAGCATTAATACCACTTTTTTTCTTGTAACAATATTTTTGCTTCTGAACATGTGGGCAAATCTGTTTTGAACTAATTCATATTGATTGTTGTAATCTTTTTCTGGTCATTGATTAATTGAACATTTTCATTGTGCACTTTGATTGTTTCTTAGTGTGCATTGCCAAAAAAGGATGAATAAAAATATTTGGAATAGATAAATAAGTGTCACCGAAAGGTTTGGGTTAAAATAAAACCTCACAGACCACCATATCACTTGGTTTCCAACCATCAGCTGCTATTTGAGATCATTTCATGCAGTAATACCTGTACCAAAATAATGATTAAGTAAAAAAAGCCACATACTAGACGGACTAAAACAAATATTGATTGTTTTTATTGAGAAGGCAAGGCTTGTTCTGAAAAAGAAATATTCGCAAAGAAAAAGAAAAGAAAAGATGAAAGACTTAGTGTTCTGAAAAAGAAATATTCTCCACAAAACAAAGAAACAAAAGATGAAAGACTTAGTAAGAAAGCATGACAATCTTTCTGGTGCATGAAAAACAGTGATGCACAAAATGTCAAAGAAAATCTGACCAATTCTGCAATATGCATGTGTACTTTCTGACACGCCAAAACAAGTCAGGTTGCAAGAGCAGGGAATGAACAACGACTAAGGAATACTGTTGTCGCTGTTCATTTGAATACCTTGTGACTTGACTTGAAATTGGAATGCATGACCATGTTATTTCTTGTATGGACTTGACTGCAGCCCAGCAAACCTGGAGTTGTCAGCCTCCGCTTGCAAAGATTCCCAGGCAGCACCTGTTACCGGTCATTAATTGTCTTTTACTTGACCCCTTCTTCCCCCTTTGACAGAATCGGTCGGCTATAATAAAGGTCCCCCCTCGCCCGTCTTCTGGTCCTTCTTCGCCATCGGCTGGCTGATCGCCTTCATCCTCATGGTCTTCCTGATCCACCTCTTCGTCACCAAGAGGTGTAAGGGTAACTATCAGCCCACGGACACGGAAGAGTCTGTCCTCGGCTCAAGTAGGTGTTCCAATGCCTTTCTTTGATGTATGTCTCAACAACAACCAAAAAAAAATCACTCTCGCCCACAAAAGAACAATTCAACTTTTGTGCGCTTGCTCTTATTGCACTCCCCAACTTCTGAAACCAAAAGAGATTTAGTGAGAAATTAGCACTCCTCCTTGCAATCTGCTTTTGGTAGTTGCACTGCAATATGTCTTCTGGCCAATTCCCTATGTTGCATGTTGGATACTGGACAAAATTTGTGTTGCACTTTTCACTGACCTGCCCTTTCTGGAATGAAGGTACTGCCGAAGATGCTTAAACACAGACAGCAAAATCACACTAAGGAAACGGTGCTCCCCAAGACCTTTTGATGAACAATAATCATGTTCTACATGTATGGAATATGTCTGAGTAATCTTTACTACGCAACATATCTTTGGTCATGAGGACATAACTTTTTAATGTTGGCTTCATGTAGTGCCCTTGCCAATCAATGGACTCCGTGCATGCACATTTGAGGGCGCTGTGATATTGGTGTGAGCTCTGCGTGCGGGACTGCGTGCACACGCGCGCATACTGGTTTGAGTGTGTATGGCCCAAAGTGCGCTAAGTTGAAAACCTGTCACCTCGTCAGTAGCATTATGTTCAGAAATCCCTGCAAACTCTCTCAAACTATTGAGGGGGCACTTGTGCACGGAGCCCATATTTCTAGTAGTACATTGTATATGTGAGAACATCTTCCCAAACCATCTGTGTTTTCAGCCTTCGCTTCTGCATGGCAATACATGTGTCTGCACAAACAATTGTGGATGATTGCAAACAAAAAACTTGCAGGACGCTTGACCCAGGTACATTTCAAATGTGTCCATTAGAGAAAATCTTGAAAACGAGTTTCCATGTTTCTATTCGGGGAAACTTGGGGATTTCAGAAAAAAAAACCAACAAATTTGGGAAAACTCAGGGAATGTGACAGTGACCGTATAAGTGCGTCTTGTGCCATGTGTCCAAGTTGTTCCGATCAACTGACTGGCAATATAGCTTTGCTTTTTCTTTCCAAGTCACTTATGAAAAGGAAGTTTTCCTCCTGGACAGAAGTTACTTCCAAAAACATTGGAAACCGCCCAAGCAAAATTGAATTTGAACTTTGTAATGTACCTGTGTCGAGTGCACTTGGCAGAAAAAGGCCGAGCCCATAGCTTCTACTTCACCCCAAAGCATTTCTGTGTGTTTCCACCACCATCTGTTTGTCCTTTGATTCTCTCTCACTTGTTTCTCTGTGTTCTCTTGCCTTCTCTCTGATTCGTGTTGAATGTAGGGAATACACAATTAACAAGCGTGAGATAGTACATGTGTAGGTATACATTTTTTTTCTTGAGCGATATAGATGCAGATATTTACGCAACTAATGAACTTACAAGCTTTGGGGAGAAATATATAAACAGGAAATTCTAAAACAAGGGAATTACAACGGGTTCTTAAACAAAAATCACGGACATCGGTTTCACAGATCTGGGAATTACAGGCTGGTAGCTTACATTGTCTCTCTATATCCGAGGCAGTCGTCATTTTATCATACGATGTCCTAATTGTCTGTGTCTGTGCGCTTTTTAAAATTCCCCCATACTCACAGCTTTCGGCATTAAATCATCACTTCTTTGGTTTGAATTGTATTGGTGAATATTCGTTTCCTTCATGTATGCCTTGATGTCATTGTCTTCATTGTTTTCGTACAGTAGATTTTTTCCACTGCATTTTTATTTTTTTTGGATTGACTTGACACATCAATATAATTTGTCGACCCCCTGTACATGAATAAAGGGACAGCATTTCTGTACAAGGAATTTCATTGGTATCACTGGCTTCTTTGAAGATTACAATTTCTGGTGTCGTGGTGATGGATGTTGTATTAAAGATGTTTTATCGAGGTTGAGGAAAGTTTATGTCCATTCGGAGGAGGAATAATGCATCCATATGTTGTGCTTGCATATTATATTCTATCTACCACATGCTTATCCACATCAACTTGGCTTTTTTTGAATCGGGATAACAGTCGACACTATGATCTAACATGTCTAAATTGACCACTTGGGCAGTGAAGTGAATTCAGTTACATGTATGTGGCCTATTCACTGTGATCTGGGTTTTAGCAGTGTAACTATGGGTGTTTTTTTTCTGGAGCTCCTGTTGCCTATATTTTCAGCTTTCATGGTCTTTTCATAGTATACTTGAAATGAGTAAGAAAGATTTTTTTAATCCAGCAACAAGATTGAGATACGCTCACTTGATGCCACATTTGGTTTGGATGATACAAAGATTTATGCAACTTGTGCACGGCATGCTAAGGATTCCGCACTTTCAGGGTTTAAACTTCTTCCTTCAATTACCCAGAGACGTATTGTAAGTCGGAACTGGAGAGCAAAACTTAAGTTAAGAATCAACAGTCCTTTCTGTTGTGGTAGAAGGTGTTTTTTTTTTGAGGGGGGGGGGGGCATTTTGCAAATTGACTGTCCAGAATTGTCAGTTTAAGCAACCATAAAACCAATACATTAAAACAATTCTCAACACTTTTTGTCCACTGAGATAATCAAATTGTTGATTTCGGACTATGGAGAATTATTTTTGCCCCCCCCCCACCCGGCTTTTTCAGCACTTCATGGCATGCCAGCTCGATAAAAGCACTGTGCGCTGTTGTCTGTGGTAGCACTGGTTGTATTTGGTTGAGGAGAATTTGTCCCGAGATGTATCAAGATAATTTTTTTTAAAAAGGTCCTAATGTTGCCTTTCTTGATTTGTTTTCATCGCAAGCTTCCCAACCCTCTTCCACTCACACCAGTGCAGACTCGTGCTGCTCTGTCCTGAAGGTATGAAACCTGGTTATATACTCTTTATCCGATTTAAATATGGCCCCAGCAAGATGTGTAGCCAAGCAACAACTGTCGGTCAAGTCCGTAAAAAAACAAACAAATTTGGGCCAAATTTTTTGACTTGATATTTGTGCTGTACAAAGATCTTTTATGTCCTGCACATGTTTGTATGCAAACTTACTACCGAGAGTTACCATAGATTCATTAAGCGCTGGGGAAATATGGAAATTGAATTCTTGCCTTGTTTGCATAATGATGGTTACTGCAAACGCATATGTGTAGATGGTATTACCATGCAGATTTGCAAGCTACAAAGCATACAGAATCATTGAACAGAGTGGAGTAGGTTACCAGCTAAAGTGCCATGTGATCTGTATTGCTTGTGACTGGTTACCGGCTGATTACTGTTCATTTTTTGTTATGGCACAGTATTTCACTGTGTATACATGTATGTAAATAATGTCAACTTGGCATGATGAGTCGGTTATCACATCAGTGTTGCTTTTCATCCGCTTTTTGTGTCCTGACCCGAGATTGTAAGAAAGTGGCCAAAATACATGTTCCAGACCAACTGTTTCCTTTAAACATACAAGGCTAGCAACTTCAGATAGATTTCATGCAGATATGCCAACCTTTTTTAGATATGCACCACGAGTGTGGAGTGTAAGAAATTGTTTGGTAAAATGTACCTTTTTTTTTCAACTTTAGTGCAGCTCATTATGTTGAACAAATAAATTTTGAAAAAGTGAAGTCATCTTAAATTTGACGAAGCAGATTGTTTTCCAATGCATCCAGTTGCCTCTGGTTGCCAAGTTCTTGGTTTTGCCTTTACTGCCAGATGTTCCATTAGCACTTGTTTTGCATTGTACATGTACTACACTATAGTTACTCTTTGACAAATCCATAAACCTGTGGAGTACTGGGGTGGTTTGGGGCGGTATAAGGAGTAACAGTCACCGTTAATGGGTTAATGGGGATTTTTGTGATTGGTACATTTTCTGTTCTAATACATTGGATTGAGGAAGTCGTGTGATGGGCCAAATGTGGAATATTTGTAGAACTTTAACACTACATTTACGTCGCTGCAAGGTAACTGCTGTTTTCAACGTGGTTTGGCTGCCTTTATTTTGGATAGGAAATGGGGAACTGGTGTCTCTTCAGTGCAGTACGTGGAATAAGTGGAAAGTGTATTTTTTTTTCTTTAAAGTATCTAGTGTATGCCAGAATCTCTGATAAGTCGTCCAGCTGCTTTGCACAGTGCACTAAAAATCACCCTATGTAACTGTTACAAATGTTGAATGTAAAGAGATGTTTGGCTTATTCCTTGGTTGACGTGATGAAGAAAATTCAATTGTCCGTTTGATATACAAGCCTCTGATATGTTTAAAAGAAAACCTGACAAATAGTTTCAATTTTTTGACTCTTTAGAGGATCCAGTGCCAGCTAAATTCAACTCACAACAGTAATGGGTAGGATACCTGTATTTACTCTTTTGCCCCTGCTGCGGAAATGTTTATGTTGACAATTGTCTTGTTGCAAAAACTTTCAGTGGAGAGGTAAAACTAAAAATTCATTTTCAGTTATTTTTTTTTTTTTTTTAACTGCTCGTCACACTGCCAGCCAGTATCTGAAACAGGCACTGCCAAAAAAAATGGAGTTAAAAAAATGGAGTTTTATTTCATGTTCACTTTTTTGGCACTAATTATGCGGAAATTTGTGAAGTGCACCTGCAAACCTATTTTGAAAGCTAAGAAGAACAGGAGGGTTACTGACCCCCTAAATGCAATTTTTGTTCCTGCGGCACTTATTGCTTTTTATTAAGTAGCACAGACACACCACTATAAAGGCTTGTACAAGTAATTTTTGCTATTTTTTATCACTTTTTTTTTCTTAATTGATTTTATTTTTTATTTTAAAAATATTCATTAATGTTACCAACTTTTGTTTCAGTTTAAAGAAATTTATTTAATAATTCATATCTGGTTCGTTAGTGACTTTCTCTATGCGTACGCGCACCACTGATTTCAAGCGCCCATTGTCTAAACACTCAAGTTGCGTTAACGCCTGGTTCCAATGGTTCCTATGCTACTTAGTGTGCAGTGGGCGTGGTTTAAATTGAACTGACGTCACACTATTACCGGATAATAATAAGGATAATGTAAAAATGAAACTCTTTGGGGGATGTTATATTTTAGTTGAAAAACAACGTTTTTTTCCCCCTTAAGGTGTGAGAAGTATATTGTTCCCTCATTTTTCGACAACTGATTTGATCCTGTTCTTGAGTCAGTGTTGTTTTTCATATACACGTTACTTATTTTGTTTTGTTGGATGGAAAAGGGGGCTAACAGGAATTTGTTTTGTTTGTGATTTGTGTTTGTTTTCTTTTTTAACGATAGTGTTTCGTTTATCTTGAGAAGAAACTTCTTGATTCTTATGTAACCAAAGTTCTTTCTGTAACGAACATGTAACAATGGGCTTTCTCAGTCAAAGGTTTAAACTAACATCACTAACTTAAACAAAATTAAAAATTAGCGGGACAAATTTTACATCTGAAATGTAGATTTGTTTTTTGGGGTAGCGGTAATGGGTATCTTAATTCTAAGGTATCAACGAAGTTGGAGTGAGGTGTTTATGAACAAAAACGTAATCTTGAGACATCATCAAAATGGGACCATTGGAACTCCTGAAGGCTGAAGGTCGTTCTCTTTTGTTTTGATTTTGTTTTACTTAGTGCATTTTGGAGAAGATTTGAATTTAATAACAAGAGATTCTCCATTTGGCATGTTAAGTGGCACGATATTTATTTATTTATTTATTTATTTCCTAAGGTTGGACTGAAGTGAAACATTTCTTGTTATGAAAATAAGTTTGATTTAGTCGTGCATCGTGCTTTGATTTGTGAACTAATGTTTGGGATAAACAGGAAGTAACAATGACTGAAATGGGTTTTTTTGGGGGGGATTGAAATACATAATTGACTGCCATTTTTATTTGGAATCACGTGTGTCAGTTTGTCAATAACCGAAACACAAAGCTGCTATTCTTTGCCTGTGGCTTTTTTCAGAATGCCTAATCTAAGGGACTTGATTGCTGTGTTGGTAAGATTGGTATGAATCCGAATGGTGAAAATGTGAATTTGTTGTCAATTACCCAACCGAGGTGCGATTCTATAAAAAAAGGTGGAAAAGTCCATCTGGCCCCCTCCCCTGCAAAAATGGACTATTTTCTCAATTAGAAAAAAAAAATTGGAAAGATTTTAAAAGGTAACAACTTTCCTACAAAACCTGCCAAAAAATCTCAAATCAGTGTAAAAAAAAAAAATTGTATATTTCTGAAATTGAGCACTCCCAAAAGTTTTTTAGAAACGCGCCTTGAAGTGTATGTTTCCTAAAAACATTTTACCAAAGTGCAAACTTAACATGTGGTTTTCTTGTTAGTCTGTTGTCTAACATTCTTCAGACTTGCGGACCCTGTCGATATCCACTAATTGCACAAACGTCAAAATCTTCAGATCTGGGGGTTTTTCCCTTGTGCTGGGCTAAAAAAGTGTAGAAATCCTTTCTTTCACACAGCCAACCCCACCCACTGCCATTTAAACTAGCAACCAACCAGCTCATAATCATCCCGTACCCCTTTTTCCCCGAGAAGCTGTATATTCTATGAGCACATAACTACCAGAATGTGATTGTCCCTTCCTTATCCAAATTATAACTATTACTGTAAAAAAGTACATTTTGTTTTGACATTTCATCCATATTGATACATATTAGTTGATAGTAATGACATTTGTACCACTTAATGCTGATTTATTTCTCTGTTTGCTGCATTTCCTTTCGTCATCATATCCTTTTTCCCCACCCTGCATGATCAGAGTCGTTTGTGCGAATCATTTTTAGACTTCCAGCAATCATAACCTGTTGTTGCTTTACTTTAAACAAGATACCTAAAATATGGAATATATTTGATAACAAGCATGGAAATGTGCAATAATATAACGTGAGTGTTGAATGGAAACTCTGTGACTTTGCAGTGGTTGTTTTTAAAATTATTTGATGGATTTATCTGTGTCGTGTCATGGAGTTGGCAAGTCAATCACAAGTTGGTCGCAGGTACTGGGAGAAACGTTAACAAATGAATTCCATTCAATTGAATAGAGACGGGATGATTTGTGATTGACTTGCGAGAACTCGGCTACGACTGTTGTTCATGACAAAATACTATTGGTTTTTGCCTTTTTTTTTTCCCCTTCAGGTTATAAACCGTCCCCCAAAATTGTCAAGACAGTCCTCCCATCAGAGAACGGAAAGCCACCCCTTATGACATCGATGCAGGAGTCACCGGTGAGAGTCACGCCAGTCAATGGTAGCCTGCCGCAGTCCCGCACTCACTCGCTCACCCCAAGCACCGACCCTAACCTGAGGAACTCAACCAACGGATCCTACCAGCCACCCAGGGGCTCCTTCACCTACGGCATGGATAACTCCTACCTGACGCCCTACCCGGGGGGCTCTCTGGAGAGGCGGCACCCGCCGACAGGTGGCGTTGATGAGGGTTCCCCGCACCGGTTGCCCAGCGAGACGGAAAGCCGGCCCTCAGCATCAGGAGCATCTGATTCAGAACAGTGCGATGATTCGGACATCTGGCTCAAGATGCCTGACGATTCTCAAGTCTGAAACTCTGCAAAAAAGAAAAGAAAAAAAGTAACTTCCTTTTAAAACTTTTGCTTCAAACTTCGGAGTCATCCCAGCAGTCTGTGAAATATATTAAAGATGCTGAAAGGGGCTGAAAGAGAAAATAAAATTGCTCGCGCGAGAACTTGAAATTGGTGAAGGACTTCCACTGGATGAACACCAGAGCAGATGAAGAACGTGGCCCGATTAGACTTCAAAGACGTTTTGATGCTCGTTGAAAAAAGTGAAAATGTGCAACAAGGGATTGCATGACAAATTTAAAATTAAGAAGCAATACGGAACATGGGAATGAAACGTGGTGAGCAGCTGTGGATAGTTCTCCTCGGCATCTGTGTTTTAACTCACAGCTGCCTGTAACTAGTCTGGAGTGACTTGTAAAAAAAATGCGGCACGGAGTACTTAAAGAGATAAGAAACTAATATGTCAACTTGTCTGGGTGAAAAAGTAAATGCCAAGCTTTCCCACCTACGAAGGAACGTCAGATGGAGAAGTCCATCAAAGGAAACTTGTCACGACAGGAACCCCTTCCGAAGATGGCCGAGTGATTGTCTGTGAAGGATGGCCTGCCAGCTTTGCTAACGTCTGTCGACGTTTCCCGTACTGAGTGTTGTGCATTCGAACCTTGTTGCCTTCAAACACTGCAAAGGTCGTGGCGATTCCAGTGCGCAGACTTGTTTTTTTTTCTTTTGAATAGCCGGCTCTCTTGACCAAACTTGTACAGTTGTGCCTCTGCTAAAACATATACCCAGCCAGCGTTATGCAGCCTGTAAATACTAGCTGGTGTGAGTAAATACCGTTTAAAAAACAAATAGGACTGAAACTAAGTAAATATTGATGAATTTTAAGAAAAGGTGGGGTTTTTTTTGGTGATTGTGTTGTTGTGACTTGATGTTTGTCAGTAGTCAGTATTATAGCTTTTACTCTCAAATCTTGAACATACTTGTGGTTTGTGTATTTGGTGATAGATTTTATGAATTAAAAAAAAAGAAGAAAAAAAAAGAAGAGAAGTTTTATGATGTAAAGTACAATCATCTACAAACGGATAGTGCATATTAATATTATAGTGATCGCAGCAGTGTATTCATGTACATAGATGTCAGAGTAAAGTAATTGTGTGTGTGGAATTCGTGATTGTCTAACAGAGAAATAAAAACAAAAAGGGATGATGCTTTTCAAAGGAAATTCTGAAAAAAAGTTCCTATGACAAATTGGAAAGAACATCGAAATAAGTGACTGCAACATATCATTATGGAAAGACACAATGTTAACATTAGGGAAAAGGGAAAGTAAACTAGTACAATATATTACTGTGCAATTAGTAAACTTTAAACTTTTCCTTTGAAAGGCATCATCGAAAAAAAATTGCTAAAAAAAAAGTAGCTGCAGTAGTTTCTTGCGCACATGTGATACAAACTCACACCTTAAAGTGAAACAGCATAAAAGATACACCACCAAGTAACGGGAAATGAAAATCACAAAATTATCACAAAGTTAAAATAAATGTTAAAAAAAAATATTAATATTAATACAATGCATGTTCTGTATCCGGTTTAGCAAAATTTCATACATATATGTGTATGGACTGCAGAACGTCAATGTTCAACCAAGAAAAAAGTAACTACCAGTTTGCAGTTCTCAATTTTCTAATTGTTAGCGGAGAGCGCCCTCAATTCAGTAGTTGGTAGTCGGTGTTCACTGGTCTACAGTTGCCTTGACGATGATGGTATTTAATACCATTCGAATGATGAGGGAACAGAAATCCCCACTGTGTGTAGCTGGTGAGTGAGCGTGTATTCGGAATGGACGATACCAAAACCTATGTGTGTACAGTTCTTAAATTAGCTATTTTTTTCCCTTTTTTTAAAGATGGGCGGTTCATCGGTATGTGTATATAAGGCAATTGGTGAGGAATTATTTTATTTATTTAAAATTTCTGATTTCTTGTTTTTTTATTGCCATTTTTTAAAACAAATAAGTAAGAAATTAAAGGACTCCCATCACTTGTTAATAGCAACATTCCACATCCGCTAGTACATTTTGTCAACTAAGCATCCTTTTTTTAGTGCAAAAAAGAGAGATCTGATGAAATCTTGAGTGGCTGTGCGTCAGACATGTCTACGGAAAATTTGTCATGCATACTTTTCATCAAACATGCATGTCAGTCTGAGTGCACACACTGTGTCTATGAGAATTTTGTATCATTCAACACTTCCTATACAGAAATCATTAGCCTCTTGCTTTGGTTAAGTTTGGGTAAATACTAGAGAGTTCAGTTCACCCAAATCAAATCGTGTGTTCACAGAAGTTCGAGCATCGTTTTGTGCTCTCACTGTGGTTTAGAATGCTGACATGCAGTACAAATCTACCACTGAAATCAGTGGAAATCAGTCAGAAATGGCTTGGACGGTATTTGGACCTAATTTGTCTCAGAAACTTTGATCACATTTCCAGAATGTGTTAATTCACCTATGTGTGATACATTGCGGTGCCTGGCAGTTGAAACCTTTGCATCAATTAAAATCATCATCAAACTTTCTTGGAAGGAAATTTTAATTTATTAATTCCTAAATTAAATGAACTGCTCATGTGCATTAAAAGCATCAACTTTACACATGTCATATGGCTGAATTTAAATTCCATATTTATGGCTATAACTTAAAAGAAATATATGAGCAAATGAAAAGGAACTCCAAAATATTTTTTGGGAGAAAGAGCTTAAAGGATTGAATTTTTTATTTACTATTCTTTTTATTGAACTGGTTCAGTGTGTAAATAAGAAAAACAATTGTCCACGTTATGTATATATTTTTTTCTACTTCTATGCAAAGGTTCATCTGTAAAAATGCTTTCAAGTTGCCGCTATGTAAAAAAAAGTGTCTCTAAAATGTTCTTCCCCTAAAGGGAAGTTAGTAAAATTCTTAGTTTTACAATTGTGAGTAGGAATTTGTCGTATTGCGAAGAGCATAGTGAATTAGTACTGTTGCAAAATAATGGATTCTTATAGGTCTCTCTCAAATGACGTCACTTCCTACAGATTGCCACGTGCATCAGCAGTTTGTGAGTTAAATTGTGGTGACGCGCATCCGCTGAACCGTATTTCGAAGAAATTTCGAGCAACTAGTACATGCGCGCGTGGCTATAACAGTTTGCACACTGAGTGCACACGCACCTAATAGCATTGAATTTTCCTATGAAGATGGCGTCCTATGAGAGAGATTTGGGCCCAATTTCACAGCGCTGCTTAAAGTTGTGTTCAGCATAGCAGAAAAATTTGCTAACCTTAAGCACTATTTCACGGCGTGTGTGTGCTAACGGTCGCGCGTGCATGGAGAGTTCTATTGTTATGTCACTAAGTTAAGCAAATTTTTCCTCTGAAGTAAGCGTGTCTTTTGCTGTACTTACGCTTATGGTCTCCATGAAATAGATGGAGGCTCTTTTAGCAAAAAATTGTGTGCTTGGTAGCACCAGGAAATTGGGCCCTGTTGACAATACAGACCATTTCGGGCGTGCTAACGCGTTCATCACGGAGACCACCTTCAATGACGAAAGTATTGTGCTAGCTATTGTTCAGATAATCCGTCACAGGGCAGTTGCTTTGTACAATAGCATGCACAATGGTTTCTCCATTGAAGGGGGCCATAGGAGTGGACAGTGATCACGTGCCCCGGATTCGTCTATTGATCGATTTCAGAATTGTAGCCGGGGATGTGGACAAGTCCAGTCACAAGAAAATCACAAGTCCAGTCACAAGTAACAGTGGATGAACAATAACAAATGAATTCCTCCGTCAAAGCTCATTGGAGTAGCTTGTGAGTTGAATTGGGACTGGAGGACTTGTGATGGACTCTACTGCATCCATGCTAGGTGATCATAACTCTATGAAATCATAGTAAAGTTAAAACACAGGAAACGGGGGTGCAACAGTTTACAAAGAACTAACTTTAAAATACACATCAGAAGTGAATTACATGAGGTTTGCAAATGTTTGTGTTCCCTGGTATACCGGTACGTGCATCGACCCCCTTATTTCAATACAACAAAAGTGCATGGAAACCATTGAAAATGTAACGCAAGTGCCATTTACTTCATCTGTGGTGTTACTCTTGGGCTAAATTGTACTGCGACATTGAGGAAATACATGTAGCTATGCTGAACCATACTCCTTCAGATTTTATGCATGCACATTTCTGCATGCAAGGCGGTAGTTTTTATTTTAAAAGGTTTTCACATTTGTGAAATGCGCTAAGGATTATTACCAATTTATCATGTTTATTCAGTCAAACACCACTGTGGAAATGTATACAAAACGCATGAATTTTTTCTTAAATGTAACTGAATTTTGCTTCTTGATCGTCTTTTTTCCCTCTTTTTTGAATTCGGTTGAAATGTTAGATCTCTTATTTTTATACTGAAAAGCTTGTACAGTGTTTTAGGACTTGAAAGTATTTTTTATTATTTTTGACCCATTACCTACAAATACTGTACAAATATGTTGTATATTTAAATAAAAAGATAAATCGTGTGACTTTTACTTTTCAGAACACTGCCATATTAATTTTGTTTTTGATTTTGTGCAGTTTAAGTGGAAAGTAGGCTTTGTTTTTCTTTTCATTCTTGGTTTTGTAATTTTGTTCGTTTTGACTTGGATTATCTAGGTTTTGATTGTTTTTGTAAAAAAAAAGGTGATATGTTGGCTGATTTCTATAAATGCAGACGTAAATATTTGACTTCAAACTTTAAACTGTTGGGGAAAGAAATGGAAATGGATTATCTTTCGAAAACGTAATGAAAAGACAACTTTTATTTCAACATCAGTTCATTGACAAGAGGTTAGTTATATCACGTTAAATTTAAGTTGACAAGTTGTTTTCTCTGCTTGTAGAGGGCACTGTTGTCACTTATGTGTTTTTCCCCTAAATTTTGCAGTAACTGAAAGGTGATTTCGTCACAGCAGGTTTTTCAGTCCTACATGAAAGTGACCAGTGTATGAAATTAAGACGGAGAAATTTCATGTTTGTGTTTTTATCTCAAATATTCCTGTTTCATCTGGTACCTTTGGTTGGAAATTGTGTACATATTAAATCACCCATTACACGGCCGTAGTTATGTCATTTGCGAGTAAAAGTAAGCTATGTACTGTATCAGCTGGACTCATGAGAGTCGTACTTCTTGTGAGTAATATAATAATAAAAAGAAGAATTTGCAACGGCAGCAAACAAGAAATATTCGGATGTCTCATTCTTGGCAATTTTTGCCTTACTAGCCGTACTGACCAGGGCCACTTGTGGGACACTGGTACAAAGGGAGAGGTACCCCACAAGTGAAATCTTTGGAAAAACTGTACCCCACAAGTGAAGTCTTCAGAAAAGGGGATAAAAGGACAACAATGCTCCTACCCCACAAGTCCTTCCGGCAATAGCGTCCGTGTAGTTAAATGGACATTTTTGCCCAGTTGTGCCCCTAGTACTGTAGATACATGTATGTGAACCATTTCAGTGGAATCGTGCCTTTGATGATAGAAGCATGACGTTTTGGCATAGTAGCATATACTTGAAGATTTTCAGTTTAAAGGGCCATCGCTGATTTGCCCCATGATGAAAATGGTGGGTTGTTTCCAAGATGGCTGCCCACAGTTGTTAAACTGCCTTTGGTACGGGAGGTCAAGTACACGTACATTGTAATGGTAAGGGTATCGTACTGCAATCTTTTGTCATGGGGCAAGTTTGTGATGGCCATATAGATGATAATCTTATGGTACAATGTCTATTCAAACAATGTGCCAAGTTTAACCCATCATCAAAGATGCAACCGATTCATATATCAGCAGTACTAAACCCCCCTCCCCCCCCCAAAAAAAATCCCAAATAAGCAATGGAAAGGAGCCTCAGTGCTCTTTTTTTTAAGGGGGCTGCAAATTGTCTCGGATACTGAAACATTTCAACACGCTTCTTTGTCTAAACCCCGCCCCTTCAGTAAAAGTATCTTAGATCTCTATTAAATATATTTTTAATAGCTAGACCTGGCTGCAGAATATAAAAGTCATCTTACTTATTTCAAGGTGATTACAATGACTAGTGGTACACAATAATCTTTATCAAAAAATAAAAAGAAGGTATTTACACAATTGGTTTAAATTGTCATGCCAAAATAAAGCGGACATTTTTTTTTTAGAACGCAGATATTTTTGGGACTGAAATCAATAGGATTTGATATTTATTTGACAGTGGAAATATACAAACACATGTGGGAGCAAATAAGATATCAGAAATTAGCCTGCATTATCTTTAAATATATGAAATCAAATAGATCATTTGAAACAATATTGTAATTGAATCGCGCTCCAGCCCTTCCAGAGATGATTTCCTTTCCCTTTAAAATTAAACTTAAAGTAAACGCAAAGGATCGTACAAAAATGTATTGATTTTAGTGTGTAGATATATTTTAAAAACTCTGGAATAAGGTTTTGACAATCTCTTCATTACTTCCAAGAAGAGATTTTTTTTTTTACTCTCTGAACATCTCGCCTGAATTTCATGGATCTGCTTACCAGGAATTAATTGCTTAGCAATGTGCTTATCAAAAAGCAGACGAGAATTCAACATGAGCAATATGGACTCCGTGCACAAAACAAAGATGTCGCTTTTTTTTTACCACTTTCAGGAGCTCCAATGGGAGGGGCAAACCGCGTGCTTGTACCGGTTCACGGGCATAGGACGCAAACAGGGTGACAGTTTTGGCCGATTTTCGGCTGACTTTGACATAATTTTTGTTAAAAAACGAGTTTGACAAAATTTGATAGAATGGATTTTTTTGGCAGATTTCTGGCAGAATTCTGCAAAAATGGTTATTTGACAGAAAAACAGCAAATTTGAACAAAAAAAGGTACAGTTGTTTTAAAAAGCTTCAATCCTTTCAAACAAACCCTTGCATAATGGGACAGGTTGGCTGGTCTAGGTGCTCAGGTTCACTGGGAAACGGACTTCGTTGTGGCCGGATCCGCGTTTTGCCTGAAATTTACGCAATAATTTCATAACATCTTTATGTGACTATAGATTGTTTATAATGTAATTTGAACCTTAATTAAGGCAACACTACCAATCTGCATGTGATTTTAAGTGTTTATAGTGTATTTCGAGTAATTCTGGGGAATTTGGCAGTTTTGGATAAATCTGACAGATTTTGATGTGCATTTAGCAGAATTTGGCTTTGACCTTACGGTCACCCTGGGCGCAAAGTACACAAACCGAATATGTACAAACCCATACGGTGTTGGAGTACCAGGCTCTGGCATAAATGCATTCAACTGTCCCTTCCCTTGGTCTTCCTAACAGTTTGTAACCACTGAGGGTGTACATGTGCACACAGTCCATACACTGCATGGCTCCTCGGTAAGCTATAAATTGATTTTTCCCAAGCGAATATTTTCTGTGCTAAGCCAATTTCTGTGCTAAGCAGCTCCGTGAGGTGGGCCTTTGGACTGAGTTGGGTACAGATTTTAGAACGGATTTCAGCTCATTGAGTCCAGTTGTCCTTGTATCGCCTCCAACTGTCAAATAAAAAAAAAATCAAAGGAATTCATTAATGCAATCACAAAATATAATAATGATACAAAATACACCCCGAGTTTCCGAACACCTTCTTTTTTTGAAGAGTAATATGTTTAACCTAAAATAGAGTCTGACAGAGCAAAGCACGTTGAAGCTGTCAAAATCTGGAAAAGTTTTCATTTGTCAGTATCCTGCCTGATATTGAAACTAATCCTAATACACTCATGGTAGATTTGTGACAATTTATCAAAGATGACTTCTACCTGGTCCGAGTTTTCAGCACACACCTCTGTACAATGGCTCAAAGATTTGGTAAACCGGTAAAATCAGAAAGGTTTGTGCCCGGGATAATCCTCATCCCAATCTTAACCCTAGTCTTATCAATGCCGATCCGAATCCTTACCCAAAAGCTTATCTCAATTGGAATCCTAATTCCAATCTACATCCTTATCCCTAATCTAGTCATCCAATCTTGTAATTCTCCAATCTTCCATTCAATAACGGAGAAACTTATCGTCAAATCCTTATCCAAATTCTAATCATTATCATAATCCTCATCTTAATCCCATTCCTTATCCTATTCCTAATCCCAATCCCCTCACCTTGTTATAGAACTGATACAGCTCGTCGTGACTGAATTCCATCTTAATCTTCTCTTTCTCCCCTTCCTCTTGTCCCGAGACGACCATCTCAAACATGGCGTTGGGCAGCTTCATCTTAGTCTGTGAGGCCTGGCCCATCTGAAGATTTAGCCTCCAGTTAACCTCTTCCAACTGTAAAAAGAATTGAACAGTTGGGGGGCAAAATGTTTTTACTTTCTGTAGATTTCTACTCTTTAGCAGTTGCATATCATTTGGTACAGAGAAACATATAGACCCTTCTCATAGACAGCCATTTTGCCTACGCAAATTACAACTGCGTATTCAACGCCATCGCGTACGTCTGCACACAGTGTGCAAAATGTTCTAAACACACGCGCACGTTGCTAAAAATTTCTTCGAAATACGGCACAGCCATATGCACATGACAATCTGTAGGCAGTAACGTCATTTGAGAGGGGTCTATACTGCAATCACAGTAATGCGGGTATTTTCTTCATCAGACACGGGTATGTAGGTCTTTTTTAACTGTTATCTGCTGTTGGGTGGGAGGGCTTTGCTCGCTTTCAAGTAGACACGAGACGCGTTGTTTGGCCAGATTCAGAGGAGCCTAGTTTCCTGATATTGCTTGTGCAATTTTCTCTAACCTTTGCAGTCAAAAGAGCTGTATTATGAAAGAACATTGCTTTAACATTCCATGATAGCTTAAATGTATGTGCCAGTAGTTTCTCAACAGGGATTTGCTCTTAAAACCTGTGGTGATGAAAATTCACACAGGTTTGGTTTTCTTGCCTGAATTTGGAAATGACGGGTGATCTAGAGAATTGTGTTGTGTAAACTTGACATCACTACGATGCACACTTACTCTGATTACACATTAAAGGTCTCACCTGATTGGGAGCCAATGTTCTCTGGCGTAGTTTTTCCACCACTCCCTTACCACTTGATGTCCATGCTTTTACAAATACTGAAACCTTAAAGAAAAACAAATGAGATAAAAAACAGGTGTACATTAAAAGTTCCTTACACCTGTCAAAAATTTGATATTCCTATTAATATTCAACATATATTAAAACTGCAACTTATACATTCCATAACAGGAGATTGCTTGCAGTATTGATCCAGATCCAGAACATGATATTTTCCAGGCTTTAGTCTGAAATCAGACTTTTTACTTTAGTCTGAAATCAGACTTTTTGAATCCGAGAGAAAGACATTAGCAGTGTAGACTTTTTTTTAATTGACAATATCATCCCTGTATTATGTTGTAGAGTTTAGCGTGCAATACCTTAGCAAGTCACAGCAAGTTTCAGACGCTGATTTTTGCAAACCAACATTTCAAACAATCTGATGAACGTATTTATGTGTACCTTGTCTTCTTCAAGTCCAATATTCTGCAGTTGTTGCGATAGCACTGTCGGCTTGGCTATGTGGTAGGCAGCCTGCAATCAAGAACAAAGAGCAAGAATACACTCTGTGTGTAGACTCTGTGAATGGTCGCTGATCAAATTGCCATGTGGAGCTGCTGCTCAGTCAGATCCAAAGTCATGTTGGTAGTATTAAAAAAAACTACAGTACAACCAGTGTTCACATTTTGTTGGTTTGTTTGGTACAGAAAAACTGAGCTGGACTCCATTATTGCATTACATTATAACCAAGTTCAAGTTAATTGGTCTTGCTGAGAACAAAGCATTCCTGACAGACAGCAAAATTCTAACGTCTACAAGACTTTATTTTTTTTACACAGTTTTCCTATTTTTAATGGCATATAAGTATGAAGTTTTAAAAAAACGAGGAAATTAGCTTATCCGAAGAAAAAGTTGTATGCCTCAGTCCTTCTGATTTGAAAATCACAGGTGCGTGGAAAAACGCACACCTGGATTTTTCTAGGCGTGTGATTTTTCTGGTGTGTGATTCTGTGGTCCAAGCTGGGACTGAACAATCTGGTATTTTTTTTCATAATATTCATCTTGGTTTACAATAAAGCCGTTTTCTCTTCACCGACTTACTTTATTTTTCACAAATTACGAAGTATAATTATGCTGTAAATGTATGCCAAGGTACTGAGGGATTCAGGCGTCCAATTATTCACACTTCTCAGGAAGCATTTAGGCGTATGATGGCGTAGGGGTGTGATTGCATGCCTCAAAACAGAAGGACTGATGCCTGGTTTTTGTTTTCAAGAATCCTTAGCTTTGCCTCCACATTTGGCTTCAAAAGATTTCAACTTGCTGCCTTGTGAGACTTTTGGGTATATGTTCCGTTTCAGAAACATCACATCCTATAAAAGACTCCATGTTCCGTTTGAGAAACAACTATAAATATGGGCAAGAGTTTGCAGTATCCTCATTTGGTTGGACCATTAAATGCTTCAAAATGATTCAGAAGCCAAAGCCAGATATGAAGCCGAAGTTTCAAAAAGTCTCATGGTCTTTTTCAAGCCGTTTTATTTCACAGTTCTTGTAATGCACGCGCGCCTACCTGTTCCAGAATAAATGATGTGGTTTCTAAGACAAGTTGCAAGTCCTTTCCCTCCAGACCCAGAGCGACTTGGAGTTTCTCCTGTTCCTCCTCGGAAAACGAGTGATCATCCTGAAGGAATGTGAAAAGTTAAAAAAGGACTGGGAAATAACTTTACAGAGATGCTATTAGGCACAGAGGTTTGCAATGTACACTGAAGACAAGTTTTATTTGGCTGTTTTGTGGTCGAAAAATGTCATTCATTAATTATCACTTACTCTGAGGTGCAGTTTCTGTAAGATTCTGGAGAGTAACCGTGGGAACTTGGCAGCGTCTATGTTGTTTATCAGCACCACTGCTTTCTTAATACTGCAGAAATGGGAAAATTTCAGGCAAGACTTTCAACTTTTACATCCATGCATGCTCTAATAATAATCCTTCCCAGTTCTAAGTTCTATCACTGAACTTTGGTCCAACAGAATGAAATTATGAGTTGACCATCCGAGACAGTTTTGAAAAACTGATTTTCATTATTCATTAGTTTCCTTTTCCCTTTGTATGACATGAGGACTTGGTCTCCATGGACATAAGGAATTGGAACAATAGTCCAAGGAGTGGAACAGTCTCCCACCCTGCATCAGTGAATCTGGGAAACTTAAGTCTCACTTAAAATTTAGAGCGGAACTTTTCAAATTGTTTAGCGCTAGTCTATTTCAATCCATCAGGCTGCGTTTAACAAACTGCAAATAAAAAAATGTTGAACCCTTGTACTTTGTACTTACTACTACAAAAAGTACTAGTCAGTAGTTGTACTTGCTGGCCTAAGTATTTTGGGTTTTTTCAAATAAAAAAATAACATAAATAATGAAATTTCTCAGAATATCAAAAAAATGGGGGTTGGTGGCTCTGACAGGATGCAGGCGGTGGCTGGCTAACTCAACATGCTCAACCTTTAACTCTCTCGGCTTTGTTGTTTTGAAATGAAAACATTAATGCGCTTATCAAATGTCCAAAAGTGACAATCCCCATGTCTTGGGTGGGGTATCCTGAGGGGGGGGGGGGGGGAAACAATTGATAGGCGCATAAATCAATGTTGAAGTTGAACTTGAAGCACTTTCTTGTGAAAACACAAGACATCAGATATCTTGTTTTGCTATGATACTCATGTGTGGACACTTATACTTTCAACTTGTCTTAAGAACAAAACGCACACATAAACCACCAGTGCAAGGAGAACTAGGAGTCAATCGGTCCATATACGCCAATATCACTACTGGTCAAGGTAATTCGCTGCACGATACCCTTCAGGCCACGGACACTCCCACCACACATGATCCATTTTTTTTGTAAGAGGTTTACAGATATAAAGCCCCCCGATATCACCCGAAGGATTCAAGGAGTTCACTTTTATATATACTCCATAATCAAGCCGCATAACTATACAGCATATGCGTAGAAATTACGAATAATTACCGAGCTGTTTGCGAAAACATCAACGCCATGATGACTGCCGTGTTGCTGCATTAGGGCGCCCTCTCGCGACCATATTAGATCACTGGTATTATTTTCTGTCAGATCTGTTCTTGGATTGCTCCATGGTGTGATCGAAAATTGTCTGCTTTTTCTCTCTTTAATGTACCTAGAGACGAACAGGACTTGTGTTGTAAGTGTTCTTTCTAAATAAAAACAGGAAAGTGATGCGAAACTGATGTTTAGAATGGTCATTATGATTTAGAATAGTCGTTTAGAAATTAGAATGCAACACCTCAGGCTCAACATGAATCACAATGATGAACATGTTGATTGAACAAATTGTTAACATTGTTGTCATGGAAACAGTTTTTGGACAGGTGTACTTTATATTTAACTTATTAAAATGATTTGTGTTTTTTAAGTTATGTGTGTGATGATCATAAACCTATCCAATTCCAAAAAGACAGTAGGGCCTACCTTTATCATGTTTATCGTGTGTATTGGATTTTGTTTTAAATTCCTCATGAAATTTCATGTTGAAATTTTGATACGCAAACGTGTGCAAACGAATCTGGAAATTTCACGAAAAATAGACATCTGAAAAAGGCAGCACTTTCTGATTAGCCTATAAAGAGGGTGAGTATGCTTCTAAAGCAAAAATAAACTACAAACTAAGCCTAAATGTGAAAATCAAAATTTGACAAAGTTCAACATGTTTTTGTACATGGTGGAAGTGTGGCCTTTATTTACGGAGGTAGTCCAGTAAATTGGCCACATTTATGGGGCTAGCATGACCCATGTGCACAATATGGCAAGAGAGTGGAGACCATCTCATCTATTGTTTGCAAGGCCTGTGTCATAATTTGTGTGAAAGGGATTAACAGTCAGCTGTGGCCCAGTGCAGTGTGGTGGAGATGAGTAAAAATTGATTGTGCCTCCTAAAACATGATTAATTTTGGCCTGTTATTATGAAATTCTGGAGGGTACATGGAGGATTAGTGGGGGGGGGGGGGGGGGGGGAGAGAGTGGTGGTACAGGCCATGCCTCCTTAGTAACGTCCCTGTCCACAGTTTGTCCAACACAACAGCATATTAAAACAGAAAGAAGGCAAAGATCATATCACAAATGAAGAACTGACTCTTTCTCGCAAAAAGTTTAAATATTGTGGTATTAAATACTTTGGATTATAAATACAATAATTCTATTTCTGTGTTTCTTTTGCCACAGGTGCAGAACTAGACAGTCAGTCAACAGACATCATGTCAAATGCAAGGTCTAGTCCCCTGTGCAGTCTGCCTTCTGTCAGTGCAATGTTTAAGATGGGACCACCCTGTCTGCAGACACTGCACGCTGCTATGGAAGATATCGACCGACAACTTAGCGAAAATGATAAAAGGTTAGAACACCGTCACATTCATTTTGGCTGTGGACTAAGGATATGTGACGTTCACACGTTCAAATGAAAAAAAAAACCTAAATCCATTTACACATTTTCCAAAACGTTTTAACAAAACCCGAATTTTAAGAAACAGACCTAAGTTCACGCGATCTTCCTTTGCGTTAAACATACATAGCACAAATAATTAACAATGTTTTCAACCTATTGAATTTAGAAAACCTGAGAAGCACCGTAGTGCTTGATTACATTCAGAGTACACTTACGTAGTTAAGATTTTACTTTTTCAATGACTGGCCGCTATTTTTTAGTTTGTCAATCATTGTTGGTTATAGTATCAGCCTTTATGAAATGGCTAAACGTTTGAACGGTTTTTAAAATATTTGCTGAACGTTTATGAAATTAAATGCAAAGTCATTTCCTTACTGTAGACCTCGGTGGCGTGGCTGGCTTGTGCGTAAAGCGCTCGCCTCTCGCCACTGTGGCCCGAGATTGATTCCTGGCTCGGACCATGTGTGAGTAGAGTTGTGCGTTGGCTCTCTCCTTTGCCACAAGGGTTTTTCTCTTGGCACTCCGGTTTTCCTCCCTCTGAAAAAATCAGACGCTTTCAATCTCTGGCTGTGCTCCGCGGTCATATATGGGTTGTATGGCTGGCTGCCAAAGGCGCCTTTACATGCCTGCGGCTGTGCCACATTGTAGCTGCGTCCTTCGCAATTCAGCTTCTCAGCTGCAAGTAAGGATGATTAGCCTGCCAAATTATTATTATTATTATCATTATTACCTTCCGTACAGATCCTTACAGCATGAACAGGATGCGTACCTTGATGTAAAAATCCAACAAAGGGGTGGACCCAGGATTTTTCAGAAGGAAGAAGGGGGGGGTGGGGGTTGCAGCCTTTGAGAGTCAAATCTAAATGCACAAGTTGATAAATGTGTGCTCCATCAAGGTGTAGCTAGAAGGCCTACTCAGTGGCCTAGGAAAATTTCAATTGCAACTAGGCTTTCATTGAAAATATTTTGACGAAAAAGTGTTTCGATTTTGCGAGACAGAAAAAATCAGTTGGTCCCAATAAGGGGTGCCTGCTACAGCCCCTTTCTCCCTCCCAATCCACCCCTCTTTGGAGATTTGAAAAATTCAGATTGCGTGATTGTTTAACTCCTATTTTTCATCCCGACAGTATTGAAGACACGCTGCGATGTCTGGTGCAAGCTACCAACAGCTTATCAGCTGACAATGACTACACTAACATCAAGGATGCTATGGATAGTCTACTACACACGCCAGTGCTGGAGGAATGTGCCTGCTTGTCCCCAGAGCCCGAGGATGTTGGCGTTCTGCTCAGGACAATTGTAAGCCTAGCTCACTGCAGTCTTTGAATTATTTCAAATCTGTTTCAGGTTGTTGTTCGAGACTGGCGGCGAACCAAGTAGTATTGGGAGCGACTCAGGTCAATCAAATAGATTTTGGTTTTTGGATATCTAGCTTTATGTATTAATTCTTGAGTGACTTGACCCTAGGGTTATTTAGAATACCAGCAATAGACCTTTATCATGCTGACGCCATTTTAGTCATGTTCCCTGTATCTAATTACAGTACTGAATGATAATGCTTTTTGTTCAAAAAAGGAACCAGACTGTTTTTCTTTCCAGCTTCGCTTTGGTTACGTTGATTTGAATGGGGAAAAATCATGATGGCCGCAACATGATAATGGTCTGTTGTTGATATTTCATTGATTTCATCCATAACTGTTGAACTCATACATTGATTTTCATGTATTCAGTTAAAATCTTTGGAATCGTTTGGTTCAGCTCAACTCTGGAACACCAGTCTGAAACGACTCATGCAAGAATTACAAAACACATTGCCCTTGATGTGGATTTTATGGGGTGTCACCATTGTTGACCTTATGTTTCCTCCTACAGTGTGCATTGTTGTTTGTTTCTATTGAAATCTTAAATGACACAGTGTTTCACTTGATTAGGAAATATCTGAAGTTTGACTGTAATTTCACCCTCTGGTGATGTTCCCACACTCTTAACTTAATTTTTAATCTTTGTCACATTTGTCTATATAGCTTAAGCACCTGACCACCAATCCCGGCTGCGAGCTCACCACCTTCCGCCAGCTCCTCTACCTCTCCTCCCATGAGGGCTTGGGCCTGCCAATCAGAGCCCCCGAGCCCGATCACATGACCCAGTCGGCCATGTCGCTGAACACCGTCGCCGACGCGGCCGACGAGAGCAACGACCTGCTGTGGGAGGACATCCGGTCCCGGTTGCGGCGGTTCTTCTTTGAGCGCCTGCAGCAGCTGCCCGTCAGGCCGCGGGATGCCGGCTTGTTGGACCTGCATGGGAAGCAGCGGGTGGAGTATCTGCAGAGCCTGTGCATCCTGTACCCAGTCAGGAAGGTGTGGAGCAGCTACCAACTGCTGAGGTCACAGCAGGTCTCTACCGTCATTCAGGATGTGATGACCCCATCACTGAGTGATGAGGTCAGTTGACTGAAGCGGGATTTGAACCTGTAACTTCCAGATTACTGTACTGGTGCTGTACCAACTGAGTTATCCACACCCATGTTGGCATTCTCTTATTAAACCCTTTCCTTACCATGGGCGACTTTTGTCGACAAGAACTACCCCCCTGCTGATGCCCATGGGCGACTTTAGTCTACCAGGAAACCACACACAAAACACCCTCAACACAGATATATTCACTACTTTTTAGAAAGGCGGCATGTTGAAATGTTTCGCCGCCCATACATCAACCATAAACCAGCTGAAAGAGTGTTTTCGGATCATTCTCATGGTGTAGTTTATTCTAAAAATGAGAAAAGTGCTTCAGAAGTATCCACGCACAATTTGAGGTATGGAGTGCCATTTGTAGTTTGATAAATGGGACCAGATGGACAAAAAAGCATAACATTCTTATATTTGCATGTATGGACTTCATGTTTACATCACATAAAAGAGTAAGGTTCAAGGAACAAACTTTACACACAACACCTATGATTTTAATCACTCCTTGTCGGTGAAAATCTGGGTTGAAAAAAGTGAGTTTTTGACTTGTGGTTATTTTGTTCACGCTCTCGTGATTTCCGCATGACTGAGCAAACAATTTGGTCCTGGGGAGAGCCAAGTCAATAAACAATGTGGTAATGAAACTGTCAATGTTCTTGTTTTCAAGAGCCATGAAACCCTATCAGTTCATTTAATAGTCAAAGCAAACATGATTGATAGCCCTGTAATAACTCTGAGTGAGTTATGCTTATCTCAAATATGCCAGAATGTCCCAAAACTTTCCCAACTAACACTCACTGTTGTTTTTCCCCCACCCTTGTTCTGTAGTCCATAACTGAAGCAGCAGAGCCCAAGCCAGCTACCACCCTGGACCAACTGGCCATGAGACTGCCCAAGCTGGTGGTATGTCTAGAAGGCATGATTGAAGCAGACTTCACTGTCATGTTAGCCAATGTCTTTGATGGACAGGTAAGACGCTTGCTGAGAAACTGTTTTGCACGAAGCACCAAAAGGTCATTACACTTTTGTCATCAGTTCTTGCTCAGGATTTATGATTACATTCAGAATATGCTCCAGATTTGTCCAGAAACCTCAATGTTACAGCTATTTCAGCGCCAACAGTGCCAGAATTTTGGATAATTTTGCTGTGCCGTCGTAAATTTTCTTCTCTTTGGTGATTTGTTGTTGTGTCAGTACATGGCAGTAAGCCGATGAGGAAAATTTTCTCAAAAAGTTTTCAATGAGCAAATTTTTGTGTTCACAATTTGAACAGAAAACCCCTAAACGGAACAGAGTCATCCTGAAAAAAGCACCACAGCAACAGTGCCCTCATAATGAAAACTGGTTGAAGAAGTGCACTGTTCAAGAAAATTAACCCAAAACGGATGTCAAATAGTTTTCATACATTTAAGAGGGTTAGAAAGTTGCACAAAATGCAAAGTCGTTGCATGGACCCTTTAAATTACTGACAGCTGAAGCCTAGTAATTCGGGAGTTGCCAAACTTTTGGTAGTGCACTTTATCAGCTACTTGTGCAAATGCTACTTCAGCAAATGACTCTTCCCAATCATGCCTTGAACAAACCTTCTACAAGTATGACAGTCATCACAGAGAGAATGGAATTCAATTCAATTTCAATTCAATTCAATTCAATTCAATTCAATTCAATTCAATTCAATTCAATTCAATTCAATTTATTATACTCGTCACGTAAAAAACATGAAAATTGATTTCTGTACTATATCTGTACTATTGCAGGTAGAGGCTGCCCAGGCGCTGCGAGAAATCTACCTGTGCAGCCTGTCAGAGGAGCTGCAGACCTTACTGGAGAGAGCCTGGGAGGTCAAAGGTCAAGAAGCCAAGGCAGAGAAGAAGAAGAAGACGACAGGAAAGAGGATGGTGGGAAGTGTGGTGGGATCATCGCTGTTTGGGGATGAGGACGAGATGGAGGATGACATGGATTCTGAGGGGGTGGAGGTTGACATCTCTATTGAAGGTAGGATACATAAATGCGTGGGGAGGTTTCCCAAACTGCGGCATTGTCTCCAGCTTAGGATACAGGAGACGTTATCCCCTAATTAGTGTGACTCTGGCTCAATGTGGGTGCATGTTCTGATTTAGGAATATCAAAACATTGAGAGTGTTTCCATTTAGTTTACATATCAAAGGCTCTAAATGATTTGGATGTCAGAGATGAGACCAAGCTGGAAGTGAAGCTGAGATTTGAAACACCCCAGTTCGTTATTTTCCCTTTGACATTCAGCTACTCTGCTGCAACACTGCTGCCATGCAGCTGACAAAAATGAGTAAGCACACATATCTAACGCACTTTACCCAGGTGTCCTCTTTCCTATGTGAAATAATCATGGTCTCTGCCAATGTTCAGGTATCAATACAAAAGAAAATGTCGCAGTGAAATTTCTCAAGACGACCCTTGTGGAACTGCTCAGACTGCTGGCATAAATATCATCCAACGTTCAACTTAACAGCCCGCAATTTTCTTAATTTAATTATTTTTCTAGACATATCCACAACATTATCTGAAGAAATATGTCACAGTTCAAATAGACTCTAAGGTATCTGAAACACTTACACCATGGTTTATACAAAATGGTCGTTGTCAGCTGTGATTTATTGTGTTGATTTTTAATGGCTATTGTTCTCTGATGTGAATTTGTTGTAGACTTACCGCCCTTGACTCAAGATGAGCTGGTCCATCTGGTGACCATCACGGAGCAGCTATCAGGCATGGATGCCTACATCCACGCCCTGCATCAGCAGGCTTCCCGAGATTCTAGCGCTATGCTGAAACATGGACGCCCCAAGGGTAGCATCAAAAGTAGGTAGCTGATCTCAACGCTTGATCCTTGTGGATTAAGTTGAGTGCAAACAATAGGCGGCAGCCTTCATTTTGTCTTGTCTGTCAGCATTTTATCAACCTAGATCCGCCAATGGATCCAGATCACAATGAGCGTCTTGGCTCATAATTTTCTCATAATCAGAGTTATTATCAAGGTACTTGCGATAGATCACAAGTCATCACAAGTCCATCACAAATCATTCACAACACATCCACTCCCAAGTCAACTCACAAGCTTTTATGAACAAAGGTTTTTCTTTGTTCACTAATGACTGGACTTGTGAATTGACCGATGATATACTTGTGACTGGACTTATGATCTATCAGTAATTGTTATACCTCTGTCTTGAATACTGTATTTTCATTGGCCTAGTACGATCATGTGTTAAGTTTATAAAATGTCATGGCACACTCCCTGTGGGATATCACGTACACAGGGCATGTGCTATGACTTTGTACGTATGGTACATACGGTGTGAAACGCTTGTATCGTTGGTTCGCATGCTATTTTAACCATGTTTTCACACATGAGTGGGAGCAGCGAACTAGCAGACGATCAGCTGAGTTGACGTTAGATTGTCATGATTGTTGTGTTTACTGCTGTTTGTTTTTGTGGTTTTTATATCAAAACCCAAAGAATCCAAGACAGAGGTATAACAAAACAATTGTTGACTGCTGTGATGTGGGATATATGACGTTTTGAACACCCTTGGCTGCAATCTTAGTCTGCCATTCTGGCTGTCCCCTCCTTCCTCCGCCCCCCCCCCCCCCCCCCCCTTTCCCAGGTGCCCTGAAGCATACCAGGGATCCATCCAGTCGGGACACTAGCCATCGTGGGGAGTACACTGGCCGGCGAGGGGTGCTGCCTGATGCCATCCCCCCACCGTTTGGTGTCACGCCTGGCATGATGACACCGGAGACCACGGCACAACGCAGACACCACATACTGGACAGCCCTGCTAGCCAAGTAGGTTTCCTTAGTCTCTTCTTACTGTAGTCATTGTATCCACTCACAGTTGAAGGTTACCCTTCAGTGTCTTCGGCAAAAGTGCGAGGACGTGAATTTCCTATAGCGGCCCTAGATAGTTAAAGGGAATATACATCATTTGCTTTTGCTGTAATTTTCAGAAATGGATGGAATTGGGGGGTTGGAAATATATAGCAAATATATTTACACTGACTTTTTTTAGGTTTTGGGTTAAAAAATGCCATAAAAACCAAGAAAAACAATCATTTTCCTGTAGTCTGGTTCCCTGACTCCATTTAAGAAGAAACAGAGCAGTTTACATACATTGGGGAATTGTAAGGTCAGGGAACCAGTCTAGCTGGCTTGTACCCGTTCATAGGTGTGTAATCGATTGCAAACAAGTGCGATGGTCAATTGGGGCCAGTATTTGAAAAAAAGCCATTTTTTTCCAACGCTGATCGGCCGATCAGCGTTGGAAATTGATACAAAAATACCACTTTTCTTGAAAATGACAGTATACCAGGTGCCATGATTTTACAGGATGCTTTACACTGTCATTCACTAACAGTCCAGCAAGGTATTTCAAAATGATTTGGTAGTTTTATTTTTTGATGTTTGCAAATGTTGTATTTTCCCTTTAACATATTTAATATTCAGTTATTTTAGCAAGAGAAAGTTAAAGGATTGTAGAATCAAATAGTAGTATACAGTATGGAACTTTGCAAAAGGATATCAAATTATACATGTCTGCTTTTTCAAAATTTCAAAATTTTCAAAATTTGCCTCATTTGGGAAATTTTCTTAGTATTTTACAGGGAAATTACTGCTATGAGAGACAGCCATACTAGAGATTTCTTCTGTAGGGCTGAATGTAATTATTTTTTTAACGAGTTTTGTGTACTGTTTAAATGTGTATTTGTATTTTAGTTTTTGTGTAAGTTGTATATGTGAATACAATTTGTATTTCTTTCTTACGGTGGCCCACAACTGTCACGGCAAAAGCAAAAGCGCCACGGCAAGCGCAAAAGCGCCGCGGCAAGTGCAACAGCGCCGCGGCAAGCGCAACAGCGCCACGGCAAGCGCAAAAGCGCCACGGCAAAAGAAAAAGCGCCACGGCAAAACAAAAAGCGCCGCGGCAAAAGAAAAAGCGCCACGGCAAAACAAAAAGCGCCGCGGCAAAAGAAAAAGCGCCACGGCAAAACAAAAAGCGCCGCGGCAAGCGCAAAAGCGTCACGGCAAGCGCAAAAGCGCCACGGCAAGCGCAAAAGCGCCACGGCGAAAGCAAAAGCGCCACGGCGAAAGCAAAAGCGCCACGGGTTTATTGGGAAGGGGCGTAATCATACATGCCGCTACTACATCAAAAATAAAATGGGAAGGAGAATGGCCGCCACCAGGAATTCTTATTAAGCACAGAATTTAATTCTTTAAGAAGTGATTTTATGGCTGAGAAAATAGCAAGGCCAAGGAAAACCGGTCAGGAAATATATCGTCGATATTAATTTGTTGTAGGATAATTATTATTCCAAGAGAGTTGCTGCCGTGAATCAGAGTTTATAAAGGAGTGGGACTCACTATCAGCACCATCAGGGCCGTTCCTCATTTCTTTACATTTCGTGGGATGCAAACAATTACGAGGACGGGAGGCTCTGTGAGCTGATGCATTTTTTTGAAGAGTTTTTTTCCTTCCGACTAGCATGCAGAGAAGAGTTCCGTTAATTTGAGACTTAGTTCACCCATGGGCGTCGCGAGGGGGGCAAGGGGGCGCTCCCCCCCCCCTCCCCCCGAATAGCACACAAAAAAGGAAGGGGAAAAAAGAGAAAAAAAGAAAAGAAAAAGAGGCGCGAAGTCATAGTGGTGTAAATTGAATGAGTTGGGGGGGGGGAGCAAAATGTCCCTGCCCCCGTCTAAAACTGAGAAATCGAGAATTTGTTCAGAAATACAACAATTTTTTGGGAAAAATATGTTTTGCCCCCTCTAGAAAAAAATCCTGGCGACGCCCATGAGTTCACCGGTGTGTATACCAGTGTAGGCACACAATTGAGCTGCCCAGAGTTTGGATATAGAATAAGAAAGAAAGAAATTAACTCAGAACCTAGAACTCATTGGCCCACCCACCCCCGGCTCAAGAAACCAACAAGCCGAGCAAGACCTCATGATGCTTAGCGATAGCGATGATGAGTTGCCCTGTGGACAGTCTTCCACATCCTCGCAGAATCAGCCTGCAGGGCAGAAAGAGGGCTTGTTTCCGGCATCAAAGAGTTCCGTATTCACTCGAAACAAAGCAAACGGCTCTTTTCAGAGCCACCAAATTTTCATAGAAGAGCTTAGAACTGTGCATCTCAACGATAGCACTTCTCCTTTGTTTAGTGTCTCTCCCTTACCCCCCCCCCTTTTTTAAGTTAATTTATTTCTTTCTTATTCTATATCCAAAGTCTTCGCCTGTGTTACGTTCCTTACATGAAATCCACGACCTAACCTCCTCTGTCGAAAGCGTTGCAACTGTCTAATAGAATGATCCATTTCTCGATTTGTGAGTTATCTTCAACTCAGTCATGTTTATTGGGAAGGGGCGTAATCATACATGCCGCCACTACATCTAAAATTAAATGGAAAGGAGTATGGCCGCCACCATGAATTGAGAAGTGATTTTATGGCTGAGAAAATAGCAAGGAAAACCGGTCAGTGCAAGCAACGTTCAGCGAAGAGTTTTGAAATTCCCGCTCTCTGGGAATTTCTAACCTAATGGGCCCGCGGGCGAGTTACGTGTTGACAAGCCTTACCCACCCACTGCCGCAGCCCTGCAGGAGAGCTTTAATCGACTTCCTAGATGTGTATGATATACTGAAAAAGAAAAAAAAAATTAACTCATACACTCTGGGCAGCTCACTTGCGTGCCTACACTGGTATACACACCTGTGAAAAAAGGCTCAAATTAACGGAACTCTTCTCTGCATGCTAGTTGGAAGGGGAAAAAAATGTCTTCAAAAATGCATCAGCTCATAGAGCCTCCCGTCCTCGTAATTGTTTGCATCCCACGAAATGTAAAGAAATGAGGAACGGCTCTGATGGTGCTGATATAGCGAGTCCTACTTTCCCTCTCCTTTATAAACTCTGATTCACGGCAGGAATTCTCTTGGAATAATCTTGGAATCATCCTACAACAGATTTAATATCGACGATTTATCAGTCCCTGAACGTTGCTTCACTGACCGGTTTTCCTTGCTATTTTCTCAGCCATAAAATCACTTCTCAAAGAATTAAATTCTGTGCTTAATAAGAATTCCTGGTGGCGGCCATTCTCCTTCCCATTTTATTTTTGATGTAGTAGCGGCATGTATGATTACGCCCCTTCCCAATAAACCCGTGGCGCTAGTTTGCTTTCGCCGTGGCGCTTTTGCTTTCGCCGTGGCGCTTTTGCTTTCGCCGTGGCGCTTTTGCTTTCGCCGTGGCGCTTTTGCGCTTGCCGTGGCGCTTTTGCGCTTGCCGTGACGCTTTTGCGCTTGCCGCGGCGCTTTTTGTTTTGCCGTGGCGCTTTTTCTTTTGCCGCGGCGCTTTTTCTTTTGCCGCGGCGCTTTTTCTTTTGCCGTGGCGCTTTTTCTTTTGCCGCGGCGCTTTTTCTTTTGCCGCGGCGCTTTTTGTTTTGCCGTGGCGCTTTTTCTTTTGCCGTGGCGCTTTTGCGCTTGCCGTGGCGCTGTTGCGCTTGCCGCGGCACTGTTGCGCTTGCCGCGGCGCTTTTGCGCTTGCCGTGGCGCTTTTGCTTTTGCCGTGACAGTTGTGGGCCACCGTACTTTCTATTGTGCATTTTATGCAAATAAAGAATCTGACCTGAACTGTCAGATTACATTTTGGAAGTCATGTAATTAACAATAGCAAAAGCAAGGTGTGTAAAGGGAATATACATCATTTGCTTTTGCTTTAATTTTCAGAAATGGATGGAATTGGGGGGTTGGAAATATATAGCAAATATAGTTACACTGACTTTTTTGAGGTTTTGGGTTCGAAAATGCTATAAAAACCAAGAAAAACAATCATTTTCCTGTAGTCTGGTTCCCTGACTCCATATAAGAAGAAACAGAGCAGTTTACATATATTGGGGAATTGTAAGGTCAGGGAACCAGTCTAGCTGGCTTGTACCCGTTCATAGGTGTGTAATTGATTGCAAACAAGTGTGATGGTCAATTGGGGCCAGTATTTGAAAAAAAGCCAGTTTTTTCCAACCCTGGTCGGCCAACCAGCGTTGGAAATTGATACAAAAATACCATTTTTCTTGAAAATGACAGTATACCAGGTGCCATGATTTTACAGAATGCTTTACACTGTCATTCACTAACAGTCCAGCAAGGTATTTCAAAATGATTTGTTAGTTTTATTTTTTGATGTTTGCAAATGTTGTATTTTCCCTTTAAGGCAAGTTCATACACAGTGCGAAAGTGGATGCGAATGCAACGTCAGGTTTTTGCAATGGGAATTCGTAAAAATTAATCACATGACAGCTCTGGTGAATTTCCCATCAAACGTTTCATGACATCACATTTGACTCGCATTTGCAATCTCCTGAAATATGAACCGTCCTCTTTCTCGTTATCATAATAGATCAAGTGGGAGTGGTCGTCCATCTTGGAAGGGGTCGTCTCAGATGTGTGCACCAGCCTGCCTAGCCTAGTCAAGAATGTCTGCCAGTCAGCATTACAGCAAGAAGAGATGATGCATGCTCAGACACAAACTGTTCATATGGTCCCTGTCTGTGGTAGGTTTCCTTTGAAACTTCTTGCACCCTGGGATATTTTTTTCCCTAGTAAGTTTAAACTGCTTGAACTAAATCAGAAATGATCAAACGCTTCTGATCTGCCAGGTTTGTTCTTTCCCAGTTTTCCCCTCTTCTGTTGTGGACTTGATCATATACAGTGTTTGACAAATGACAGTTAACATAATCATTAGCAGTTAACATAGCTTGAAAATGTTGTTTAAAAAAATCATCATATGAAAGAAAACCAAGAAAGAAAGAAATGACAGTTTTAAACTACAAAAATTTTAAAATACATTTTCAAATGAACATTCTTTGTTTCTCTTTGCAGGGGATCTGGTCAACAGCTTCTCAGAATACCCAAGAAGCGTGTCAAAAGTAGGTCAAATTTGTCCCATTTTTAAATTAAATTGGTTTAAAAAATAATTACACAACACATTTTACTCGTTTAGCTATTTGTCATTTTCTAGGAAAAAGAGAGTGATAAAGTGATTTAATAGAAACAAAGGAACAAAGACATTGACATTGGTAGAAAAACTAACATGGGCTTGGAAGCTGAGTTGGTAGAGCACAAGCAAGGTGTTTCCAAGGTCCCAGGTTTGAATCCCACTATACTCTCTGTTAAATTTGATTAAAAGTTAAAGTATGGTGGTTTAATTTAACAAGCTTACTTTTTTTTGGCCTTTCGTTTTCAGAGCTTAATCGATTTGGTGTCTTTCCTGGACACCATCCTGCCCCTCGCTGTGAACGGAGCAGAGGGAGTAATGAAGCCACTTAGAGCAGCCTACGTGGAAGCCGTCACAGCCAGCATGGGCCATTACTTCAGGAAAATCTCAAATGTGCGTTTGATAGTACATGTTAAGTTCCTTTTAAAAAAAAATATAGCTGTGATGACCTTACTAGAAGTATTTAGAAGCATATTTTGTTTATAAAAATTGTTTTCTCTGTTGGTCATTTGAGCTTGAAGCTTTCACCAGAAAATACTTTTGGACTTTTCTACATCCATAGATATCTAAACAGTAAGCTATGTATAGTTTTTCCTTTTTATTTAATTGCACGTCTAAATTTTCTGACCAAGTTATTTCTTTTCTTTTTGGTAGATTTTTGGCACTGTTGCTAGTCCCACTAAGAGTTCATATACCAACATTGTTGAGAAGTACAAGCTGCTTTCCATCGCTTCGTTTGCCACCAGCCATCTGACATACTACGGAGATGTGCTGGGCGATGATGAATCCAGGTAGGGTTAGCTTGAATATGTATTAGTGTTTGCAAAACTGCTAGATAAAATCCCATTTTAGATTTGTTAATGTTGGGTACGTTCCACCCTTCATTATCTTTAATTTTGAAAGAACTGTGCTGTCTTAGAGATTATGAGCCTATTTGGGTTTTTTTCCGATAAGCTCTTAAGCTGCAGGGGTGGCATGGGTGGCTAGTGGGTAAAGCGCTCGCCTCCCACTGTGGCCCGGGTTCGATTCCCAGCTCAGACCATATGTGAGTGGAGTTTTTCCTTTATTCTCTTCTCTTCGGTTTTCCTCCCTCCGCAAAAATCAACACTTTCAATCTGGCTGGGCTCCGTGGTCAGCAGTTAAGAGCACCGGACTCATGCTCTGGTGTTTCAGAGGCAACAGTGGTGTGGGTTCGAGCCCGGGTCTGGACACTTGTGCCCTTGAGCAAGGCATTAAACCGTTACTGCTTTGTCCTTCGGATGTGACGTAAAACCGTAGGTCCCGTGTGTTGTGTAATGCAATGCACGTAAAACAACCCTGTAACACTTATCGCTAAGAGAAGGGGTTTGCCCCATTGTTTCTGGCCTCCTGTTAAAACTACCCCGCGGAGTATGTAGGAGAAGAACCAACCGAGAACCAAGTATGGCAGCTGGCTAGGGCGCCTTTACATGCCTTCGGCTCAACCATGTTGTAGCTGCATCCCTCGCAATTCAGCCTATCAGCTGCAATTAATAATGATTAGGCCAAAAAAAAAATAAGTCGGTCTCTGGTCAGCGCGCGCGTCGATTTTAAGCATGCGCGTCGATCTTTTTTTTTTCCAAAATGTTCCGCGGTAGCTCCAACAGCGCCCTCTATTTCCGCACCTCCTCAATTGTTTTTACCAAAGAGCACCAAGGAATAGGAAATTGCACCAAGGCAAATGATCGAAAGCACCAAGGCAAATTATGGAGGACACCAATGTACATGAGGACACCAAAAAAGCATAATAGTACCCCACCTTGTCTGTACAATCCAAGCTTGAAGAAAAAAAAAAAAAGCCAAAAAAAAAAAAAAAGCCGCGTGGCCGCATCAATTCCGGAACTTTGGTCTGACCAGAGACCGAATACTTTTTTTTTTTGGCCTTAGCCCCAAATTATTATTATTGTTATTATTATGTGCTATTTAGAAAGTAGTAGTTTTTAGAGCACTGACACAGTTCATGTTTTCCGGATGGTATGGCCTTGAGTACCGTTATGTCAGTTGCCCATGTTCAACTGAAAATTGTTCAAGATGTACTTCAGAATGCATGTTTACTGTTACTTTTAATGATGGCTTGAAATGTGTTAGAAATTTGTTGATTGTTAAAATGATTTAAACGTTTTACTTTCAGGCATTCTCTCGGCACAGTCAAGAAGCAGTATTCTGAACTCGTCACAAGTCTCAAAGGTCAAATACTGGACTACCAAGACCACGTTATATCCACTATCGTACTACAGGATGCAGAGAGTCATCACTGGGGTGATCAGAGACCATTCTATGAGGTAGGAATGGGTCCAAAATAATCCACCTCCCGCATCAAAAGAAAGAAAAACGCAACATCCTGCCAGAAAAAAAACCTCCCTAGGAGCAATCCATACAGTCAACAGTGATGGAGCATTATTTTTTTTGCTTACGTTTTTGAAAGAACAACTGTCATTTAAAAAATAGTATAACATACATACTTGTCATACAAATTTAACTGTGTAACATCAAACAAAAAAATTATGCTGATTTTAAACAAAAATGGAAAGGTTTGCTTTTTGGCCTTAGAGGATGTACCCATTATTTTCCTGGGTAGAATATAAACTCTCCTCTTGCTGACTACCCCCAACTCCCCCCTTCCCCCCCCCCCCCCCCCAAAAAAAAGCATTTTTACATATACATGTAAAACCATAGACCAAATGTTCCATTTGGCAAATAATCTGAAGGAAAAGCTATTACCTTTTTTGTTTTCTGCTCTGTTTGATTCCTAGGATGAGAGATGCTCCTTCTCTGTCCAGATGTGGCATCTTCACCTGGACGCCTTGAGGCGGGAACTCTTCTCCATCTGTCCTCCTGGTCTTGCTCAGGAGATCTTTGGTGAGGTAGTGAACCGATCCCTGGCCCTGCTGGCCCAACGCTACAACCGAGCCAAACCATCCTACAAGAGAACAAGACAGTACAGGTCAGTAGTGGCCTTGCAGTCGAGTCTGTCATCTGTCCATCACAAGTCCATCACCATTCATCTTGGTCCTTACAAGTCCTCACAAGTCCTCACAAGTCAAGAAAAGTCCGCACAAGTCCTCACAAGTCCTTGGAAGTCCTCACAAGTCCTTACAAGTCCACACAAGTTCTCCCAAGTCCTACAAGTCCTGGGAAGTCCTCACAAGTCTTCACAAGTCCTCACAAGTCGTCGCAAGTTCTCACACGTCCTTTGAAGTCCTGACAAGTCCTCACAAGTCCTCACAAGTCCTCACAAGTTCTCACAAGTCCTGAAATGTCCTCACAAGTCCTGGGAAGTCCTAACAAGTCATCACAAGTCCTCACAAGTTCTCACAAGTCCTCACAAGTCCTGGGAAGTCTCACAAGTCCTTACAAGTCCTCACAACTTTCCCACAAGTTCTTACAAGTCCATCACAGGTCCTCCAGTCTCAAGAATATCACAAGTTAAACTGAATATTTCTTTGTAATTGTTCACCTGTTACTTGTGACTGAAGTAATGAAAGGACTTGTGATTTACTTTAGACTGGACTTGTGATGGAATCAACGAAAACAATGATATTACAGACTTATTGGGTTATATAACTTTGAGAGTGATTCACCATTGGAGTGTTGAAGTAATATCCTAGATGACAGATCATGTTCAACAAAAAGCAACCAATCCAGCCAATAGCCATTCAACTGGACAGCAATCGTGAAGTCAGTGGCTCCCATCTTTTATGTGATCCTACTTACTGTGTCAGTGCTCTCAAATTAGGTTACTTCTGCAAAATGTGTTCAAAAAGATCACAGAGTGTTGTGGAAGAATGATGCTCATTTCTACTTTGTTCCCTTTCTCTTCGTTCACTCCCAGAGCCGACATCACCGCCCTCCTCCTCATCACCCTAGACCATCTCTGGTACCTCTGCCCCTCCCCGGGACCCCTCCTAGACCCCCTATCCACCCACCATCCCGTCTCCCCAATCCACAACTCCTGCACCTGTCTCCTGTCAGCCTTGGCGGTAGTGGGCTCTCCCCTGGGGGACTTGTACCGGGTCTACCGTAAGGGTTTCAGCCAGCGGAAGGCCGGCGGAGGGATGGAGAGGACCATCTCGGAGCAGGAGGCCGTGGAAGGGTCCTCGGGGCTACTGTCGCTGGCCATGTCATCGTCGAGGGAGTGGCTGAGATGGATCAGGCCGGGACTATTTGACGGCTTGCAGAAAGGGTAGGACAGGGATGTGATTTCTCCGGTTTTAACCGGAAATCCGGTTTTTTGGGCCTCAAAAGTCCATCAACGTGAATCGTGTGAATCCGTTGAGAAAATAGGGGGGTAGAATGTGCTAATTAATTATTCATAATGAGTTTTGCTTGCCGAAATATCCGAAATTTACTTACGGACACTGATTACTTCGTTGATCGATACGCACGCACGTATTGAATAACCATATGAGAACGAGGTTGAAGACCATGCGTATGCCGTTACTGCGATCATGTGATTTTTCGCTCGGGGCCGAGGTTGTGATTATTTGGGTCTAGTTCCTGTGTCGGTACAGGAGATGCATGTGTTGCGCATGTCAGGTGTACAGACTAATATTGCTCAGCGTGCACAACGGCATACAGTACAGTGCAATCGTGTGGATTATGCACGTTGTTTCATGTGCGTCGACTCGGAGTGTTTGTGTACGCGGCGTGTACGGATGCTTCCAACATGGCTGCGCCCACCAAGTCGATATTGTCGCACGGAGATAAATCAGTGCGAGAGCTCGATAAAGAAGTAAAAAATAAGTTCCGGTGGGAATGGTTTCGGGACTCCGTTTTTATTGACGGGCATCAGCATAAATTTCAAGAGTGCTTCGATAAAATAGCAACCGCTGGCAAGGTTTTTTGCAATGTTTGCAACGACACTATCAACTACGCGTCGAGTGGAAAGAAATCACTCGTAGCCCATGTGAAACACCCGAAGCACATTACAGCATGGCAGATACGGCGAGGCAACATGAAATTGGTGGTAGATTCAGGCGTAGTTACTGCAGAAACCTCTTGCAGCACCATGACAACTGTCCCACTTATAGACAGAGTGGCAAATAGCCAGGTAGGTGTCCATATTTTTATTATTTTTTTTTTAAACTTAGGCCCCCCTATGTTTATTTTAAAATTAAATTTATTAAAACAAATCTGTACATAATGTGTTTCGATTTAAATTATGCATTGACATTATCAGTGTGGAAGATTTTCCATTTTAATTTTTTTTTAATTTTTTTTTTTTTTTTTTAAGTAATTTTTTAAAAATTTTATCTTCAATTTTGTAGGGGCCATATCTATTTTCTTCAACAATTACACAAGGTCAAAATAAGATTCAACTGTTTAGCCTGATTAATTGCATCAATGCAAACATCTATTGTTGTGTTTATTTTCCTTCCTAACTATCATAGTTTTTTTTAGAACTGTTTGAGTTCAGCCATGTTACAGACTGTTACTGAAGTTTATCAATTAAGTCCTAGTATTGATAACTTTATAATTTAGGTCTTAAATGAATTGTAGTTTTTGTAACATGTTGACTGAATTTTGTCAATATTATTCAACTTTTTCAGGCAATGGTTCTTGGAGTAATGGCAGAGCACAGTATGCCCATGACCGTGGCCCCTGTTGTCATCGACCTTGCAAGGGAACTTGCCAGGGATACAAAAGTGCTGAGCTCTCTTTCGATGGACAGGACTTCGGCAGGCTACAAGATGTACGGTCTTGAGAAAACATTTCGTGATAAGACCCTTGCCCATATCAGGAACGTTCCATTCTGCCTGAACATTGACGAAAGTACAAGCAGCAACAACAAAAGAGTCTTGGCAGTGCTGGTTAGCTACTACTCTATTGATGAGGGTCGAGTTATGGTTGAGCACCTTGCGGCTTTGGAGTTAATCACAGTTACAACACAGTCTGTCATGAAAGCCCTGAATGATCTTCTTGAAGAACATCAGATCCCCTGGACAAACGTCATGGCCATATTGATGGATTCTTGCAATGTAATGAGAGGATCAAAGAATGGGCTGGAGGTCAAGATCAGGCAAGACAAAAATCCTGAACTATTAGATATTGATGGAGACATTTGTCACCATGTACATAACGCCAGCAAGAAGTTTTGTGAGCCATTTGAATATTATGTCGAGGGCCTCTTCAATGATGTTTTCAGTGACCACCGATGGTCAGTTGATCTAAGAGAGTCACTCCAAGAAGTTTGCGCACTTCTGAATATCTGCTTCACAGTGCCAGAGAGGTTCATTAGCCATCGATGGCTCTCCTGCTATGATTGTGCACTTTCAACACTTCGGCTCTGGGATGCGTATCAGGTGTTCTACTTTGGCTTTATGTCAAAGGAGGACAGGGCGTTATATCACACTGAGATGATTTCCATTTTCCGGAAGCATGATGTCAGCATGGCTGCACGGGAAAGGCTGAAGCAGATTTGGAATATGAATGGTTCAAAGAACATGACTGATGACGGGAAGAAGCGGAAAAAACGTATCATTTCCAAAGTGATCTTCAAGGCCAACCAATCTCTCCTCACCCTTGGCTTTTATCAAGCAGTCCTCCCACTTCTGAAGAGCTATGTTGTTCTCTTTCAGTCGAAACAGCCAATGGTGCATATCCTTGCAGACCGACAAGAGCAGCTTTTCAGAGACTTTCTGTCCTGTTACGTGAAACAGGAAGAAATAGTTAACAAGACACCTTCTCAGCTGAAGAAAATGTCCCTAACTACAGACGATGGTCAGTTTCTCAAGCAAAAGGATATGTTTGTGGGAACCAAGGCAAGAGACATTTTGAAGACCATGAATGCTGCCGACTCCATCGTGGTTGACTTCAGAAAACAAGTGTCAACAGCATACAAAGCTTGCGGCAAATACCTCCAGACAAAGCTTCCTCTGGACAATCCTCTTCTGAGGGCAATGTCCAGCATAGACCCAGCTGCACATGGCCACCATCTGTCTTGCAAGCTCTTGAAGGAACTGCTGACCCTACTGCCATCTTCAATCCTCAATTCTTCTGAGAGAGAGAGTTATGACCTCGAGGTTCACAGGTAATATGCTTAAAATATTTTACAAAGTATACCCTGTATTTTAGTTCTAATACTTTTCTTTCATATTTCTTATATTGTATGATACATTGTATGACACATTAAAACAGTTCTTTGCGGTTGAATTATGTTCCTTTCTTCAAGTCAAATGATGAACAATGTGAGGTCAACCATTTATTATTTTCATTTTTAGGTACATGGTGGACCAGCACCTCCCTGTGATGTTAGAGACAATGCAAATTGATGAGTGGTGGACACAGATCTTGAAGAGTAACTCCTACCCTTCCCTTTGCAAAGTGGCCTTGACAATTTGTTGCATCTTTTCAGGTCCTCAGGTGAGTATTGCTAAAAGAAATGTTTACATGTAAAATGAAAACAAATAGACTTTGAATGCCTCATTTTACAACTGTCCGTTCTCAAGTATTGACAAGTAGGATGTTCAATCACACATTTGCATTTATTGATTTCATCAGTGAAAGTAATGTAAAAGACTATCTTGTTTAAACAGGTTGAATCATCCTTCAATACCATGGGTGATGTGATGGGACCAAAAAGAAGCCGGTTAAAGGTGGAGACATATGGCGCTATACAAGGCATCAAGTTCGCTCTAAGAGCGAGGAAGACCACTGCCATCAAGCTGTTCACAAAAGAGCCAGTCGACAGAACAATGTGTAGGAACATACGAAGTGCAAGTGCGGTCTATCGCAGAAAGCTTAAACTTATAAGAGAAGAGAAGGAAAAACGGCTCAGCTTGATGAAAATCAAGAAAGCCATACTAAGTAAAAAGGATGCAAAACAGTCCCTGGATGAAAAGAGTAAGTTAGCACGGCTGAGACACCTACAGCAGCAGAGGAAGAAGGCAAGGACTAGGGCTCTCCAGGAATTGGCCCAAAGACAGAAAAAGAAATGCCAGAGCAAAGGGAGATATTGCTAAGCAGATCACTGTACATGTACTCAATACACGTGTAGTCAACTGTTGATATGATTGTGGTAAAGTCTCAAGCATATTTTCATCAAGGCAAGTTAAAAGTGCAGTCAAGTCGATGGTTAAGTGTTCCTGAGTCAACTCACAAACAAAGTTTCTCGAAGTAATAAAGTTAGACATCAAGTGCTCTCAAGTCAAGTGAAGTCATATATAAGAATAGTCAAGTCACAGATTCAGCTACAGACTTTGCTACATGTATACATGTACAGTATATGACAATCCAAAGCTGAACGTATTACTATTTGTCACTATCATTTTCCAATTTATTTGGTTTGTGTACATGTCTATTCAGATGTGAAATAAAACAAAGACAAATGCATCAACAGTCTAAACAACTATTGTCTTCATGTGTTTAATTTCTTTTTGTATTTCTTTGTGTATTATTCTAGGTACATGTAGTTTGATTTACAATTCACTTATGGAGCAAAATATGAGCAAAAATCATTGAGACTGATTAAGTCTGGTGCTTTCAAAGATGGTATGTTCCATTCAGTGGTGGATGAAGCAAAACAAATATTTGTGTAGAATAATCTTGTTTTATTTATTTCTTCATGCTTTTACAATGGTTATTATTAATCACCATGGAGTATTTATAATTACAAATAAGTGACAAATCAATGATGATGGTGATGAACTGAAACAAAATGCCACAAAAGTGAAAAAAGAAATGACAAAATTGGCAAAATATTTTGGCTCAAATGATGGCCCAGAAAGGCTTAGATTGCACCACAGAGCATCTAAAATCCAAAATTTTCCGGGGCCCTTAAGCGGGCCCCGGACCCCACGCCGTAATGGCTTCGCGCTTCGCACTCGCCAGAGTTTGTACTCCTGCAGAAAAGTTTCAGGTTTTTTGTCACAGACCAATCACATCCCTGGTAGGAGCATTTATTTATAACTTCTGCAATTCTTGTACTGGAAACAAATGGAATTGATTCCCAACTTCAAATCAGAATCTTAACTCTGAGTTAGTTGCCGACTCCAGTCGGATTAGATTCTAGACATTTTATACAATTTTGTATCTGGCAAAAGATTTTGTTTGAAAGGGGAATGACAGGGCTCTTCGTATTTGAGATTTACAACTATACTATATCAGTAAAGTCAGGCAGATTTTTATTTTTTTTTCTCTCTTTCTGTTGGGCCGGGTAAATTTTTGAGTTGATTTCAAACAGAAGCTTGACTCCTCCATTGATTTGGAATCATTGCCAAAAATAAAGTGGATCATCCACATCAACTTCTGTTGTCTGACAGACCCTGTTTCTATCTAGTGTTTGGTGTTCTCTCAGATTTTTAAAACTTAACAGTTTATCATGTGCTTCATGTGGTTGACATTATAACTGAAAACTCATTTCAAAATGCGATTGATGTTTTCAATGTCCATTCTTTGTCTGAATCTTATAAACCATTTTTGTTGATATAAATACATAAAAAGTTAAATTAATTGTGATTCTTATTTTTGTTAATGACCAGAATGGACAATCTTCCAGACAAGCAGGCTGCGTTCATCCAACTGAAGCTACTCTGCAATCAGCCCTGCCCCAAATATCCACTGCTCTTGCAGGTATTGTCTCTTAGCATTGACGTTTTCAGTTTTATCAGTTTGTATAATTTACAATTGCAAGGAATGTTTCATTTTATAAATTTCTTAATTTTTTTTCAGGCAGTCTTGATGAGAAACTGTCTGGTACCCACACTCATGGTCACAAACACAGGTAAGGAATAGTAGTAAAGAAACACCAAGTAACCTGTGTCAGTTTTTTAAAATATAATATACATGTATTGCCTTTGAGAAACTTCCTGCTTAGGTTCGAAGAGTTAGGCCCTCCCAATTTTGTTGACTAGTATGTTTCAGGTCAATCCAGTCAGTAAGCAGTTAACAGCAGTTTTATTCATTTTAATTTTTCTGAAGAAATGTCTGCAGCTTAACCCTCCGACGCAGAAAGCCCATTTACTAACACACTTACAGTAAGGGGTCCCCCGGGGACCCAAATATTTAGCGCCACGGTTTGAGGCTACACAACACTGTATCCACATGAACACAATCTTGCCATGTCTGTAGACTAAGGAGGTGTATTTGTATACATAGTCTGTGGTCAAGCCGTGCACTGTCTACTCGCAAGTGACCTTGTTTGTGCACGTGTATATGGTGGGTCCCCGGGTGGGCAGAAATTGCGTCGGAGTTGTTTTGTGCGCGTGTATATGGTGGGTCCCCGGGTGGGCAGAAATTGCATCGGTCCTTAGCCCAGGTTGTCATGCTCAGATATGCCTGACCCGGGGTCACACACTAAAGGTGACTGCATATATCCGTAGAGGGTGTCTCTTGCTAGGATTAGATGGAAGATCACCAGAATTGGTTTGAAATTTTTTTTTTAATTAAGGTAATTAACCAAATTGGGTCCCCAAAAGGGCTAGATTCTGCGCCGGAGGGTTAAAAAAGTATAATTTGGTCTGTACTAGTCTATTTTGCTATTATCAGGCCCGACCCAATCCCAGACCAGCCGGTTGAACTCCCTGTCAGCCTACGACGGTTGCAGCGGTGGGATCTGCCCTGGGAAGCCCTGCCGCAGCTATCAGAGCCAAGATATCCCAGATGTGGTACAGCCCATTGTGGACCTCCTAGCCCTGTGTGGGGACCAGCCTAATGCCTTGACCACTGTCCTGATGGCCATGATTGAAAAGTGAGGACCGGGGATCAATTTTGTCATACTACCTTAATCATAAACAGAAAAGTAGCTCTAACTTTAGCTACAAAGTTGAAACATATTTCTCAGCGTACACGTTCTAATGCTTGTACTGGCTTAAAAAATTCTACTGTCTCGGTATTTTTTAAGCACATTTGTCCTCTGAGGTTGATTGATTGATAACTTGATTGGATTTCTAGAGAGGATATATGGGAGTGTTTTGAAGCCAGCTGCTTGCCTGGAAAGACATTGCCTGTCCCTCTATGGTTAGCCAGTGTCTACAAACTCATCTCCTCGTATATCGACAGGTAAACTTCACTTTATTTTTGTTTGAAATGAAAACAGACAGTAAAAAACGTAATGCCTCACCATCATATCTTTTTCAGATGATATCTTTTTCAGGCAATATTGTCATATCAGCGTTTTATAATAATAATAATAATGGAGACTTGTAATGCGTCAAGTCTGTCACATAGTGACAATCCTGGCGCAGAAAAATAGGGCTGTTTCCATAGGGAATGAAAATGGGTTTTCCCAATTTTTTTTTAAAAACTAGCTAAATAACCAATGGACCTTCCAAAGTATTCCGAGTTGTTTGAAGCTCTCCAAGAGCCCAGATATGTATTTACCATAAACAACGGGCTCCTTTCAATTTTCATTTTACCTGATTTGCATTCAATCTGACCCACTTTTAGAGTTATTCTAATTTGCTGTCTGTATGTTTTTATTTAATTTGTATTTGAACTTTTCTACAGAGCCATCAAGCCAGCCTTGGCAGTCCTTCTGAGGGACCCTGTAGACCCCAAGCATCAGGTTGGCTTCATTGACTCCGTCAAGGAGCTTCCCTGTGGATGCCGGCTGAAGCAGAAGGCCCAAATCATCAAAGCCACAGGTCGGTGGTTAAGAAAACAAAGACCCCTCAAGTATTCAGTCAAGTTAACACTATAGTCATTTATGTCAGCCTTTGTCATTTATGACTAATCTTTTTCTTTCCTTTGTAAAATTTCCAAAACTTGCTAAATGCCATATTGTTATCATATGAAATCCGCCTTTTCCAGGTTGTCTGAAGTCAGTTTCGACGTCTGTTTTTTTACTTAAACAAAATTTAAGAATACAATAAAGCAAAAAATGAGGTTTAGAAACAGCTGTTATATCGTTTTTATTCTTAAAAGTTTCATAACCGTGCAAACTTTGTAAATTGGATATATCATGTTTGTGAAATAAGCTCTTCTTTTTCCAACCCTAACCATTAGCAGTATGCCAGGCTGATCTAACCAAATTACTAATGCACTGTTTAGACCAGTGTTGTAGAACTTTCCTTTAAGGACTCAAAGTCAAATTTACATGACTCGCATAATAATTATAGACTCGGATACAGACTTTGACGTAAAAACTCAAGGACTCTTATCTTTTTTGGAATAATTGTGCATTGGAGATGCAAATTTTAATATTGGATTTTGCCTTTCACCAAAATTATTTTATAAACACTGTGTAATTAGTTCTGGCTAAGAGCTTGCAAGAAAAAATTAACAAGCCTGCTTGGGTGGGACTCGAACCCACGACCTCCTGCTTATTAGTGCAGACATCTTAAGGATGCTTTCCAAATCAAGCATGAGTCTGACCAAAAATAAAATTGATATTCCCCATTTCCAACTTTTCTTTTTAAAGAGACAAAAAAATTAACTCAAAATTAACTCAATAATCAATCGAAATTCAAGAACAGTCTATAAAATAATTGTTTTTTTGTTTTTTTGTAGGTCCCCAAGAGGACATACTGACAGCAATGCAAGTCTTGATCACCTCTCTAGCTGACAATGTAGGTGCACTGCCTACACCACTGTGCGTCTTCTTCAACAGTCTACAACAGCATCTCAATGAAAAAGAAGTGCATTGTACACATGACTGCATTGGACTTCAGGTGAGGATATGGGAAATATATAATTTTTAAAAAGGACATCAATAAAGAAATAACAAATTTTTAAAAAGGCTATTTTTGTTCCCAATTTCCCCTCTACGTTTTACATTCATGATTAATTGAATCAATTTCAGCATAAATAGGAGAAGTTCGGAGAATGAGTCGCCAAGTAGGTATGGGGAAAATTTATATGCATTTGAAGACATTGCAAAATGTTGTTTGTGTTGCACAAGGTTTGTTTGTGTTTGTTTGTAATTATTCAGCAATTGGCCGGGATAGCCCACGAAAGTACTTCAACTTGTTTCCAGTGGGGTCCCTTGGTAGAAGATGTGGAAGGAAATTACAGTTTAAGTGGTGGGAGGAAAAACTCCAGAATGATGTCGATCATGAATTTGAAAGGTGGGCCACGTCTGAATGACTTGGCTGTGGCTGGCCATTACACATGTGCCTATCGGAAATGTGTGTTACCGCCAAGACGTAGCCAAATAATTTAGATGCGGCTCTGGCTTATTTAAGGCATACACATTGCATCATTGATTGTTCGCTATCACCCTGTTAGTCCCTGTACTGCCCCAAGTTGTCTTGTCTGTCACTCCTGGCCTGTACCACATGAAACTGCGTAAGCACACTATGGTTTTCTGGATTCTTGCTATTATTTTTTGTTTCTGGTAATGAAACCAAGGATTTCTCGTAGCACCCTAGGCGCTGTAGCTCGCAAGCCTGACGAAACCTGAAGAGAGGAGGCAATGAGAAACAATTACAGTTTTAGAGGTGGGAGGAAAACCCCAGAATATTCTGGGGGAACCCACAGAATCAGGTAGGGACTGAAAACCCAATCCACATGTTGGCCTAGGTGGGATTCGAACCTGGGTCACAGCGGTGGAAGGCGAGGCGAGGAAAGTACAGCAACGCCAACCTGACTCCCCGACGGGTATAAACACAATGTAACACAATGTAGTACAACTCTACTAATGGGTTGATTTTTCCATACCTGCTTGTAAACACAACTGAGTGTGCCTGTGTCATGTTGTCTTTACAGGTGATTGCCAGCAGCCTGTACAACAGACTGTGTGATCAGGAGATGCTGGTGGAGTTGGCCGGCCTGCCCATTGGATCTCAGACATACAGTGAGATCAGTCAGTTTGGAGATTACTGCTACCAGGTCCTGACTTCATCCACTGCCAGTGAGTACCTTGGCTAATCACTGTAGACAAGTAATATAAGAGGTCTTGAACACTGCACGCTGCTGTGCGTTTCCCCCCCCCCCCCCCCTTGCCATTCTGTTCCTTCCCCCCCCCCCCCCTTCAGATGTCGGAAGTGAAATGACCACATTTTTTTTACAACTTGGTATTGTAGTAAAGACCTCTATTTTGTATGCAAATTTTACTTGTTGCACAAATACTACATCCAATTTTTTTTTTATGAAGTTCATGTCCAAAGGTCTGCAGGATATCAGTTTACAACCTCTAAAAGCACTTTAATCCAAAAAGTCCCGAATCCTCCAATTTTCAAATGATTTATCAGACACCCAAGGGAGTTTAGGTTTAGGGTTGAGCCTGCTGTGTTTCATTGCTCACCACCTAATTTGATATTTTCAGAGTGCAGAGACAGTCTACCCCAGCCAGTCTATACCTTCATGGGTTGCCACACTGACTGGCTGCATAGCAAGATTGACACCATCATCAGCCACATGGACAACGAGTAAGAGTTCTCTACTTTGCGTATAAGTCATATTTTCAAACCCTAATGATCACCATTCTGTGAGTGGCCCATCAGGCTGGCGTTTATCTCCGGTTTCAATAACATGAAACGACTGAGAATATTTCTATTCCCCCTGGATAGGATGCTAGTCCATCGCAGGTTACTCCCCAGCTAATGCCGGCACCTATTGATACTCCTGGGAGGAGAGAGGGGGAGTGTGGCCAAGTGGTTAGGGTTTGTGACTCATGATCAGAGGGTCAGGGGTTTGAATCCAGCTGCTGGTCACATATTGCATCACCATTCTGTAGTAAAAATGTAATTCTAAGTTATGAGATGTTGGAAATTTCCTTGCTAGCCTGCTCAATTTGCTTACTGGTTCTACACACTTAGCACAGATTGTTCAGTTATGGTAACCAGAGTCATGAAACCTGATCCTGTAGTGACTGTTTGTTAAAGTTTCGGTTTTTTTTGCTAAATGTTTAATGGCTCGTTTGCTGTGTTCAAGTAATTCCAACATGGCCAAAGCTTGAATATTTTTATGCACTTTTGTTTTGTAATGTAGGTTGTTTGTGAACTGTTCCGGTTATCCATTGGAGGAAGCTCCCTCAGAGTTCCTAGAGCATTACAGACAGATGCAGGCTAGTCTCATCCTCCAGGCACCAGATGGTATGTGGCCAGACTAAGTACACAGTGTTGTAGTAATGTAGGTTGTTTGTTAACTGTTCCGGTTATCCATTGGAGGAAGCTCCCTCAGAGTTCCTGGAGCATTACAGACAGATGCAGGCTAGTCTCATCCTCCAGGCACCAGATGGTATGTGGTCAGACTAAGTACACGGTGTTGTAGTAATGTAGGTTGTTTGTGAACTGTTCTGGTTATCCATTGGAGGAAGCTCCCTCAGAGTTCCTGGAGCATTACAGGCAGATGCAGGCTAGTCTCATCCTCCAGGCACCAGATGGTATGTGGTCAGACTAAGTACACAGTGTTGTAGTAATGTAAGTTGTTTGTGAACTGTTCCGGTTATCCATTGGAGGAAGCTCCCTCAGAGTTCCTGTAGCATTACAGGCAGATGCAGGCTAGTCTCATCCTCCAGGCACCAGATGGTATGTGGTCAGACTAAGTACACGGTGTTGTAGTAATGTAGGTTGTTTGTGAACTGTTCTGGTTATCCATTGGAGGAAGCTCCTTCAGAGTTCCTGGAGCATTACAGACAGATGCAGGCTAGTCTCATCCTCCAGGCACCAGATGGTATGTGGTCAGACTAAGTACACAGTGTTGTAGTAATGTAGGTTGTTTGTGAACTGTTCTGGTTATCCATTGGAGGAAGCTCCCTCAGAGTTCCTGGAGCATTACAGACAGATGCAGGCTAGTCTCATCCTCCAGGCACCAGATGGTATGTGGCCAGACTAAGTATACAGTGTTGTTGTCCATCACGAGTCCAGTCACAAGTAACATGGGATGAGCAATAACTGAGGAATATCTTTATCCCAGTTCATATGAATAGTTTGTGACATGACCTGGGATTGGCTGACTTGTGAGAGACTTGTCATTTTTGTGAGGACTTGTGATGGACTTGTGAGGACTTGTGATGGACTTGTGAGGACTTGTGATGGACTTCAGAGGACTTGTGGTGGACTTCAGAGGACTTGTGATGGACTTGTGATGGACTTGTGATGGACTTGTGATGGACTTGTGTGGGAACGTGTGGTCCAGCGGTAGGACACAGGATTTATAATCCTGTGATTGTGAGTTCAAGCCCCCCTTGAGAAAGGCACTTTACCTCAATTCCTCCTCTCAACCCAGGTGTTAAATGGGTACCGGCATTATTCAATGCTGGGAAGGTAACAGACTCCCTGTGGAGGAGGTGTGGCGATCCCCCCACGGCAGTATTTCTTGGACTCCAGTCTGGCCCAATCGCTTCGAAAGAGAGATGAGCACTCTGTTCCTGTGAACACAGGTTCATCCTCCCTGTTATGGACTTGTGAGGAGTTGTGATGGACTTGATGAACTTAAAGAGGACTTGTGATGGACTCGACTACAACACTGCCATTGTCCCATGTTTTCCTGTTATCAATCTGCTTTGTGTTGTCAGTACAAACATTTCATCTCTAGGGCAGTATATTGTTTTTTGCTTTTACCATACCAATTACTAACAGTGCTGAATTGTAACATTTTCATTTTTTCAGGAGAGAAGTATCTACTCCAAGTTTACAACATGCTAACAAATAACCTTGTAAGTGAACCTATTGCTGCAGTACAGATTCCAAACAAATATTAATATATTTTGTGTTTTTTTTAATTTTTTTTATAAATTTCTTACTTTATTTGTTTATGAGCATTGGTAAATCATGAGGGGAAAAAAATAGTTTTTGTGCCTCCTATATGTAATGTTTTGTTTTTGGAAGTCAGCAATTTGAGAATTCGAGTCACAAAATATTGTGACTATAAAACGGGTCAAAGGTTATTACTTTACCGCAGAAATGAGCAGTTGTCCATTAGTTGACTTGTGGAATTGTAAATTTGACTAGTAAAATGGACAATAGGTGAGTTTTACCGGATTGTTAATTTTCAAAATGTCAGTAACTTTTTTTATACTGAACACTTTACCATGACAAACTGTTTATCAATAACTTCATTTCCCCTATTCATTTTTTTGTCTTTTCCTTTTCTTTTTTTATGCCCCGCGGCGAAGCCGAAGGGGCATACTGTTTCCGCCTTGTCCTTCCGTGGGTGGGTGGGTGGGTGTGGGTGGGTGTGTGGGTGTGTGTGTCCGGACAAATCTTGTCAGCGCAATAACTTGAGAAATACTTAACATATGAACTTCAAATTTGGTTTGTGGATTGTCCTTGGTAATCCTAAGAAGCCTTTTGCATTTGGGGCCGAAAGGTCAAGGGTCAAGGTCACAGTGGCTGAAACAATAGAAATTTTGTCAGCACGATAACTTGAGAAATACTTTACATATGAACTTCAAATTTGGTTTGTGGATTGTCCTTGGCAATCCTAAGAAGCCTTTTGCATCTGGGGCCAAAAGGTCAAGGGTCAAGGTCACAGTGGCAAAAACAAAAGAAATTTTGTCAGCGTGATAACTTGAGATATACTTTAAATATGAGCTTCAAACTTGGTTTGTGGATTGTCGTTGGCAATCCTAAGGAGCCTATCGCATTGGGGGTCGAAAGGTCAAGGGTCAAGGTCACAGTGGCTAAAACAATAGAAATCTTGTATTTATTCTGAGATCATAGGGATTAGGGATTAATTCATATAAAACCTACAGAAGACACTAATGCTGTCAATGAACGTTCCATTTGACCAAGGTACATGTAAGTTGATGTTAGAGTGATGTTATGTCATGGAAACAGTCACGGTTGCGGGGCATTTGTGTTTGTAAACACACCTGACTTGTTTCCTTCTAATTTTGTGAACTCTTTTTTATTCTCTCCTATAGGATTGGTTCGAACATCAGTTAGAAATCCCACCTGTTTTTCCATCCAAGGATCCCTCCTCCTCCCCAACCAATCCCAAGGAGAGCCCCATCTTCTCCTTAGACCTGACCAAGAGCCCCGCCCATAGCCACACCCATGCCCAGCCCTTCCAACCCCTGGCCTGCTTCAACACCTTAAACGGCGCCCAGTTTGACCAGACGGCCCTGGCCGAGTTCCCCTTCAACTGGCCCCGTCTCCTGCAGTGCGAGTTAGGCATGAGCGAGGTGGGATTCCGGACGCTGCTGTCTCATCGGCACGAGATGCAAGAGGACGCCTATCTTGAAGAGGCAGAGAAGAAGCCTGTGCATATCCTAAGGAGCAAGTATAACCTGGAGGTGGCTGAGTTAGTCTGAGGATAGAGCAAATCCTAAAACAGATTCTACAAGTGACATTTGGTTTGTGCTAGTTGTCAACTGTGTGTTTTTTTCATCCATCCATCTGTTTATAGTTCGTCTGTCCCAGAAGTCGAGGGTTGGACTCCATGATGATCATGTCCTCTTGGTCGGATAGCTTTCCTGCACTCTACTCGGTTCAATGCCAGACTGGCATCAATCTGCATGCACCTCAGGCCATTGTTGATGTTGTCACTTCACCTCTTCTTTGGACGGCCACATTGGTAGTTGCCAGGAATCGCCCCCCAAAACACTTTAATGCATTGCCCCCAAAACACTTCAAAATACACAATAAGGAATGCCAAGCTATCCTGTGTTAAGCAAATGAGCCTGCTCTGAATCCCTCCACTTGAAGATGTCTCATCTAAAAAAAAAATGTAAGAGAAAGGATCAAACCTTTCTTGCCAAGAAAATCACTCACACATGTATGTCATTTCTGTTGTTATTTGTTGGTTTTTTTGTACAAGCCAAATTCCCGAGAAGTAAGAATATGCTGCCATTGGGCCGGTCTAGTGCAAAGCTTGTATGATAAAAGATGATTCGGAAAGGATTTTGCTCATTATTTGAGCAATTTTCAATTCATTCTTGTCAAATAGTCATAAATAAGTATTCGTATCTGTACAAATTAATATGCGCAAACCATTCATAACTATGAGTTACACAAAAACAGTTTGACAGATATTTAGTTTGTAGGTGACTTTCCTTGGGGAAAAATGTGAACTTTCAAATGACTAGAAACAGATTTCATCACAAAAATGTGATCTTTCAAAATTCATGATCAAACACTCCAAAAAAGTTTGTAACTATAATATATGGAATCCTCCCAGATTATATTTCATTTATATTGACTGCTGTTGTTGTTTATTGAGCTTTTGCTTCAGTGTGCCAAAGGTGTATTCATTCGTTTTATTTGACAAAAATGTATTTTAGCTAAGGAATATAGTAGATATATTGTATATGTAAAAGTTTGTTGATATTTGTGTAAAATTATGTGTATTTATTGAGAACTATGATATCTTTGGGTATTATAAAGCAAAATAACACCTGACCTATATAAGTATGTCTCCAAAGTTTTGATAACCACAGTGTGTTGTACATGTAAGCCAACCTTTCTGCACTCGAATGGGGAGATCATTAAGTATTCAGTATAGGGTGGCATGGGTGGCTTGTGCGTAAAGCGCTCGCCTCTCACCAAGGTGACCACGGTTCGAATCCTGGCCGCGGATTGCATGTGAGTAGAGTTGTGCGTGGTTCTCTCCTGTGCCACGTTGGTTTTTCTCCAGGCCCTCCGGTTTTCCTCCCTCCGGAAAAATCAAACACTTTCGATCTCAGGCTGTGCTCCGTGGTCATACATGGGTCGATGTGGCCGGCAGCCATAGGCGCCTTTACGTGCCAGCAGCCCGACCACGTTGTAGCCGCGTCCTTCGCAATTCAGCATACCAGCTGCGAGTAAGGATGATTAGCCTCCCTTATTATTATTATTATTATTATTATATTATTATAGGGATCATTAAGTATTCAGTATAGGAATCTTGTTATGATGAATGTCTGCTACCAGTGTTTGGTATAGTTATCCATAAAATTGTGCATCAAAAAGCCAAAGTGCAGTGGCGTAACCGGGAAGGGGGGATTTTAAATCTACAGATTAGAGACTTTTAAGGCTAGAGTTTTAAAAGCAAATTTGGGATGATGCAGAAAATGGATTATAAATGCAAAATAAGGGTAGTGACATCCTCGAGTCATTTTTGTCCTGTTGTCGGCAAAATTGTGTGCTTTGTGGGAAAATGTGCCCGGATGAATAGTGCCCCCTGTTGTCCAATACCATCCATGCTCGTCAGCTTTGAACTGTGACACCTATAGGAAGATGGTGTCTAGTTTCCTCCCCCCCCCCAAAAAAAAAACAGGATTAGGTTTCATTAGAAATTTCACAGAAATATTCAGATTTTGTTGTGCAAGATTAGTACTTTTGCTTAGTATACTTTTAAATATATATATATATAGTTTGTTTTTTCAAGTGCAATATCGTTTTGTTCAAACAGTGTGGAATATGTGATTAAATTATTACTTTAAAACTAGCAAATTTGGCTCAATTATTTACTCATTTTAATGCTTGATGATGACATTTCACAGATGCTGTTTTAAAAAATATTGATGTAGAGGAATCTTTTGTAACAATGCTAATGCGTTTAGTTTAAGGTTATTTTATTTGAATAAAATGTCCCTACCATGTCCCTACCCTACCATCCCACTTTACAAATTCCCAACGTCAATCCGACTTTTACTAATTCCCAAATTCCGGAAGGGTTTTAGTTGTATTCATCATCATGAATATCCTTGTCAAAATAGGTGTCGGCCTTGCTGAGAAACTTGACTTCATCCCTTCAATGCCTCCCAGATATTCGCAACTACATTATGGTCAAGTGTTGGTGTTTGCGTGATAGATCCCCGTGTCCGGAGTTTCCATTTACACACAAAACATGTATGTTTAAACTTTGATTTCTGTTGTTGTTTTTTTCGGAGTTATATCACCGTACCACTAGCATAAACTGAGCTGTGCGTGGCAACGGAAACAAGTAAATCTAGGAATGTGTCTATTTCTATATTTACCCATCCGACAAAAATCTTCCCAGATAACTGTAAGACTAAGCATTATACGAAGAACCCTTGGACCCATCTGACTTCACTCTACCAAATAAATTAATGATTATTAAAAAAGCTCAATGATTTTTTTTCTTTCACATGTGGCAGTAATACGCGTCCGGATGAACCGTGCTCTTTCCATTTGAAATTCAATGCTACGTGACTCAAAATGGTATCCGAAGTCCAAACAGTCCCGAGAATTAGAGCAAGTCATTCTGGAACATAGAGGGCGCACTTCCTGAAAACTTTTAGACGATGTGATTGGACCGGCGCCAGCGCGGTTTACCGGGCCGTCCGCGGGTACGGTACCGGGTACGGTTAGTCCATCATGTCCATGTAGGCCCTCCGGCATGTCCGGTACAGGTTCTCGATATCTTTCGGTGAGCAAGACTGTTTTGACTTAACTTGTGTAGGCTTAAATTAATTTGTGTGTGTGTGTTGTGGAAGTACTAAGTAGACCCAAACAGTAAGACCTGGAGAATATCATGTATTTGGGTCAAAACTTTTCTTGAAACTCGGAGTGGGCTGTGATTTATGTAGCCCCACTTGTGTGGCCTCCGTATTGCTGCGCTGTACATTAGGCCTAACGTTCCGTGCGGCAATACGGAGGCCACACAAGTGGGGCTATGATTTATGATGACAATTAATTAACGTTAGGAGCCCAACAGTAGTCGTGTACTAGGACACTAGTCTTATGTTGTGCAAGTTTCGTTCATAAATAAAAAAAAAACTAGGCCCTATGGCCTTTTATGAATATTTTATTAAAAATAAAAGAACCAAAAAAAAAAAAAATTCTCACACAGTGGATTGGATCCCAGGACCTCTGAAACGGTAGACCAACATTTAACCAATCAAGCTACCAAAGCGCTCCAGTTAGAAGGGCAGTTTTTAATGTGATATACATCAAAAACAATGTTTTGGTACTTTTTAAAATTTATTTTTTACAGAGTCTCAATATGAACTTATAGTAAATGGATCAGCTTGCAGGAGGCAGCAGCTCCGTTGCTGCATCATCTGGCCACGGGGATTCCTTCCTCCTACTTGAAACTCATGAGCAGAACTTCATTCAGCAACATTTGTGCCAATACCACTGATACTTCCAGCATTGAGCGGAGTGGCCGACAGTTTTTCCCATCATTGCTGACTGGTTTGCCCTCCAGCTTTGACCCCTAATTGGCTGGTGACCCGGCCTTTACCAAGTCTGCATCAGTCAGTGTACCAGTATCCTTGATGGCCTCCAGTCCATCCTCAGTGGCCAGTGTTTCAACAATTAGCCCACCTTTGCAAGCCAGCGATGTGGCCTTCAATTCATCCTCACTGGCTGGTGTTCCGGCCTCCACCTCATCCTTTCCTGCAAGAAGTTTTCCGGCCTATACCCCATCCTTGCTGGCCAGTGGTTCGGACTTTGTCACATCCACATTGGCCAGTGTTTCTGCCATTCAGAGCCCACCTTTGCTGGCTAGTAGTTTGGCCTTCAATTCATCCTCAACAGCCAGTGGTCCAGCATTAATCTCATCCTCAATGACCAAGGTTTCAGCCATTATCCCAACTTTGCCAGCCAGTGATCAGGCCTTCGTCACATCGTCATCAGCCAGTCTTCCACTCTTCACCCCATCATTACCTGCTGCTTGCCATGCAGTTGCACTACCCAACATTGGAGGTCTTGATACATCCATTTCCTGGCGACGTTCTGCTCTGTCTTCTGATCGGTTGGATCCATCTAGTAACATTCTACCTACTGGGTGAGTAAATATTAAAATTGAACAACGTAAATGTTATCAAGAAAAATAGTCTATAACCTATCTGAAAGTAGCTTTGTATGCCAACAGCTGTGGTAACTGAATACAAAGAAATTTATTTCTGCAAAGTTGTCATATGATGGACATTTATCATTTCTAAAAAAAAAATGGACTTTACTTTAACCTTAATTGGTTTATCATGTGATATTTTTTGGTGACCTGTCCTTTCAATTTTAGAATTCAAAGAGTGTATTACATAAATTGCCATTACTTGAATTTGTTACAAATACACATGTGAGATATATGTGTACATGCAAGATATTAGCAATTTTTAAACTTTCAATTATTCGAATGGTTTCACTTTTCAAAGAAGCTAAGACATAATCGCCCCATGAAAAGTGTTCCAACAAAAAACCTGCCTGCCTTTGACTTTGATTTTTTTCACTCTCTAGGACTAAAACACTTCTTCATTCAGCTGAAATATATCAAGAAAGCAGCAGCCTCGCCAAGGGGCCTACCGGTAACTTTGCCCAGGGGCGTACCCTCAACCCTGTCCAGGAGCGTACTCTGAGTCCCGTCCAGGGGCCTACTCCGAGCTCTTTCCAGGGGTCTACCCTCAGCCCTGTCCAGGAACCTTCAAATAGCTTTGCCCAGGGGCCTACCCTAAGCTCTGTCCAGGGGCCTACCCTCAGCTCTGTCCACAGTGCCCAGGGACCTACCTGTAGCTTTGCCCAGGGGCCCACCCACAGCCCGCCCCAGGTGTCTATCAGCAGCCCTACTCCCCCGGTGTCCATCGGCACCCCTACTCAAGCCTTTGCCTTCAAGGATCTGGACTGTCTGGAGAACCTTCCTGAGGTCGTGGAGAGTTTGTCCCAGGCACAGAGGCAGCAGGCTGCTGAGATTGAGAGGCAGTACCAGTTATTGCAGGAGGAGAAGGTACGTGTTTCAAACATAACATCTAAGATGGTTGGGATGTTGATTTAAAAGGAGATAGATATGGAATTCTTAAGTCATTCTGCTGTCATCCGCCTTAATTGTGCCAAAGTGCCCCCTCTCCGCTTGATAATAGAGAGGCTGGTTGGGAGTGATTAAATTGGTTTCAATCAGGCGCCATCTTGCTTATAATCAACATGTATCCCACTCCTAAACACTGGTTTCCGCCTCCATAATATTTGTAGTCAGAGCCACATGAAAAGGATCGGGAACAGTCTAGCGCAGTCACGTATCCCCTGGTATCTTACGTACATTACATAAATAAGGAAAAGCGACCTGCATGCGTAAACCAGTGAAGTGCATGACCCACCGCTACTTGGCTAGCTCTCTTTGTCATGTCACATATGGAGCTCATAGTCAAAAGTCTATCAAATGAGCTGAGTGAAGTAGGTCGCTTCTGCAAAGTTGGCGCATCACTTTTTGATTGCAATTGTGGGCAAATAGGCTCTGAATGTAGCTTCTCATGAAACCGTGACTTGATTTGATCATGAAAATTGTGCACGTATTGCACATTGGCAGTGGCTGGTGCTGGTCTGGTCAGATTTTGTGAATTTTTTATTTTGATGTACATGTAATGCCAGCTATATTCGGCAAAGTGCAAGACTCATTATTAAATTGTTTACTCCTTTTCTTGTTTTATATTCCATGTGGGTCACACCTCATTTACATTAGGAGAGACTGAAGAAAGGTACGTGGCAAACTTCTCTTGACTTACTGATATTATTTAAAGGTCATAAACTCTCTTGATGAGCATTACTCACTATAGAGATACATGCTAAACCAATGAAGGGGATTAGTATCAGGCGCGGATCCAGAGGGGGGGAGGGGGGAAGTTGAGGGGTCGAAACGCACCCTGCTCTGACTCAATTTTTTTGCATAGAAATACATTAAAAATAATGTGAACCCCCCCCCCCCCCCCCTGCTCTGGCACCCCCCAAAAAAGTTTACTGGTATTAATATCTGTCTGTGTATAAAATTTGGACAGAGCCAGTTTGGTTAAGTGCATTTTTGTACACTATTGTGTAATAAAGTGTTACTGATCATTGCATTTGAACATCACCCCCATCAAATGTATAGTACGAGTCCCCCCCCCCCCCCCCCCCCCATTTGATTATATAGAGGCCAAGTGTCCGGAAAAAAACAACCTGTCTACATTTCAGCATTGATTTGCAGATAAACCCCCCCCCCCCCTGCAAAATTTCCTGAATCCGCCACTGAGTATCTGTTCAACAAACCTGGTTATCATGTGGAAGTTAATGGGCAAATTTCACAATAACACAGTTGAATGGTTATATGTGCTTGTTTCAAAATGCAATACAAAGTTTGAGAGGTGCTGTAATTGCTCAAAAAATATTTTAAAACAAATTCAATTTGAAGAGGAAGACCAACTTCAGCAGATTCAAGAAGAGCTACGATACTGCACAAGACAGATCTGCCTAACAGAGGAGGACAGCGCTGTGTTGTCACAACACTGCAAGAAGTTCAAAATGGGTGAGTTGAATAGACAAACGATCTTACGGAGTGAAAAGTAGGCCTGTCGATTTTTTGGAGATTTCTTTTAATTGCACGAGTTTGTTATGAAGAACCCATTTTTTTTCTAGAATGTTTCCCAATTTTGTTAAGGTGAATGGAGTCCGTGAAATGAGATAGAACCTCTGTTGCTTTCATGTGCGTGAGGAATTGAATAAACTCCACTGACATCCAAATAAATTCTGATTTTTTTTGGGGGGGGGGGGGAAAGATTGCCACTTCTGGTTATTGATTTTCTTTGTACAAGATAAGTGGAAGAATCTCTGTTATAAATACAGTAGCGCTGGTAACTGGGGACTTGTGTTTATTTGGATCACAAAAGAAAAGGGGGAAGAATCATAATCAATTACTCTGTTCTTACTAGTTTCATCATCTTTTTCTTCAATTGTTGTCATTAGTTTAAATCTAGATTGAGGAGAATCTTTACTATTTCTTTTTTAGATTTGGACTCCGTTTCTGTGGAGAATTTAGAAATAGTCAGAAAAATTCAGGAAACAAGACAAAAGATGGCCGATGATGCAAGGTGGGTGGTCAATCAAAATGAAGTACATGTATTATGTTCTTAAGTAGTTTGAATCTCTCTTTATTATCTTACTTATTTTTGCTACCATGATGAAAAAATTGATAATCGGTTACTTCCGTTTGTAATTTCATATGACCTCTTAAGGTTCTGACGGGGCTTGATTTTCTGTCTGTTTATTGCACCATTCTCTGATCATGTCCCTCAACTCCTGTTTTCGGCCAAGGAGACAAATTTCAGAATTTTAAAAAAAGTTTGGTCCACAGTAACTCAAAATAACCACCAACGTAAGTCCCTCCCTCTCCCTCCACATCCCCCCCCCCAAAAAGGGTGTGATGTCACAGATAACCAGTGTTTCTGAAAATTATTTCTTGTCCATGATTGTCACCTCAAAGTCTAGTCCTCTGTCGTTAAATGAAAAAAAAATCTCAAATTGTGAGATATATAATGCATAGGTTAATTTCCTCAGAGGTAACCGAAGCCAACATCTTCAATTCTCCTTCAGACTTTATGCTGAATATCGTGTCAAAATGAGCAGCCATCAGCAGCTAGTGAATGACCTAGAATCCAGCATGCCCACTCACATGGAATTGGCCACGCAAAAGGAGAAAATACAGGCGCTTCAAGCTGAAAGTAAGTTTTGGATCTAGCTTGAGGGAGAAATTGAAATCCCCAAATATATGTTTTCCTCCCCTTTTTTTGTTTTCCTGACAGAAGAGAACCACATAGACTCAGGCAATACAACTGGTTCTGATAAGAAAAATTGAAACCTTTCACAGCATTATACTTATTACCAGTGATTCAATTCTATGTTTGTATTTTACTCCCATATATGCATCTTTTGAGTTCAATAATATCCCCCATTTCCTGGGAAAACCAAAATCTAAATGGGTGTTTAGAATTCTTTTATGGATTCAGCAATAGACAAGGTATACCTTTATAAATGACTCGGTCTCTCGTTGTAAAAATGTTAATTCAAAACTGAAACGAAAAAAAAATAATAATAAGAGACAAATTAAAAGACATCCTCCTCCAAAGATCCAAAATCACAATAAATATTTTGCTAACAACTTATTTCATAAAGCTATAGACCAATTTGTCACATGGTGCGCCATGACAGTGGGTAGGTTTTTGTTTCTTTGATACACTTGATTAGGCACTTTGTGCTTTCATTGTAACTGAATTTTAACAAAACCTGCCCACTGTCATGGTGCACTGTGCAAAGGGTCTATTCAAAAGGAATTGCAACAAAGGTATACTGATGTCATTTTTCCAGCCCTCGTGCTTATTCATGAGGAAGCCATTTTTGATCATGTTCCCTGAATGCATTTTATAAATTGTAAACTGTTGAATGGGATGGTGCCAGACTATTTATGCGTTCCAAGCCTCACTTTCAATTTTCGTTTTTTTTTCAATGTTTAATCACAAATTTCAAATTATTCATCAGAGCAGACTGGTATGAATCTTTAATTATCTATATTTCATTGCTTTCATTTCTATGCTCAAGTCCCAAAAAATGATGATGTTACCTCGCTTTCAATTTAAAATGGCCGACTCGTGAATAAAGCCAATTGACCTTATTTGTTACTTATAAGGCCGTGTCCGAAACGGGCTTCCAGAGCTACGGCTACATCTATTGTCAGTGTGTCCCCGCATATTTTCAATGGGCGCAGACCTAGACCTAGCTCTAGACAGTTGATTCGGATGCAGCCTTAGTCACTTATAATTGACTTGTTACTCTATTGTGAATTTTGCCTTTCAACTCAGTGTGATATTGGGTTCACTGCTTTAATCGGTATTGCTCATCAGAATTATAACATCATTGGCTTGTTGGTGTCCTCTTTATTTGTGTTGAAGAGACAGCGATGGAGAATGAGCTGCTTGTGACCACCGATGGAAGCGCCACAAAACTGGAGCAAGAGATGAAATCCCTGATAGCCAGCAAAGATAAGCTGCTGACTAGCATCAGCGAGAAAACAACAGCAGTAAGCAATATCTTCTCTTCTTATTGTGAAATCTTTTTCCCACAGATATGTGTGATCCAAAATGGAATTTGCAATGTCAGGGCTACTCTTTTTACAATTCTTCACAGTGGAATTGTAGGAACAGGCAGCAGTTTCTGCATATAGGCCTACAGCGAAATCTTGATAAGTCAAACTCTGATAACTCAAAACAACTGTGAAGTCAAACAAAGAATCCATTGCCTTCAGTAGTATAACAATGATATACAACCCTGCTTAACTCACAGCTGTGCTTAAGTCAAATTTTGAACCTGTTCCCTTGAGGTTTGACTGCAAGATTTCACTTTATTTAGAATTTAAACCCGGAGTCATATTACAATGAAGATTGGATAGGAAACACTCACAAATAAAAAAAAGAGTTCACAATACTGTTGCATTTGTTGAATCAGGTATTGCTTTTACAGCCATCGTACATATCCATAATCCCTTTGTGACCACTTTTCATACCACCCTTAACTTTAACAAAAAACTTTTCTTTTAGATTGCCAATGAGGAATCACGGCATGCATGCTTGAAGCAGGACACAGACGTACTTCGTGTAAGTTTGCTCTTTGGTTTTACCCTATTATCATTGGATTTTGCTCTTAAAAAGGAAAGGTTCAAGTTCACAGAGAACCTGAAAACCCACTGGAATTGGGAATTGTAAAAGTCCCAGTGCTTTTTCAGGGGCGCGCTTTAACACTTCAAGAATTTGAAGAAATTCATTATAATTTCAGAATTGGATTTTGCTCTTCATGGTAATTAACTGCTACAACATCAGATTCAAACCCACTAGCTGGCCCCGGCAAGCTCTAGGGTCGAGCTGTAAGCTGACGGTATGGTCTTGCATATATGTCTAATGTCTGCACTAGTAAGCAGGAGGTCGTGGGTTCAATTCCCACCCGGGTAGTTTGTGAATTTTTTTATCCCAAGTACTCCGACAAACACTTAGTATACAGTGTATCAAAAATATGTTGGCAAGGGGGCAACGTTTTTCAAAAGTTTTGGAGACATTCGTGCAAAAACATCCATAAATGCTGTTGGCAAAGATCCTTAAAGCCTGATGTAACTTTCAGTGTGGAGCAATTATGGGAAGGTATATGGCAAACGCAACAGAAAAACTGAAAGTGTTGACATCATAACATTTTCATTTGTTTTGCTTCTTCTCAACAGAAGAGGAACCAGGCCCAGCTGACTCGACTGAGGCGACAGCTGAAGGAGGCCCAGCTGAGGAACAAACAGTGGCATGATGAGGCCTGTCAGCTGGAAAACCAGATAGAACAACTGCGCAAATTCACAGAGGAATAAAACTATGGGTTGGTGATTCCTCAGTTTTGTTTATAACTGTTTGCGATCAATGTCTAATGGATGTGCTTAAATAAATAGACCATTGTGGTACAGGTTGTCCCACAAAAAAACGGGCATGTTTTCAGTAGTGCTGAGTAGAATAATTGGTCTTCCAAATGCTTTTTAGTTGGTTTCAATTGGGACGTTTTGCTCAAAAGACACAGCAATCATAATACGGGACGTGAAAAACCACTTGGGCCACTTTTTTTATATATCAAGTTTACAGATCGAAGCCAAAGGATGTAAATCCTTTCTCACTTTCAAGGAAAGTGGCCCAAGACGAGTCGACCCTTGGAACTAATATGAAGCATAGCATTATTGTTCCAATGCATCACTTTGAATGAAATAAAGTTCGTATGGTAGATTGGTTATTCGGCCAAGAGGTAATTTGAAAATATTCAAAACTCACATGCAATATCAATTTATTGATTGGTTTTCGGCTGTTACTTTTTTGGTGGGACAACCTGTATTATACAAATATTGACTGTTTGGAGTGGTGTAAAGAAACTAGCCTCCTTAGGTGAGCCATAGAATGTGATCCATAGAATGCTCCATGGATCACCAAGGGAGGCTAGTTTTACTACACCACGAGATAAAGCAGTCAATATTTGTTTTATAGCACCTCTCCCACAGATTCTGCGTGATTTTAAGCGACAACTAATTAATTTAATCTAAATACAATTAGACATACTTTTATTTGCATACGAAATTAGTTGAAATTTACTGACCACACTTAATACCGGTTGCCATGCACAGCAAGATGACAAAAATAGTGAATGCCATGTGACTAGTTCTCAGCCAAGTCAAGATACAGAATCTGTGGGTGAAGTGATATAAGAAGTCTTATCTATAGATACATGACATCTTCTAACACTTCACTCCAAGGACAGTTACATGTATTTGTTCCTATTGACATGCATGAGTAGACAGATTGTATTTTCATTGTTACTTAATTTAAATAAAACTTGCCCTTGGTGTGCAAGGGCTCTAAAGTGAAAGAATCTGACACTTTACATGTGGCACCTCAAAAAATGGTAGAGGTAGTTTGGTCTGCAGAGGTCAGTTTTTGTAAAAAGTTTTTGTAATAAGTGGGTATTTATATAGCACACATATCCACCAGGACTGGGGCTCAAGGCACTACGTCATTATTACCACTGCTCATTGGGCCCATGAAACATTCCAAATACCACCTCAGCTCCCTGGGGGTATACAGCTTGATGCTGCCTGTTAGGCACAAGGTAGCTAATTCAATCACAATAACCATCTCTGCCCTCATAGGTACCCATTTACTCCTGGGTGGAGAGGAGCAATGAGCGACAAAGTGCCTTGCCCAAGGGCACACGCACCATGACCCCAGGCTGGACTTGAACCCACAACCAACAGAATTACCTGCAGACCACGAGTCCAATGTCCTTATAACCACGAGGCCATAGGACTCCACCATCATTATCATCTCAATGAATGTCAGTCATTGCACACTTGTTGAAGAGTCACAAGTGTGGGATTGAGAAACATTTCTAATTTGTCAGAAAATACTTTGCAAATGTTCTTGACTCTCCATGGACTTTGTACACAACCGTTGAAGTTGCGTCTGGACACGACGTTCTTTCCAAGTTTTGTCTCTAGTTTGACAAGTTCTTGATTAGTATAAGATTTTATGTAAAAAAGTTTTGCACTTGACATTTTTTATAACTGTTCAAGACAAACAGGTACTTTAAGTCATAATATGTAATAATTTGAAGTATTCAAGTATTGCATATTTATATATGAACAATTGACGGAGATTTCGAGACATCCCATGTACATATTTAAAAAAAAAAGTATTTTTAGTCCAGTTGTACGTCTTGTTTAAATTTTTGTTCAACATATATGCGACAATTTTTGCTGTTACCGTGCATTTATGATTATTTTTGTTCTTATTGCTGCACACTTGTGAACAATGTTTTGGTTACATTTTTTAATTGTTTGACAATTACTCTAATATTTTACAGATTTTTTTTTTTTTTTATGACGATCAATGATGATGAATGTGTTGTTTTTGTTAGTAAATGGTTACTTGTTTGTATTTTCGCACTTAACACAAGTTCATTGTTTTGGGTATATTATTTTTATCGTTTGATAATTTCTTTCGATATTCAACAGCCATGTGGTTTATTTGACGACCTATCACCAGACAAGATTTTAGTTGAATATAACGAGTATTTTTGCAGTAATCTTTCCTCAACAAGTGTGTTGTTTTTTGTTCCATAAAAGTTAACTTTAAATTGAATTGTATTTTTCGCTCTTAACACACTACATTATTTTGTTTACATTTTTTTTGTTTTGTTCGATAATAACTGTAATATATTGCAGATTTGTGTTAAATATCAAGATCAACTACTGATGAGACTTGAATTTAGTGCGACTTGTTTTTGTTGAGTTATCATTTGGAAAACTAGCTGTGTTGTTTTGTTCCAAAGGCCCTAGATGGTTACTGTTATGTGTTTATCGTATTTAACACACCTCATTGTTTGGAGAATATTATTTTTATCGTTTCATAATTTCTTTCGATATTCAATCGCAATGTGGTTTATATCACGACCAATCATTCGACGAGATTTTAGTTGAATGTAATAAGTATTTCTTAAGTAATCTCCACAACGAGTGTGTTGTTTTTGTTCCATAAAAGTTTACTTGAATTCGAATAGTATTTTTCGAACTTAACACACTATATTGTTTTGGTTACATTTTTTGCTATTGTTCGACAATAAAAGATTTGTGTGACATATCACAATCCATCACTAGCAAAGTTTTTAATTCAATGCGACATCATTTTTTATGTGACAACAAATAATTTTGAGCAATTTATTAACCCAAATTTTCCTTGCATTTTTTTCTTTGGAATAGCACATCTGTCCAGAAGTCGAGTTGGAATGTGTTCTAAGGCCCCATAGGCATCTTCCCTGCAAGTTTCAAGCAATTTCATTTTTCGCCCAAAATGGAAAAAAATGCAAGGGGTTAGCCTGAATTTTTTTTAATAAAATCCGGCCAAAAATGAATTTTCTCCAAACTCTGCAGAAATTCGTCTGGATGCACGAGGAGTCCCAATCAATATTCAAAGACCCCGTTTCTTAAAGAATTGGACAAAAATCATCATTTTTATGTGAAAACAAATATTTTTGAGCAACTTATTAACCCTTAATTTTCGATCCATTTTTTGTTTGGAATACCACATCTGTCCAGAAGTCGAGTTGGAATGTGTTCTCAGGCCCAAAATGGAAAAAAAATGCAAGGGGTAAGCTTTACATTTTTGATGAAAATCGGCCAAAAATGAATTTTCTGCAAACTATTCAGAAATTTGTCTTGATGCACGAGGAGTCCCAATTAATATTCAAACACCCAATTTTTTTAAGAATCGGGCCAAAAAACCCATCATATTTATGTGAAAACAACTATTTTTGAGCAATTTATTTACCCTAAATTGTCGAAGCATATTTCTTTAGAATAGCACATCTGTCCAGAAATCGGGTTGGATTGTGTTCTAAGGCCCGTTAGACATCTTACCTGCAAGTTTCAAGCGATTTCATTTTTTGGTCCAAAATGGGGAAAAAATGCATGGGTTACCCCAAATTTTCGTCCCATTTTTTCTTTGAAATACCACATCTGTCCAGAAGTCGAGTTGGAATGTGTTCTAAGGCCCTTTAGACATCTTCTCTGCAAGTTTCAAGCAATTTCATTTTTTGGTCCAAAATGGAAAAAAGTTAAGGGGTTAGCCTTACATTTTTGATGAAATTCGGCCAAAAAATGACTTTTCTGCAAACACTTCAGGAATTCGTCTGGATGCACGAGGAGTCCCAATCAATAATCAAAGACCCAATTTTTTGAAGAATCGGGCAAAAATCTTCATTTTTATGTGAAAACAAAATATTTTAGAGCAATTTATTTACCCTAACTTTTCGACCCATTTTTTTTCTTTGGAATACCACATCTGTCCAGAAGTCGAGTTGGAATGTGTAATCAGGCCCATAGGCATCTTCCTTGCAAGTTTCAAGTAATTTCATTTTTTTGCCAAAATGGAAAAAAATGCAAGGGGTTAGCCTTACATTTTTGATGAAATTCGGCGAAAAATGAGTTTTCTCCAAACTCTTCAGAAATTCGTCTGGATGCACGAGGAGACCAATAATTGTCGCCCCTAGCGGTACGCGCGTTTTTGTATACCGCTAGGGGCGACAATTATTGGTCGCCCCTAGTGGAAGTTCCGCTAGGGGCGACAATTATTGGTCGCCCCTAAAGGAAAGTTCCGCTAGGGGCGACCAATAATTGTCGCCCCTAGCGAAACTTCCACTAGGGGCGACCAATAATTGTCGCCCCTAGCGGTATTCAAAAACCCTAAATTTTCGACCCATTTTTTTCCTTTGGAATACCACATCTGTCCAGAAGTCGAGTTGGAATGTGTTATCAGGCCCCATAGGCATCTTCCCTGCAAGTTTCAAGTAATTTCATTTTTTTGCCAAAATGGAAAAAAATGCAAGGGGTTAGCCTTACATTTTTGATGAAATTCGGCGAAAAATGAGTTTTCTCCAAACTCTTCAGAAATTCGTCTGGATGCACGAGGAGACCAATAATTGTCGCCCCTAGCGGTACGCGCATTTTTGTATACCGCTAGGGGCGACAATTATTGGTCGCCCCTAGTGGAAGTTCCGCTAGGGGCGACAATTATTGGTCGCCCCTAAAGGAAAGTTCCGCTAGGGGCGACCAATAATTGTCGCCCCTAGCGGTATACAAAAACCCTAAATTTTCGACCCATTTTTTTTCTTTGGAATACCACATCTGTCCAGAAGTCGAGTTGGAATGTGTTATCAGGCCCCATAGGCATCTTCCCTGCAAGTTTCAAGTAATTTCATTTTTTTGCCAAAATGGAAAAAAATGCAAGGGGTTAGCCTTACATTTTTGATGAAATTCGGCGAAAAATGAGTTTTCTCCAAACTCTTCAGAAATTCGTCTGGATGCACGAGGAGACCAATAATTGTCGCCCCTAGCGGTACGCGCATTTTTGTATACCGCTAGGGGCGACAATTATTGGTCGCCCCTAGTGGAAGTTCCGCTAGGGGCGACAATTATTGGTCGCCCCTAAAGGAAAGTTCCGCTAGGGGCGACCAATAATTGTCGCCCCTAGCGGTATACAAAAACCCTAAATTTTCGACCCATTTTTTTCCTTTGGAATACCACATCTGTCCAGAAGTCGAGTTGGAATGTGTTATCAGGCCCCATAGGCATCTTCCCTGCAAGTTTCAAGTAATTTCATTTTTTTGCCAAAATGGAAAAAAATGCAAGGGGTTAGCCTTACATTTTTGATGAAATTCGGCGAAAAATGAGTTTTCTCCAAACTCTTCAGAAATTCGTCTGGATGCACGAGGAGACCAATAATTGTCGCCCCTAGCGGTACGCGCGTTTTTGTATACCGCTAGGGGCGACAATTATTGGTCGCCCCTAGCGGAAGTTCCGCTAGGGGCGACCACTATTGTCGCCCCTAGAGGAACGAGCGTTTCTGTATACCGCTAGGGGCGACAATTATTGGTCGCTTCCAGCGGAAGTTCCGCTAGGGGCGACCAATAATTGTCGCCCCTACAGGAACTTCCGCTAGAGGCGACCACTATTGTCGCCCCTAGAGGAACGAGCGTTTCTGTATACCGCTAGGGGCGAACAATAACGGTCGCCCCTAAAGGAAGTTCCGCTAGGGGCGACAAGTATTGGTCGCCTCTAAAGGAACTTCCACTAGAGGCGATCAATAATATTATTGTCGCCCCTAGAGGAACGATCGTTTCTGTATTTTCGCCCCCAGAGGCTGTACCTCTACGGGCGATATAACGGTTCGTCTGGATGCACGAAGAGTCCCAATCATTATTTAAAGACCCCTTCTTTTGAAGAGTTGGGCACAAATCATCAATTTTTAAAATGAAAAAAAAAACCAAGGGGTAAGCCTTACATTTTTGATGAAATTTGGCAAAAAAAATGGCTTTTCTCCTAACTCTTCAGAAATTCGTCTGAATGCACGAGGAGTCCCAATCAATATTCAAAGACCTATTTTTTTTAAGAATCGGGCCAAAATCATATTTTTTATGTGAAAACAAATATATTTGAGCAATTTATTAACCCTAAATTTTCGACGTATATTTTCTTTGGAATAGCACATCTGTCCAGAAGTCGAGTTGGAATGTGTTCTAAGGCCCCCATAGGCATCTTCCCTGCAACTTTCAAGCTATTTCATTTTCGCCCAAATTGGAAAAAAAATGCAAGGGTACTGAATGGTTAATGTTTTGTATTGATTGCACTTGTTTGTTTTTATTGTTTAATAATTTCTTTTGATATTCAACAGCAATGTGGTTTATATCGCGACCAATCACTAGACGAGATTTAAGTTGAATGAAATAAGTAATTCTTGAGAAATCCTTTCCACAACCTGTGTGTTGTTTTTGTTCCATGAAAGTTGACATTAAACAGAATTTTATTTTTTGGTTTATTTTTAGCGCCTTAATACTGTTTTGATTATGTAATTGGTAATACTTGACTATTTCTCTTGATATTTTAACAGACTTGTGTTAAATATTTTGATCAGTGATGAATGAAATGTTAATGACATACCACAGGTATTGTGTGAGTTATCGTCTGGAAAACGAGTGTCCTGGTGTCGTTCCATAAACGTTTACTTAATTCGGATTGATATTTTGTTGCGCTTAACACACTACATTGAGCTGGTTACATAATTTGTTTATTAATTGGTGACGATTCTTAATATTTTACATATTTGTGTGACATATCACGATCCATCACTAGAAAAGTTTTTAATTTAGTGCAACGGGTATATGTTGACTTATTGTCTGGAAACGAGTGCAATGTTTTTCTTTAGCTTTTCTAGGCGTTGACGAGTCTTCACGGTGGTGACCACTGTTAGTGTAGCGCGCCCTCATTGAGAGAACATTTTCGTCGGCTTCAATTCGTCTTGATTATTTTGTTCGGGCTATAATATTTTGTTTGACAATTTCTCTTAACAATCACCAGACTTGTGTTATATATCACAAACAAATAACCAGACCAAATTTACTCAATACATCAACATTTTCTGAAGTTATCTTAAGAAAACCAGTGTGTTGTTTTTGTTCGTAAATTGTAACTTTTTAGTTTATCGCAATTAACACAAGTTCATTGTTCTGGGTATATTATTTTTATCGTTTGGTAATTTCTTTTGATATTCTCTCAACAATCAACAGACTTGTGTTATATATCACAAACAAATAACCAGATCAATTGTTTGGGTTATGTTTTCATCGTTTGATAATTTTTTTCGATATTCAAAATCCGTGCGTGTTTTGTTAAGACCAATCAAATCAAGCAATTTCAATTGAATTCAGTAGATGTTTCTAGAATTAAGCTCTGAATTCTGAAAGACCCCCGCCCCCCCCCCCCCCCAAAAAAAATGGAGCTTGTTTAATGGCCGAAGGGTTAGATTTCACAACAGTAAACAACTGTTTGAAAACAAAGTAGTTTCGGAATTTTGCTTTTATTAAAAGATGATTCATATACTAAAAATATTTCTATAAAAATCAGCCTTAACGTTTGATTGTTGAGTAAGATATGCAAAGCTCACTGAAATATACATCAACCAACATACCAAATTATTTGTGTATGTACAATTCCAACTTTCAAGTCACACTGGAAAAAAAACGTGTAAAGTGTTCTACTTATTACAAAGTGATGCCACTTTCTACATACATGTACATCTTAAAAAGCATTTCAATAAACTTTATAATTTTCTCACGTAAAAATTGCTACCCAATAAACTATAATGATTAAATAAAGGAAACAGATTAATATGCATCATACAAAATGTATGCTTGTCTCCAATTGTGTTAATATGAAGAGCAAAGGTCAATTTATCTGTAATAGAAAGAAATGTTTTTTAAGTACAGACATTTTAGACACGTTTTACAAATTTTGCCGTGATACCATGCTTTTAAATTTCCCGGAAAAATAGAAAATTTCATTCGAAAAAAAAAAATGCTTGATTTATCCGAACTTTTTTTCTCTCGATGCATCAGCCGCATCAAGTTAACGTTAAAAAATGGTTTGCATAAAATATTTATGACAGCCAGGTAAATTTAATTTTGCGAGTAGCACAAGTCAAGAATGTCTTTACATCTTAGAATATGCGCTTATTGGATACTTCAGAATAAAAACCTATTGAACTCTTCAGTTTTCCATAAATTTGTATAAGAATACCTTACGCTAAATATTGTTTGTTGGAAACACCGTACAAGCAATTCACAGACAGAGTAAATGATTGTTTTGTGTAATAAAAAGCACATCTTGGTAAATTTAAATGTTGTGGAAGCGTACGATAAAAAAATTCTTGAAGTACATGTTCAGAATTTTAAAAATATACATATGTAAAAAGAGGTCACAGGTATTGTTACATTTCATTAAAAAATACCCAACCAATTCAGTTAAGATCTTCATTTTCAAGTCCCCATTTGTTGCAGTCACATGGCCCAGAGAACATTGAAATCATACACACTAGCTTTTAAGTCCCAGAAGTCTTTTCAGTTGAACTGTTTTTAGAAAGGTGCGCGAGGTAGCCTTGCAAAAATTCTTTTGCAATTTTTATGCAGTTATGTCTGATTCCTAAAATATTATAAACTGGCCCACAATATCCAATATATTGCAATAAAAGCAAAAGAAATTAAAAACTCTTGTTCACAAAGACCGTCTTACTGGCCAGCCAATAAGCTTTACTTAAAAAAAATATGTTACAAATGTTACTTCATATCAAATTTTAAAATGACAAATTCAGTTTGTGCTTAAATTTTACAAGAGTCAAACCTCTCTAAAAATTTGACAAGCACCACAAGGCTTGACTCGATGTATGAACGGTGGCTTTATCACTTGAAGAAATGATACTGGAAAGAAAATACAAATTATGACAATTGTTGGAGATATGTATGGTGTGTTTATGTATTAAACATAACAGCAGTTACTTTCAAAAGTTTGTAATATGTACATGTATACACTGGACAGTTTTTCCCTTATGTCTTCATGCTATACATAGTGGTATGTTTACATTTCTCTAAGTACGTATAAAGGTATGCAAGTACAAAATGTGTGCTTACGCCATTCGCATGTATTCCTGCATCTGTAGTTTCAACTACTTGGTTGCTTCTCTCAAACTGTTATCACCAAAGTGATCTGTCAATGACGTTGGTTTCTTCAGGATCAAACTTGGAATTTAGCCCTAGTGCCACCATTGGCAACACTCCCATTCAGGTGTGTGTGATCCGTAGACATGTTGGAATTATTAGTGTTGAGGCCCGGAGCTGGAGGTGCGGGGGGTGCGGGAGGAGGCGAAGGGGGTCCCCCGTTGAGCTGAGGTTCGGGCGGCGCGGGTGCCGAGACTGGTGGGGGTGGGGGTGGAGTCTCAGGCTCCAGATTCGGGGCGGACCGGGCGTTCAGAGTGGCGTAGTAATCGCTGTACTGGGACAGGCTTGGGATGCGCACCAGGTAGTCGGTGCTGCCGGTCCGCGACTGGTCGTCATCCACGATGTTCTGGTACGTGTTGTCGCTGTCAATGGACGGATCGCCGTGGAACTGCATCTCGGTCTCGTCTGTCTCCTCGTAGGCCTTGTTGAGGTGGGTGAAGTTGGAGAGCGGGCTCTCCTTGGACTCACCGCGGGATTCATGCGAGGGCCGGCGGGAACTCTTGACGATGCAGACGCAGGCTAGGATAACCAGGAGGAGGACAATCAAACCACCTGCTCCGCCCACTATGCCGATTAGGGTTGGCGTCCAGGGACCAGCCAAGGGTTCCTTGTCAATTGGCACACCTGGAAATGAAAGCAGATGACAGGTGCATAAAACATTTGTTTGGATGCAGATTAGGAAAATAATACATGCCACACACAGACGTTATCCATAATCCAATCATTTACTTCATTTTGCCGGAACAAACATGGATGTGCTCAGTCAAAGTTGGAATGGGGAATTTGAAATTCTGCATTCAGGGCACTCAAAAAGTTGTTATGAAAGTTTCATTTTGTTCAAGCAGCATTTGTGACCAAATGACACTCAGTGCCAGTTGATCTAAAATCAGGACTTTAAGTGTGAGTGATAAATATGGTTAGCCATAGTTCAACTATTTTTGCTCAAACTGATGTTTAATAGTTGACTATAACTGGACTAGTCTAGTTACAATATCTGTGCGCATCACCATGTACAGCAGGGAGCGAGAAGTTTTGTAACAAAAGGTTGACCATCCTTTCAATATCGCTCATCACTATAGTGGAATCCGGCGACCAGAATTACAAGCTTTTACTGCGGTGGTGACGCTCACGCGCATGCTGCACGCGTTTCTAAAGACAAGGTGCACGCGCATTTGGGTATTCCTATTGGTTAATGGAGCCCAGAGTGCGTGTGTAAAACCTTAGCGTGACTCGTGCTTGTGCCACCGCAGAAAATGGCTGCCATCGGATTTGTCTAATTTACTTCAGAAGTCAACCACTAGTCCACTATTAAAATTTGCAAATGTTTGACCTCAATATTAAGCAACATTATCGGACTTACAATGGTCTTCACTGAAGGCACCATTCTGCTGCGTTTCAGTCCCATCTGGACATGATGAACAACTCTCCTGCTCGGGTTTGTTCTGGTGCGTGTTGGTCTCGCAGTAGCTGCAAGTCTTTCTGACGGCATCGTGGTAGGTGCCCGGTGGACATGACACTGGAGAATAAACATTGTCAAAGAAAACTAACGGTCACTAAACATCTTGATAAATTTACAAAATAATGCACTCAATTTTTTTTTCTCTGTTTGTGCATGTTTTGCCAGCAAATACAAAGTGCATGCACTAACTAGAACTTGTATCACTTCAGAATATATCTCTCAGTGCAATAGCCGATTACAGAACAAAAAAGAAATTATGCAAATTTTAATGGGGTCTATGCAAAGAAGATTTTGAGAATTGAGGCTCAATTCTGAAAAAAATTTAGTAAGAGTGAAGTATTTTTGCAATGGCGGTTGGAGTAATTTAGTGACTACTTTGTGGACAATACTGAAACAATTGTAAAAAAAAACTGTGGTCATCCCTTTCCAAGTTCTGCACCAATGTTTGTTAAGATTATTTTCAGTACAGCTGTGCAAGAAAGTTGTTGCGTAAATCCTATGCAGGGCTTGTAATTTGATCACTGTATTGTGAAAAATCAGTTGTGAATGTTCATGTAAGGCTGTACTTCCACAAGAAAACTGAGGAATCCAGAATAATTGCTGATTTGTTTTGTTGTTGTTGGGGGAGGGATATATTATTCACAGTAATTTGGCAGAAAAATATCAAAATAGCCAGGGGCAATAACTTACAGCATCCGTTGGACTTTGTGACTTGGCCCGGTTTGCAATTCCAGGTGGTGTCAGACTCCCCCAGCGCCGTGGGTTCATTCATGATGGTTTCTCCCTCGATCTCGATGGACAGAGAACTGGTGGCTACCCCGGCCTTCACGTTGTCCACAGCCCCGTCCAGTCTCGCCTCGACATCCGCGGTGCTGTCATCCTCACCGGCAAGACTCGTAAGACCCAGGTCAACATTTAGGTCCACGTTTGCGCGCCTCCGGCGACCAGCGCCACTCCCGCTCCCACACTCCAGCTCAAAGCTGCAAGACATTCTGGCGTCGTTTGTTTCGCAGACCCCGAGCGCTTGTAGAGATTCGGTCAGGCTGTCTGCAACTGAGTTGTCGAAGTTGAGCGTGTTGCACAAAGCAGAGTCGATGCTGAAGCGAAGGGACACCACTTTACTGGCACTGTTTCCCGGTTTGTAAGCTGTGAACAAGAAACACAAAATAGCCATGTGTTTACTCTACGCGGTGATGACATTCTCCAGGCAGCCATACTATTTGTTTTCAATGGACTCAGTGCACAATTACACTCCAAATGATAAAAGCTGAAAACTGGTTCTTCTTACTCCATGCCAGATACACTGCACATGCAAATAAACATGTTTATCACGACAAGTTTTGCAACAGAAATGTAGATCATGAGGAGATGTGGAGAAGTTTTAACTAGGATCAATCGGGCCTTTTCAGACCTAGCATTTAAGCTATATGTGAAATAAGTGAAAAAGATCTCACTGGGTTTCAAACCCAGATCAACTTTTATATTAGAAGTTATGACTACTCCCAATTAGTCTATAAATCTGCTGCCTTGCGTTGGTGATTGAAATACTATTATTTCTTGTTGGATAACTAATTCTCCAAAAGCCATGGACATCTATGATTGTGCCTGCATGAAGAGAGGATGCTTTCTCTCGATACTGCCTAACCCATGTCTGGGAAAAAAAATTCACGGGCCTAGCTAAAGTGGCATCTGGCGACCAGAATTAGAAGCTTTAACTGCGGTGGTGTCATGCTCACGCGTATGCTGCATGCATTCTTAAAGACGAGGTGCGCACACATTTTGATATTTCTATTGGTCAAAGGAGCCCAGAGTGAGTGTGTGTGTACTACCTGAGTATGGCTCACACCTGGTGCCACTGCAGAAAATGGCTGCCGCCCGATTCGTCTATAAAAAGGTTATGATATTGACAGATTTGACTTACGGACACAGATATCTGTATTGGGCCTGGGCGTCCAGTAGGCAGGGCTTTGATGGACGCACATGTATTCATTGATGCCTACAGCGTTGCCGAATCCCTCATTACAGCTGACGGAACACGTCCTACTCTCTCCATCAGCAACGCAGGTTGATACTCCATTGTCGGGTGCAGTGGGTTCGGTGCAGTCAGATTCTAAATACAACCATTCAGTAAGTCAAAGCGTTTAGGTCAGGGTTTTCAAAATTAGTTTAAGTTCTGTCAGGTCTACTGGTATGGGGGAAATCGGAGATAAAGTCCGGCCTGATCAGCCATATTGGCTTGGAACAGTCTCATACTGTAATAAATAATCCTAATAATAGCAGGCATTTATATAGCACTTTTACACCACAACGGGGTATCAAAATGCTTTACAATTATAACTTCCCATGTTTCAACGGGTAAACACTACTGAAACCTTCTCCACTCCCTAGGGAGCATACACAGCTGGTAGGCAGCCATTTCGGCGCTCTTTGCCGTAATCAACCTCTCACAGTAACTAACTCTGCCCTCATAGGTACCCATCTACTCCTGGGTGGAGAGAAGCAACCATTGACAAGGGCACACGCAGCACCATAACCCCAGGCTGGACTCGAACCCACTACCTCCAGAATTACCCGCAGACAACAAATCCAATGCTCCAGACCACTAGGCCACGGCACTCCACAGAGTCGACTTACCCTTCTTGTTTACAACCACCTGGAAGCTACACTCCCCCTGGTTGTCGAACGTGTCCAGTGCCTTGACTATGACCGTGTGACTTCGTCCGGCGTCGAACTGAGAGCCGTTGCTTGGAGTGTACTGCAGTGGTTTGGTGATACCAAGATTGTCCATAGCGGTTGCCATAGGGAAGAAAACGGCAACGGAATTTTCGGCTGTAATGGTCGACATATCGGCTGGACACTGAACAGTGGGAATCTCATTATCTGCAGAAAGAACAATGGAGTATTATAAAACCATACCATATCCTTCAAAATCAATTGAGAGTTTGTGAAGGATTTAGGATTAGAGAAGGTAGATCTCAGCTACTATTACTTCAGGTGGGATGTGATGCTCATTGAAGAACGTTCCGTGAAGTTTCTACATCATAGAGTATTTATGAACACAACTTGTTCAGCTGGTGCCAGAGTGCACACAATTCTATTCCACTGATTCAGAATAGCTATTCACTGGAAGTCTTTCCATGCATCTGGTATACAAAACGGGTCGGATTCATTGGCATTACAGACAAATACTATCCGTGAGTCAGTCAGTCAGATAGATACGTAGGTGCAAAAAGGAAACCTACTCTCTCGGACCAGGGAAAAAACAAAAAAAGAAAAACAAGGCAATAATGATTAGGGAGCAGAGTGTGCAATGAGACAAAGAAGTTCAACAACACAATGAACAACCAGTCATGCTACTCTTGCACTGCTAAATGTGATTGAGAGAATTCCATTTGCCAGGCAAATTTTGTATAACAATAATGACGTCAATTCTCCAACCACAAAAACTTTCCTTTTTGCATTGAAGTAAAGAGCACAGTTGTGCCCATATTACAATGCTCATTAGACACGTAGACAAAGCACCTCACCTAAAATTCGTAACTTGAATGAACACGTGCTGGTCCTGTTCTCATTGTTCTCATCCACTGCTTGTACTGTGATGTCTTTGCCTTCCCTGTACTCCTCTGTGAACATGATGGTGCTGGGGAACTCCAGTTCGTCTGTCACTGTGATCGGTATCAGCTGGTTCAGATGGCCCCTTGCTGTGATAGACAGGTCAATGTAGGCGCTGTTTGAGCCCTGTTGTAGGGGATAGGATATCGCCAACCCGCTTGGGCATCCAGTCAAGGTTGGGTCTGTTGAGAAATTAAATCACATTTTGTTAGTTCAATTAAAGCACCGATCTGAGCTTGTGTTTTCTTCGCCGACACTGCAGGTGTGTGGGGGTTGCTTTTAAGCAACTTATAGTGCTTGCACTTTTCCCACTCTACTTTATTCGTTTTGTTTAATAACAATAATAATACTAATTAGAGTATTAAACAAAGGAATAGGGTAGAGGCACAATAGAAATCCTTGATTTACACCATAAAAATAAGTGCTAGCATGCTCACGTGTGACTTTTTACTAACGAACCAGACTAAAGCATGCACAGCACCCGATTTCATCAAACTCTTCGTAACTTACGATGCATCGCAGCGCTGCGACGCGTCGTATCTCAACGATGCGTCGCAGCTGCGACGCGTCCTGCGATCCATTTCACAAAACACGTCGTAAGTGCGACGCGTCGTAGGTGTATTTATAGCACAACTCGGTGACTGTTTTATGTCTTTAGTCAGCGTACAGTAAATAGTCGTCTGACATTCAACAAAGAGTCGTCGGATCTTAGCTCGAAATTTGTTAAAACGTAAAACAAAATGGCGGCCGTGCGATGCAATTTTGAAGGAAAACAAGCTCTCGTTGGACTGTTTAGCTACTTTGAAATTTCAACTCTAATATTTCGGTCTAATTCATAATTATTCAATGAATATTCTATTTACAACTTTACACACATTGCCTCGGTATTATAATCTCGTTAATGTAATGTTTGTGGCATAAAACTGGCTTAGAAATGACTCTTCTTATTTTGCGATGACCACTAGACACGTCGTAACTTGCGACGTGTTTTAAGCCGTTGTCAAGGAATTTACGACGCGTTCAACACATCGCAACTTTAGTGAAATGGAAGATACGACGCGTCGCGAGTTGCGACGTGTTACACGTCGTAACTTGAGTTGCGACGCGTCGCAGTGCTTCGTGAAATCGGGTGCAGGAATTCCCTACTTAAATTAAGAGGTAGTTTTAAAACTCTACTTACTTAAGGGTCTCTCACAGTGTTCCCCTGAATAGTCCGGTCCGCACACACACGTAGAGCCTTGGGCACCACTGATACATTGACCATCGTTGAAACATTCAAACACATCACAAGGATCTGTAAGCAATGCAGATGAAGTTGGAATGTTAAGAGTGACCCCCTTGGATTTGGCTTTCAAAATGTATTTTTTCTTAAAAAGTTCTCTCTCAAAGATCTCTGTAGGAGAACTGCAACTGCGTTTTGTACCCAATCAAGCACGCATTGGACATTGTTGAAAGTATTCCAAACGCGCACTTAGTGCTCGAAATGTGTTAGAAATACAACGCAGCTCATGCGCGTTATGCAAGTTGATGCTCAAACTGCTGATGCACGTGGCTGGTCCGTAGGAAATGACGTCATTCGAGAGAGACCTATTCCTCCGAATGTTATGCAACAGAACATCATTATTCACTATACAAATCCATTACTGATATTGGGGTAGACATTTGCAGAAAATGTTTTGATATAACAAAACTCCTAGAAAGGTATGTTTCAGGAGAATAGAGGGGACCAGTTTTTGGAGATAAAAACTGACTAATTACCTCCGTTGTAAATGGTACAATTCTCCCCACTGTAGTCCTTGCCGCAAGTGCAATTCCAGGCAGTGTCTGGGTCCAACAAGATAATGCACTCGCTATTGACGCATGGATCAGGCATGCATGGATCTGTAACAGTAACAAGGAATACATTATTTCTATATCGTTGGTTAAACCACTGGGTTGAACCAGTGACGTATCACAGATAACTGTTGCAACCCGAATGGACGTCTCGGGTGTACGTGCACTGCAACAACCATATACATCACTTTGCAGAGGGGGAGGGGGGGGGGGGGGACCAAACGCCCTTACTAACAACAGTTTGATGGATTCTTCAGGTGATTAATACAATGTGATACAATGAATTACTAGTGCTAAAATGATGATCGAAAAAAAAAATGAACAAACATTGGAACACTACTTACTTGTGTATATTTCACAATTGCTTCCTGAGTAGATTGCCAGGCAGTCACATTGGTAGCTGCCGTCCCCTAATGGTCTACAAGTGCCCCCATTTCGACAAGGGGTCCCACTACAAGAAACATCTGATGAATGAAAGCAACACATCGGTGTAATGTTACCAATAACCCGTGATTTGGATTGTGAAATTTGAATTGATTTTCACACCAAACCTTGACTCCAACTTTTGAAATCTGCAACCCTCTGAAAAAAAGGCTTTATAAGGTTTTTTTTTTTGCACAGATCAGCAGTGAAGATTAAAGTTTCCCAGTCTCTGCACAATGGACTATGAAAGGTGGCCGGAGCCAGCAACTCATTTAAAATTGAAAAATAATCATTTCGTAACTAAACATGTTTTCTGGGGGTCGAAGTGTCCACAGTTCTTTTCAGTACCTCACAAATTCACAAAAGAGATTTGGTAAATGGTTCAACTGTAAAGTCTGTCTAATTCAAAAGTGAAAAACCTTTGTCTGTAGCTGGCAAAAAGCAACTGAATCTTTTCGGGGTGAAAACTCAAAAATTGCGCAGACAGCTGATTACGTTACACTGTTACAATGACTTACCGAGTTCACAGTAAGTTCCAGCTAGGCCATCTGGGCAGTCACACCGAGTGAAACCCTGGCCAATGTAACTACAGGTGGAACCACCAAGGCACAGATCGTTGAGTTCACATCCATCTGTCAAGGTCCAACAACAACATTGATTGAAAACGCCTTTCAACAGAAACTATAGGATTATACGAATGAACTCTGTTCGGAAAAAATTCCATAATGGGCCACCACTCATATTCCCTAATATGACCTGAAGCGTACCAAAAGTTGTAAATCTGATAAAAAAAAACACCATAGACTTTGTGCAGGAGGTCTGAGTGGTGGTCCAGTATGGAATTTTTTCCCTCTGTTAAGTGCCCCTTCAGCTATAATATGTCCATAGCAAATATGGGCGCAATATTTAAAACAAAGAAATATAAATCATAACTTGTGCAAGTCTAGAGGGTTCAAACCTAAGCCCCAACAATGAGGCCCGTTGCCAAGGGGGGGGGGGGGGCGCCTTGTGGGGCCAGACCTCCTTGGTGAGCAATTGGTACCCAATGGCAAAAGCCATACATGTATTTTTGTATTGTTTATGGTGGTGGGCCCCCTAGTTGGTACTATGACCCCCCCCCCCCCCCCCCCCCAATGCTCAGGGCCACCCAAACTTCCACAGGAATTTTTTTCACTGACATCTTTAAAACTTTGTTCAAGTACTCACTTGCATATTGGCAGTACGGTCCATCGTAAGACGGCGCACACTGACATGTGAATGCTAGCTGGTCACTGCGGGGTATGCAGGTTCCCCCATTTTGGCAGTCGGCCCCAAAGCAAGCACCTAAAAAGATGAAGAAAAAAAAAAGAAATCATGAAGAAACTTAATTCAAAATGGTTGCAGTGGAATGTAGTAAGTACAATATAATTAGGGCCCAATTACATAGCTCTGTTTAAGGCAATTGGCCAAAAAAGTTGTGCTTACTATAGAAGAACATTGTGCTAACCTTAAGCACTATTTCACAGCGTGGATGTGCTAATGGTTGGGTGCAGATTGTCACTAAGTTAAGCAAATTCGTCCTCTGAGGTAATTAAGCGTGGTTTTGCTGTGCTTACTGCTTATGATCTCCACAAAATACGTGGAGCTTCTGTTAGCATAAAACTTGTGCTTAGCAGCCGTTCACAAGTCCTGTCAAATGTAACAGGGATGATTGAACAATAACAAAAAGATGTCTTTATTGCAGTTCGTTGGAATCGCTTGTGAATTTGCGACCAGAGGACTTGTGATGGACTAGTGATGGCCTTGTGATGGACTTGTGATTGACATGTGATGGACATGTGATGGACATGTGATGGACATGTGATGGACTTGTGATGGACTAGTGATGGACTAGTGATGGCCTTGTGATGGACTCGCGATGACATGTGATCCATCACAAGTACCTTAAATACAACCCTGATCGATTCCCATGTTCCAGGGCCGTCTGATTTTCATAAAAACAAATTAAACTTGTGAACCAACCTCGATTCTGACAGTTGGACCCAAAAAACTCCGCCGGACACGTGCAGGTATATTCCTCCCCCGACCCCGGGGTACAAGATGCACCGTTCATACAGGGGTGGGATGCACAGGGGTCGTCTGAATAACAAAGAGACAAAGGAAGAAACAAAACAAATGATGTCATCTACCAACACAACACATACCAAGTTTTATGACCCATATGCAGTTGAAACCTTCATGCCAATTTCAGTATGAAGCGAACTTCTCAGGTTAATGGTGAGTGACACATTAATGCACCTACTATTGTTGACATTGTGAAGTTCATTTTCATTTCACTTCTAAGTTAAGCATAAACCTGCCTAATGTGGCAGCTAAAATGCAACACTCTCTTCTCACTGTATTCATTCTGGATGAAAACCAGTAGCTTAATCAGGCTTTGGGTCAAGGGGGGCAAAATTGGTACATTTCTGAAGATTGGCCATATTTTATATTTTTTTTTCGTTTATAAACCTTGGAAAAAAGGAAGGGAATGTATGAAGTTTCATTTCCTGAAATAAGTGGTAAAATGTCGCTGGGGGAGTGGGGGTTGGGGGGTTGGGAATTCACCCTTCATGATCCAGCCCCCCCCCCCCCCCCAACTGGATAAGCCACTAATGAAAACTATTTTTTTTTAAAAGATAAAAACACAGCACTCTGCACTCTTTTGGGACTAAAATTAAAGTTTATGGTCTCAAGTTTATGGCCTCTGACTAGTGCCCTTGGAACAAGGATTTTGACAAATTGGGGAATATAGGGCTGGGTAGCTCAGATGGTAGAGCACCAGAACGGCCATCCGGAGGTCACAGGTTTAAATCCCGCTCCAGTCAATTTCTTTATTTGACCATAAAATAATTACACCTAGTCAGTTTCCCTATGTGGCTTTAGAAAACATCAATTATCTTTTGGGTACCATACCCAACATCATTGACACACAACATTTTCATTACAAATAAAATATTTTTGTTTTTATGTGACTTACCAAGAGTTTCGCAGTCCATACCACTGTAGCCGCTAGGACACTGACAGAAATAGGAATAACCTGACGACCCTTTGAAACATGTGCCTTCATTCATGCATGGTGTGACTGGCAGATCGCAAGGGTGAACTGAAATAGAAATAAAGAAACTTGGCAATATTCCTTGACTCCCTCAGTACTCCCACGTAACACCGTAACCATCGAGCCACAGCGCTCCAGAGCATTAAAATGTTCTTGGTTCTTGGTTGGTTCTTCTCCTAAATACTCCACGTGGGAGTTTATACAGGAGGCCAGAAACACCGGGGCAAACCCCTTCTCTTAACGATAAGTGTTTACTGGGTTCTTTTACGTGCATTTATACAACACACGGGACCTATGGCTTAACGTCCCATCCGAAGGACGAAGCAATAATGGTTAAGTGCCTTGCTTAAGAGCACAATTGTCCGCCGGCGGGCTCAAACCCACGTCATTGTTGCCTCTGAAACACCAGAACGTGAGTCCGGTGTTCTTAACCGCTAGGCCATCACACTCCATTCTAGTGCCTCCTTGAATAATGAAGAAAAACCCCTTCAACAGAAATGCCTCAACTGATTTTCATGATGTATTTGGTGTCTCACCTCTCGTTTGGCAGACGTCTCCGATGTAGTCTGACGGGCACTGGCACATGGTAGCCCCATTAGTATCACGAAAGCATGTGCCACCATTCATACACGGGCTGGCCTGGCATGGGTTGGTAGCTGTACAGAACACAAGGAAAGTCAAAATGATGGCAACATATTTTTTACTGTTCCTACATATATGGATTCGATTAGTAGTTTGCCGACACAACAAAATCAAATTTGGGAATAACCTCAACCACATGGATCATTATGCCATCAAGCTACATGAGTCGTTTGATGGAAATTTTCATTTGGAGATACAGGCCAAAATAGGGCAACTTCATCACATCACTTCATCACATTTCTTGGTGTTCCGACTTCCATAATTATTTAACTAAAGGTGGTATCAGCATGCAGTTTTCACAGAAGTAATGCTGAGATTGTGCTCTCATTTTGTGCTCTTTCTAAATCTGTAATAAAAAATGTTTTGACCGGGGTCGACAAACGACTTATTTAGCTTGATCGCATCACATTTATAATTGTAATGTCCTGGTGGCGCAGAGGTACTTTTTTCATCTTCCACATCAGAAATCCAGATTTGAATTCCCAATTTTTAAATTTTTAGTACATGTAGTGAACAGTAGAAATAAGTTACCATAAAAACTACTCTGTGTAAGAAATTAAAAATGCATTGCATTGGTATCATATTAATAGAGCTACATGATGATATTCTTTTCCAAATATGCATTATCCTATAAAAAAATAAAGAAAACATATTTTGCAGCCAGTTGGGGGTAGATATAGTCACATATCACATCATCATAATCTCTACGAATTCTCTCAATGGTATGCATATACTTAATTACTTACTTGTTTCGCAACGCTCGCCTTCGAAGCCATCAATGCAAGAACAGGTGAAAGCCTCTGTGTCGCCAACCTGGTTGCAGGTGCCACTGTTTGCACACGGGTCAGCTCGGCACGGATCAGCTGTGCACAAATAATGGGTGTTACGATAAGTGACTAAAATACTCCACCGCTGTGCAGAAAATCAATGACACACTCTTTTTAGCCTGTTACAACCGTCAAAGTCAATCAAGTCCCATGTTAAGTAATAATGGCTGAGTTATTCTGAGGCCCATCGCTAAAGGGGGGGGGGGGTGTCGAGGGCCAGCGGGTCGGGCCCACCCTGGCGAGCAACTGGCCCCCCATCGGCAAAAATCATAAGCGTAATGATTATCTACATGTATGTTTTTTCTTGTAGTGTGCCTCCGGTCCCCCCTCCCCCAAGCTGGTACTGAGGCCCCCCTAATGCCCTGGAGCTGGCGACGATGCTGGTTATACCTCCCTAAATCCTCAACAATCCTAAATTACAATACAAAAAGCTGTTGGAATTTGTGCACACCTGGAAGAGTAAGGCTTATCAGGAAGAGTAAGGTTATTAGCATGGGCACAGCCATGCAGTGTTATCATTGAGTCAATTACTATTAACAATGTCCCTTCAATTGCAACAAAGGCATGTCTTTGTTACTGTTCACCACTTGTTACTTGTGACTGGAATTGTGAAAGGACTTGTGATTTTACTAATGAAAGGACTTGTGATGGACTTGACTACAACACTGCAGAGGTAAAATTTGATGACTTACCGGTTTCACAGCGACTGCCTGTGTAGTAGACATTGCAATAGCAGTAAAACATCACGCTGCCAGGGGGATTGCTATCAAAGCATGTGCCGCCATTCAAGCAGGAATCAGCCTGGCAGATCACTGTCAACAAGATAGATCAAGGGAGGGTTTAGAATCTATACAGCAACACTCTCTAAGTATATATTAAAAAAATATAACAACCACAAGGGCAATCTGAAACAAAGGCCTCATCCCTCTTAATGTAACCTTATAGCATGGCACAAACAAAACACAATAAAAATCGGTCCAAAGAACTTGATGTGGCTTGTTAAGTGTCTAAAAAGCCAAAGGAACGTTATTCTTACATTTTACATTTAAAGTTTGTGGCTTTGAAGGATATCTGTGACCTGGTTATGTGCCTATAAGCTTGGTATACAAATAAACCGTCATGGCTGAACATGAAAATGTTTAAGGCACGACGTAAAAGAACTACTGGACAACTTCTTGCCTCGTGTTCCTAGATTATATAAATGGTGACCAGCACTCCCGAACCACTGAAATGTCCTTGTTTGTCCTCCTTATGTATTGTTCACATGTAGAGTGGATCCACAGTACAAAATTGTTTCTACCGCAGTCTTTTAACAGTTGAGGTACATCAGTATCAAATCTAATGTTATTGAATTGGTACTTTTTTATGCCTCGGTCACAAAGTTGTTGCTTGCCAATATAAAACTAAAAACAAGCGAGGGCGCTTTACACGGCATATGTACTTACAGCTGGTTCCGCAGTCATCCCCGGACCATCCGAAGGCACATATACACTCATGTCCTGTGGCCGTCGCAAGGCAAGAGGCACCGTTCAGGCAAGGGTCGGGATCGCAGGTGATGATCTCGACTGTAAAAAGGCGGGAAAAATAACACCCACATGTACTTCAATGACAAACAGTGGTTATTAACATCATGCATGAGCACAATGATATCACCTGATCAGGAGAAATGAGTTATGTGTAACGCATTAAATCAGAGCTATGAGCAAAATATTAGCACTCGGTTGTAATTATTTATTAATCCTGTCTCTTTTCCTTTCATCCTATTTTTTTTGGCCATGAGTCATTGTAATGACAATTTTCAGGAAAATTAAACTTGAATGTCCTCTGTTCAGATTCAAGTTGCGGTCCACATGTTTCAGTTCCACTGGTCAGGGCACGAATCACATATTTTTTTGGGGCTGATTTTGGCTGCTAATTACAAATTTTTCTCCTGCCTATACACCAATCAAATTGCTAAGTCTACAACTTTCCAGTTTTGCAGAAAGACAGAAAGTGTGTTGTTGCCCCCAAAAGAGTAAAATACATGTATGGTACGGGATACACAAGATTGTACATGTACGTCAATCAGCAAAACACACTTTTGCCATTAAATAAAAACCTATTAAAGACGTATCTTGTCTCAAACTTGATTTGAAGAAAATTGGATTCCTTGTCGATAAACCTGTTCGGACTTACATTCACAACGGGCTCCGTGTCGGTCCGAGGGGCAGAAACAGGAGAACGTGTCACCCGCTTCTCGGCAGACGCCGCCGTTCAGACAGGGGTTTGGTGAACATGCAGCTACAAGCCATAACACATGCAAACTAAATTAGCAACTGACAATCTAAGTTCATGAAATTATTGAAAAATTGTGCATATATAAGGTCCACTGGATCTCAACACGGGAAAGTTTTGGATATGTTTTTTGTTTTTTTACATCAATTCCTGTTGAAAAATCATGTTGAAAATGTCTGCCAAAAATTCCAGTACATTATTTGCTCATGTTTAACTACACAACCAAGTATTGTGCTTTGATTTTACGATAGTACATTATTCCCAGTAACTGACTACAGTTAAGTGCAATATTAGGCAGGGTTGTCATAGTATAGGCAAGCACATGTCAGCTAGGTTATGCAAGCAAATTGCACAGGATATCCAAATTTCTTTCAACCACTGGCAATATGGCAGGGCGGTGGGTGGTGGGTGGGGGAGTGGTGCTAGGTGGGGAGTGGTGTGTCAGCATGGTGTCTGCCTATCACAAACACACATTTCTGCATCCACATAATACAACCTTGCAATACATGCACGCAAACAGTGGCACTAACTAAATAGGGAACAAACGAGATCCAACCACAAAACGAATTACTTTTGTTTTAGGGTTAACAGGGATGGACAATTTGAAAAAAATTAAATGTAGAAACAGAAGCATGTCAACAATGCATACACATAAATGATAATGCAAGTTATCAAATATATACTTCCCAACCCTTTTGTTTAGCTTGTATTCTTTCTTCTTATTTAATAACCATAAAGGCTATTTTGTGACAAAAATATGTTACTGTTTCAAAAAGGAAGGGTGGTATACAATAATAAAAAAAAATTGGGCACCACTTTTGTTTTTTTTAATTGCTGGGGGAGTTTGGTTGATTTTTATCTTACATAGCAATCCTGTGTAGCACTTTTTCATGACTGTGCTAATGTTGGCACTGTTAATCAACGGGTGAAACATTTTTCTAGTATATAGGCTGAACTAGTAATAAAACGGATCAGTCTTCACTATCAAACTGGTTTAACTAAGTAATGATCAAGTGGGTGTTTGGTGGATTCTTCATTAGTCTAACATGTATTTACATACATGTATGTACAAGTACAAATCGTGTGAATATGAAGTACAGTTCAATGGCAGATGTACTGTTTTCTAAATGTTGTGTGTTAACTTGCTTTAGTAGACAGAGTTGGGTTCTTTAATGGCACTGGTGTTAAGTGTACATGTGATGCAATCTTGGTCAATCTTTCACATGGTGTACAAAATTATTTATGGGGTTTCTATATTATTTAATGACTAAGCTCTTTAGGACCAAAATATTGGATAAAATGTAATGTTGGCAAAACAATGTGCAGAGGAAATACAGTTGTTCGAAGACATAAAACAAAAACCCAAAATGATGTCAACATTTATTTATATAGAGGAAAAACAAATAAATAAATATTGCACTCCAAAATAGTTCTAGGACCGTTTCGGAAAATTTCCTAGATGGCATCACATTTGCGTGGGTTCTTGGCTGCTGCGAGGGATGTGAAGCAGGGTAACTCTAGGGAAACTCTAAAAATCTATAAATGCTTTGGAAATCTATGAATGATTTAATGATAAGACTTGTAATGGCTTCTGTATGATCAGCATCAAAGAGTAAACCAAATGACAGGAGTGCCATGCACATGCAAGCAGACAATGTATTAACATGCAACACCAAGAATGTAAATTAGTCCCATCCCCCTGATGTGATGGGCTCGTCTTACCAATAACATTTTCACAATGCTGGCCGCTATAATGGCCAGTACACAGGCAAGTGTAGTGTGCCGCTGATGTGGCACTCCTAAAGCACACTCCCCCATTTAGGCAAGGACTGGGATTGCACGGGTTTAACGCTGTGAAGGGAAATTAACGCAAATATCATTGGTTGGCTACTGGCACAATGGCTGGTGTGGAAATTTTTTTCAAAGATGTCTATAAAGGGCTGCAGAAAACTACCTAATGGTAAATTTAAACAAGGGAAACCCAAGCACTATTTCTACCAAGCACCCACTTTTAGGTTACCGACATGTGAAGTTGCCGCAGCTTTTTGCACATTCGATTGAAAGATATAGACATGCGTTTTGTGCCACTTGCAGGCACGCACTAGCCTGCATACCTTCCCTGCTCTAATTGTTAGTAGGCAACATGAACATAGCATGTATACCATTCCAGTGTTTTGAACATTATCCATATTTTTCAGAACAAACATGGGAGTGCCCAGACAAACTCTGTTCCGTGAAGAGCATTCTAAATTAATTACAGAACTTCAAATTCTGCATGTGACATTTCAAAATTGACTGTGTTAGTTCATTTCATTCAAGAAATTTAGAAATTTAAAGTCAAATTTTCATTCACTACTGTTATCGACTTAACAAGCTCAAAGTAAATCATAAACTATGGTGAGTGAAACTATTGAACGACACACAAATAATCGCAACCGAATTGTGTTAACATATTACCAAATTGATTTGCACCTTTTGAGAAGCAGAAAGGGAGTTTCCGTAAATCTAAAAACATTTCTCCTTTGTTAATTCAAAATTGTACAGTCTACATAGATTCTCAATAAAACAAGTTGAGTGCATCATCGAAGACTCACTTTCACAATTGGGGCCCATTTCGCTTGGTGCTGTGCAACCACAGAAGTAGGATCGTTTGTCGCTGGCCCGGTAACACGTCCCACCATTGAAACAAGGCTCTGATAAGCAGACATCTGGCAAAGCTAAAATCAAATCGAATGAAAAGTTTTACAAATAAAGGAAAAAGATTTTTAAAAACATATGCATTATCACTTGAAGACAGTTTCTGGTTACAATTATAGAAGAAAATACACACTGCTTGCTTGTCTCCTGAAAGTGCAACAAAAGTTCAATTTCCACTCCATGCAAAAGACAAATATTATGTCAATTTTCAAGGAGAGAAATCTTTTGGGACTGTTCCATTTCTTCACAAACTTGGCTTGTTTTATGTGTAGATTTTTATCAATGGAAAGAGTCAAAAACAAATTATAATCTACATCAATCTGACTGGTAAAGTTTTGATTTTGGATCGTCCAAATATTTTCAACTATCAGGAGTATATGTGATGCATGAGTGATTTTGTCAAGATTCAACAATATAAATTGCAAATGCAAATTAGCCAAACACGATTAATAATGCTACAATTACCTGTAATGACTGAAGATCTTAGTTGACTCCAGAATATTTCTCTTGTGTATACAACTGTCGCTCTGTAAAACAAAGTTACAAATAAATGCTAAAATCTAAGAACCAAAGTCAAACAATGGAAAGTAAGGTTTGAAAGAAAACCCATCTGCATTTTCATGATGAATGATGATTCACCAATCACCGTTTTATTGAAAAATTGGTCAGATTACACAAATCCCACTTACACGTCAAGATTTTTCGGATAAATTTCTTGGTAAACCAAATTGTTATAATAACTCGTTTTCGTGTTACAAAAACTAACGATTCCATTTTTCTAGACAATCACAGTTTTACCATATTTCGTTCCCTAATATTTGCCACAATTTACACTTACACAAATTCAATATCGCCGAGGGCATTGCTAGGGGCCGTCCATTCCACTGTAAGACTGTTCTTAACGTTATTGTTAGCATGTGTAACAGCATCATCGGCACTGGAGCAGTTTAACGGCTGATATCCGTCAGGGATGTTACTGAAGACACCCACTGGAGTATCCGTGTCGACTACTCGGGCTTGTAAGAGGACACCCTTAAATGTGACCGATCCTCCTGAAGAGACAGTAACTACAAAGAAATATAAAAGTTATCACTGTGTTAGTGTAGTCGACACCAAATGGTTTTTGAACAGGGACGCTTTCCAATTCTCTGGGCTTTAAAGAGTGTGCCAATAAGAAAGTTAAAAATACTCTTAGGCTATAGGCAAAGTAGCAAAAAGATTCTGTTTGTTATTATGACTTTACATAAGGTGACCCAAAAGAGTTTACTGACAATTTACACACATATTAAATGTGTGTAATGCACACATACTGAAATTTGTATCCTTGTGGAGACATTTCTTTGTTCTCCTGTACCAAAGTTTTCGAGTTTGAAAGTACAGTTTCAAAATGCTCTTATTTTAACCAGAATTAATTTCCTTGGCTGAAATTCGGACTTAATATCCCTTTTTATCAAACTCTACCATTTGCGACAAATCAACATACTTGCACCTTGGAAATTCCTATTTTTTTGAGTAAAATCCACATATCTATTTCGTGAAAACTTTGTGGAGACGTATTCATGTATAGAAATTGCCCTGTGGAGACGTATACAATCTTTTGTTCCCTGTTGTGTGCTTGTCTCCAGAGGGCACGGTGTATCAGATCAAACTTACTGTTTGCAACTACAGAAAAGTACCAAACATTAATTTATGTTTTTTAATTAATCTATTTCGATTTGCTTACTTGAATATTTGTTCATTAAATCAAGAGCATTTTAATGCATGCACATCCAATCTGTGGAATCGCATTAACTGTATCACATATTTAGAGCATTAGTTAGTGCTACTGGATGTACTGAAGAAAACCAAAAATGTTACTTTCATTATCCATTGAGAATCTGATCACTGTATAATATTTCATCATCGACTGAGAATCTGGTAAATATTAAAACAAAAAAACGTTCAAAATTCCTTCGGATTTCATCAATGCCTGAAAAGTGCAAGCGTACTTTCATTTTCTCAAAATCCCCAAAATTTCTCAAATCAGGAAAATCCCAAAACTTCCTGAGTACAAAGGAGTGGTACACACATAGAATGTGAAAAGAATTTCTTTTGGAAATATACAGTTTGTGACGATTGTGTTTTTTTGTGTCGTTTCAAAATTCCTCCAGGTTTCATCAATGCCTGAAAAGTGCAAGTGTCCTTTTATTTTCTCAAAGCAGGAAAATCCCAAAAATGTCTCAAAGCAGGAAAATCCCAAAAATTCCCGAGTACAAAGGAATGGTACACACATACATGTAGAATGTGAAAAGAATTTCTCTTGGAAATGACAGTGCTGGCCACAGTTCTGTACATGTATACAATTTTGTGACGATTGTGTTTTTTTGTGTCGTTTCAAAATTCCTTCAGGTTTCATCAATGCCTGAAAAGTGCAAGCGTACTTTCATTTTCTCAAAATCCCCAAAATTTCTCAAAGCAGGAAAATCCCAAAACTTCCTCAGCACAAAGGAGTGGTACACAAATAAAATGTGAAAAGAATTTCTTTTGACAATGACTGTGCTTGCTACATGTACAATTCTGTGCATTCACAATTTTGTGACGAATGTTTTTGGTGTCGTGGTAAAAAAAATCCCTAACGGTTCACTGAACCCCCACTGACTCAGTGCGTGATGTATTGTGACTGTGACTACGTCACTTTCTTCTTTTGTGTGCCTTATTTGGTTAACCTCTTTAGAAGTTCTGATATACACTGCACAAAATTATTTTTTTATAAAGGTAAAAAAGATAGATTCGACACGAAGGACTTAAGAAGCCATTTATCAATATCTGAAGTGTTACTCTGAAAAATGTCACTGATATAAGACATATCAATTTTATTCATCATGTGCCATCAAGAGGACAGATGCCAACTCATTAAACAACGGTGCAGATAAATCAATGTTCATTATAAATTTGTGAATACAGAACATAATGCTACAGAACATAATCCCATCATCAGAAGAAATTGAGTGAAAAGAATGTAGCATCTTTGATGGTTGTGTACAACTCTATTGGGAGTTGTGACATTTTCTTAAAGTATTTTTAAACCAAATTCGAAATGTTTCTCAGTCCCCAAATCATGTTCTGTCAACATAGTTAACCGCAATGACCAAACATCCTTAAGGTTATGAGAAGTAACATCTGGATCATTATACCAAATTTATTCAATGTTGACTCGATACCAGTTAATAATATAAACTGATTTCTAAAATTACAATACATGTCCAACCATGGAGCAAGGAATTGCTCCATGGTCCAACAGAAATGGGAAAGATATCACTTTGGTACCCCGTAGCACAGAATATGCAAAAAGAGTATTTTTTCCTCTCAAATTTTGCAGAAAATCTATTCATTTTACATGCATACCCTTCTGAAGTTAATACCACAAGGAGGGCAAACAAAGTAACATCGTAACCATGTACACTTTTGATACGGGACTGTAAATTTCAACATTTCCTTAGAAAGTTTGTCTACTATGATCGAAACATTTGTTCTAATAAAACATATCGTATTTTTAATCCGTTTTACAAAATTGTCACAACAAACATTGTCCAATTATTGTTATAAATCATTTTGAACTATACTTCTTGCTGCATCCGCATCGAATGCGAGTTTCATTAAAAAAAAAACAATAATATTTACCGGTTATAACTTGTTCCGTTGTGAAATCCGTGGTATCGGCTGTGACGGTGAAAGGGCTCGTGTTTGCGGCCTGGCTTGGAACGCCGTGATTAGGGAGCATGGACACGCAGGCAGTGGTAGGAGCACCGTTGGGACGGCTCCAAACTCCCGTTATAATCCAGCACAAAAACACCCCTAAAAATACAGTCCTAGACACAACAGCCATGGTTGATAGTAACAAATATTTCCAGTTCAGCGTTTGTTATCGTTAATGAATTTGGCGTTGAGAGAATTCCTGGTTACCTAACGATGTACACAAAATTGCTCCGTGCACGGGCGTGTGCACCAATTATCAACAACAGGTGATTTCGATTTTTTTGTGGCCCGCCGTTTAGGCGTGGTCCTTTTATTTTCCGCAAGGCAAAGCTCGGTTTTTCCTAATGTCACTCGAATTACGAAGCACAGATGTCTGCTGATATATTCCACTACGACATTCGTCTATAAAAACCACGAAATCCCTGATTCGGACGGCCAGAAAAACTCGGATATACCCGGTAAGTTTCCGGCGCGCATTCACTCTCGCTGCTTGATGAGGAATATATCGCGCAGGGAGTTCCGATCTATTTTATTGGTGAATTTTTCTTCTGTTAGTAACATTTGAATAACAAAAGGGTTCACAACAATAGGTCTATTGACATTTGCCCAACCGTTGCGGACACGTCATAGGTAAATCCCTTTTTTAACGGAGGCGCCCTTTATTCTGCTGAGCACTTTCTACAAAGAATCATGACTAAGCGAGGGAATACGCACTCGTGACTTGGTTTTATTTATTAAGGTGGCAACCGGCTGCCTACGCGTAAATAAAAGGTAAATATTTCTTGCCATTCATGTTGCACAAAAAGACATTCCGGTGATTATGACGCAGTTCGTCCCAAATATGGTGGGGTTTCCCTGACTTGATGCCTGCAATGCAATGGGCATACACGATTAAATATCACCAATTAATTTACCTAATTTCGTTAATATCTTTACAAAGTGAGGGGTTATCTTAACAAAATAACATCAAGTCCAGGATTTGAAACTCGAAATTTTAAACTGAAAAATATAATAATGAAATGTTTGAAACAATAATAGTACGTACGCGAAGCCAAACCGAAGCTCTAATCATTCAATCACCCAAAATTGTTACATTTTTAAGGAATTTGGAATGAATTCAGCCTATGGTGCAAACGATTATTAGGCCTACTTGGAAAAAAAACACCGTGATTTAATAATTCCTGAAATGTATTTTTCTTTTGACGATATATGTTAAGCTCGATGCTTCTTCATTATTGATGAACATCTGCTATATAGGTGCTTCTGAGGTATTCGAGTGTATTTGTGGTCTAATACACGCAGGCCTATGTGTAAATTGTTTTTGCTTTTGTTAAGGATAAACATCGGGAATCGGGGTAAATCTCGGGAATATTTACTGCTGTAAACTAGTGTTGTGTCTGCGCCTGCGGCTTAAGCGCTTTGCTATTATTATTGCTGAGGTTGCAGCAGTGGTACTTCCAGGTACAATTTCCTCTATATTGGCGTACGTACACGCAAATAACATATCATTACCGGCTGGACTACAATGTATAATAGAGGTCTGATGGTGATAATGCATACACAAACACTTTACGTAACCGGTATTAACCCAAGGCTTGTTGTTGTGTCTCGCTATGTAGACTCGGTAACAGGTACATTATATAATGCTGATACTCGTAAAACTAACAAAAGCAAATTTTAACACGGAATTGCTATCAGGGGACGGTAAATCTGCAAACCATCGATTTGGTGATAAAACAACGATGGGCAACGCCCTTTGTTTCGGTTCAAAAGGAGACTCCTTTAAAAGATAAGCGCCACTGTATACTAAACCTGTGCATGAAGAAATATTTAACTCCTTAATTTCAACAGTTTTAAGACATTCTAAACCAACTTTGCTCTGTTTTGTAAAATGATAACATATCCTTATATTTAATTCCGATGTGCACACCTGAAGGTGCGCATAAAACATAAGGAAAGCGGAGAGAAAAATGTAGACCTACTTACAACAAAAATCTCACTCCGTGTATGAAACAATAAACTGAATAAAGTGTTTAAATCCATAGGGCCTACACCATTTGTTTTAATCGATGTCGGTCTACATCAGTAGTAATGTAAACGACAATTTCAGTGTGCATCGATCATAGTCTTGAGCACTGTAAACACGTCATTATCACGCGCTATTGGAGATTCTTTCAACCAAATTGTTCTATGAAAGTTGCTAATAACACTTCGGGCGGGAAACGTTTTAGTTTCGTAAGATCCCCTTAATTTACACAGGGCTGCAACCTTTGGGCCTCCCTTGTGCGGCCTTAAAACTGGCCAGGTCGCCGTTGGAGGCTCAAAGGAGGCCGAATGGTTGCCTAGGTCGTTCAAAGGTGGTACACAGGATGTTCAGACATCGCCATGGACGCCATGGTCGCCGTAAATTTTTGAACATGTTCAAAACAGTCGCACAAAGGTCGCCGAGGAGGTTGGTTGCTCTCAGAAGGATGTTGTATTTTACAGCTTTTGTGGTGTGTCCTTAAATCTGTCCTTTCATACGAACCAAGGTTTGTTCGGGTCTTTTCCAATTGTGTTCCCTTTATTAATGCTTCTTTTCTGTCCACAATGCATTGCAATTAGGTATACATTTTGTGGATGGATACAAATTCTCCAATGCCGTCAGAAAGGGTAAACTGAACAAAACATTTGCACTCCAAATCAGAACTGTCATGTGGCATTACCGGCGGATGGAAAAACTGAGCCCCGGCCAGAATGACAAATTTGAAATCAATCAATGTCATGTACAAATGAGCGCATTGATGAAAGCACGCCACTTGGTATGCCAATACATTAAAAGCGTATTAGGTGACTAATGAATGAGCAAACACTGATTACTTAAAAAAATGCCGACTGTATCGCTATCAGCCGCCATAAGCTTTAATGCCTTACCTTTATGGTTTTATGACGTGTAATTCAAACAACTCTTCGACGAATTTCAATCTGGATGGGTTTATACCAATTCGGGACATTGTCCAGAGTACAAATCAAAGTAGGAACATATAATGGAAAAGCAAATGAAGGTTAAAAGGCAGCATTTGAAATGCACGGATGTTGTAAAAGAAGAACAATTTAGATATAAGGGGCTATTTGATAGGAACACTCACGAGGAAGACATTTGGGAGTTTCGAGAAAAACTACAGGGAAAAGTATTTTGTTTGTGAACTTCTGTATGTTTTGGTATAGGCTAACATGGGTTTTTTTTCAAGTGACCTTTCGGATATGCAATTTGCTTAACTTAACTTTATTTATTACTATTTTATTTTTACTACTATTTACATAAACGTTGAACCAGGAAAAATAGGTTTTAAGAATGAAAAATAAAAAGTGCGTCGGGACAGTCTTTACAAAAAAAAAGAGGAAAACATTCAGAATGGTCGTGACAAAAATGACAACAAAACATGTGTTTCTTCTGTTTGTGATGCATTGTTGATTTTGGTAGCCGTGGAGATATTCAACACACAAAAAAACACCCGGTTTTCACAGACCACTTGTTCCTTTCCAATAATTCATAACAATGGCAATATGACGATATGCTTTGAGGGTTGCCGAGAATGGCAGATGGTTTCACGTCCGCCCCGTACGCGATATTTTTTCCACACCAGTACCACACATTTGCTATGAGCGTATATCGAAGCACGTTGAGTTGCAAGTCAGGTTTTTATTAATTTCCCTTGAAAAATAATATCCTCTAAACCACAAATTAGCGAAAGAAAAATGTTCCAAATGTCTAAAAACAAAATCTTGAGAGAGAGAGAGAGAGAGAGAGAGACGGTGAGAAAAAGGTTAAAATTTATAAATAAAATTCAGGGAACTCGATCGAAAATGGCTTTCTCATGAATTGAATAAGGTCTGTTATAATACCCGGCTATAGCAGAAAGCTGACTAGGTATACGTTTCCACTTTTCCATTTGTTTGAGCGGTTTTTTTTATGTGGTTTATATCTGGCCGAGGGCATAGCAGTGGATTTGAATTTAGTAGTAAATGTACTACCACATTATAAAGTACAAATACTGATATCTAGAAACGACCAATGAATGCTGTTAAAGATGAGAATTTTCTTAAATTTAAATCTGTAATGACTAAAATAATGATGGGCTAGTGCAGTAGCCAGTAGGCAAATGTAGATTTAAAGAGCTTGGCTTTCTTATTTCTAAAAGGTTCAGATATAGTGAGTAAAGGGTTGTTAAACCAGGGCCAGCATGTGCAATTGCTGCTGCATGCAGCAATGCCAATATCAGGCTGGTTTAACTTGTTCTTGATATGACAATCCCGATTATTACTGTTTATTTACCCTAACTCTCAATTTAAACGTCATACCAAATTAACCCATATAGGAGTTGGATGGGAAAAAAATGGGTACACATTTTACAGAACACCAACAACTCGTTCCAAATAAAAACACGAACTACACATTTAAAAACAGCCAATCAGTTATCATTTTCATTTGATTTCAACATATTTTACAGTAAATTCAAATAAAGTTTAACTATCCATGTTTCGGGTGATTTGTTTTATAGGCGGTTCTAGAAGTCAGCATCTGTGACCACAACTTCCAATTCGGTAAACAAGTGTGACAAGGTCTAAAGATTTCCTTTCTTTCACATTTAGGCTTAATTGATGCTTGTTGTTTGCTTTTGCTTTGTTTTCGTTGTTTGACTGTCCCTTTTGGGGTTGTTGTTCGCTGTTTAGTTTTATGCTTTCATCAGTACAAACAAACTGATACCCAGTTGCCCGATTCTCTTTTGACAGACTTACAGGGTTGATTTAAACCACTGTCTCCAACGATGTCATTTCAAAGGCATAGGCAGTTCTGTCCTTAACGAAATAAACAATCCAAACTGCTTCATTTTGGTTTTCAAAATGCATTACTAGCATGATTACATGCAAGGTGTGAGCAGTTTCAATACATGTACACACTTTCTCATGGAAACATCAGTGACAGTACACGGCACTGCACTATCGCTATAGAGTTCCAAGGCCATATATTTGTACTCTGTAATGCGGCTTTGTGCCAGGTTTTTGTTGGCAAGTCAGCCAGAAAGCTTTCATAATCTCTTGTATTCAGGATTATTTTGTGTATTCACGTCCCAGAGGCCAAGCCCAAATTTCCAGATGATAACAAGCCTTTAAGACCTTTAAAGAGCCCATACAATTATTCCATTTTCAAGGGTATTTTTTGTGCTTTTTTGGTATGCTAATACCAGTTTCCACATGCATGAGCAAAAATGTGATGTCATTTCAGGCAGAAACCTCTATGTTACCTGGGGCGGATCCAGGAATTTGTGCGGGGGGAGGGAGGTTTCATCAGCAAGTCAATGCTGAAATGTACACAGGTATTTTTCTCTGGACACTTGGCATCCTTAAAATTAATAGGTGCCAGAATTTTGGATGTTTTGGTCGTTGTTGTGTCAGTACATGACAGCAAGCCTATGAGCAAACTTTTCTCACACATGTTTTCAATGAGCAACTGTTTGGGAGTTCACAATTTAAACAGAAAACCCCTAAACTGAACAGCGTCTTCCTTAAATGATATCACAGCAACAGTGCCCTAATCTGTCCAGACAAGCATGGATAAATTAAAATGTTTTAAAGAAGTGCACTTTTTAATAAAATTAACCAAAAAGGGATGTCAAATAGTTTTCATACATTTAAGAGGAGTAGAAAGTTGGACAAAATGTGTTCCGAAGAAAAATTCATCCTCATGCACCCTTTAAGATTTTGTCTATGGGCTTCTATAAGCATTATTGTTGTCACAAACTGTAACCTTCAATGTATCATGTAGGCCTATACAGCACAACTCCAATGCCTTATTCAATCTACTTTCAAATGTTTGTGTTGGAAAATGCTGATTATCATGACTTGAAAAAGCAAAACAATAACAAATCAGAGGCAGGTTGGTCGTCATTTGTCAGAAAGGGTCCGGACCCTTCCTTTCTATCAAACATAAATGCAAATACAGATATCAATACCCAATATGAAACATTCTGCAGAGTATACACTGTATTTTTTTCAAAGCAAATCTGTTATTCCATTTATGAAGTATATGTTAACTTTATTTTACACTAAACATGTTCAGAGTTTAAACAGGTTTTGTAAAACGGACGGTGATGATTTACTTTTGCCAGCAGATTCACACAAATTTAGGCTGTTTTAATTCTACCGAACTGATGGACGTTTTCAACTGACTTCGCAAAATTTGCAAAGCAATCATCTCTTCAGCTCTTCATCTTATTATTTTTCAACTGTTGTTAACAGCATGCAGAACCTAGCAAATGTATCAGTTTCTAAATCTGGCAAATACTTTGACATTTAAGTTTCTGCATGATTTTAAGTTACTTAAGGATCAGTTTATAGTGCACCGAAGTGAACCTTTTCTCAGCTCCCCCGCTCCAAATAATCGTGTACAGTTTGCAGTGGTTTGCGGCTAATGCTTGTTATTCACATTATTCATGAATTGTCTTTCTTAAAAGTTTGGAAATATACTCCCATGCAATGTGTATCACACAGATGTGTCTATTATTCAGCAACAGAAAAGTCATTTCTGTATAAAAACTGCATTGAAAGTGAAAAAAACCCAAACTGTATGGCCCGAAAGACATGTAGTTGGCAAGCTAAAAACTGTCGACAACAATCGAAAGTTTCCCGACCGCAAATAGCTTATACAAAAAGTTGTTGCCTTCCGGTATCGACACTCATCTGAAATGAATGCTAGCCTAGAATACAATGGGGAGTGACCTTCCTCGAAAGTACCGCATGACCCACCAAGTATTCGGTGCCAAACAATTTTCACACTGGAATCAGTTTCTTTGAATAAAAACTTCTGGAAAATAAAAACAGATTTCTTTTGTGGTTCTACGAGGGCAACGTGCATAGCATTATATAGATTTAACATATCCTTATATGGGGTTGACCTTTATGTGGTTGATTTAGTGCTGTTGTTTATGCAGCAGTCTATGGGCAATGAGTGACAAAGAAATAACTTGTGATATTTCACAACTCAAATGGTCTTCATATGAACCCAACTCCATTTTCAAGTGATTAGATTTATACCTTCAGTTTTTAACTTGACATCTCAATTGTTCAACACATCCCTTAGAAGGTCTTACGTTTATAAAATAAAAGTTGTTTTTACAATGAAGGTTTTGATGAAAACATCACTAGAACATTGGTTTGTAGTGTACTTTGTTTAACATTTATTTCATTCTATTTATATATTTTTTTAATGATTTATTCTCCCCAAAGGTTTCTTCAATTCTTTACCCCCCCCCCCCCTTAAAAACATCTAACTTAATCGATGAATTAAAAAAAAACTGTAGTAGTATGACCAAAGTAGGTATGACCAAACCTCTTTCAGAAATATACAGGGCGAGTCAAAAAAAGAAATGAAACCCAAATGGACCAATTTTTTTATGACGTTTTTGCCTGTAGCACTTTCAAAATTTTGGATAGAAAGCCCAATCAATTAAGAATTCTTTCAGCAAAAGAAAACAATTCTTATAGGGATGCATGTGAATTGTTTTCGTTTTGCTGAAAGAGCACTTACCTTTTTTTGTGATCCGTGGACAGAACTTTAAAACAGTGTTTGTGTTCAAAATTCCGTAACTTGAAAAGTACATGAGTGATTTGAATGAATCTTGTGCTCAAAGAAAGTCCATTGATTGGGCTTTCATATCCTAGATATTGAAAGTGCTACAGGCAAAACTTCATTTAAAAATTGATCCTGCCAGTTGGGTTTCGTTTTTTTTTTTACTCATCCCTGTAAATTATGAAGAACAATGAAGTTGAAACACTAAAAAAAGAGGACTTTGTTTTTGGTGGTGGTGGATGGGGGTTAAGGAAATGACTTTTAGAATAAAAGAAAACAGAGCTTTTTACGACAAGAAATAATTATTTGTTGATATTACTTTATTTTGATTATTCCCGAGCTCCTAGAAAACCAACAATCTCAATGCAAACCATGATTGGAAATTCATCAGACAAAAATCAATTTCTTGCCTCGTTAGGTTTGGATTTTTTTGTGGACTGAAGTTCTTCCAGCCAGGACTGGACTTGTGCTATGCCATAATTGACCAAGTGATCTTATACAAGTGTGGGGAATGAACAGGGCCATAGCCAGCCTGGTGCGAGGGTGTGCCCATTTAGATAAATATAGAAAACCTGTTTAGTAAAATTGAACAGTTTTTTTATAAAGTCCTTCATATTTGAAAATCACAGGCGTGTTGAAAATGGCACACCTGGATTCTCTAGGCGTGTGATTTTTGGAGGCTTGCGATTATTGTAGGAGTGTGACTTTTCTAGGCGTCTTTTTTTGTTATGGCAAATGATTTTTCTAGGCATGTGATTCTGTGGTCCAAACTGGGACTGAACAATCTGATATTTTGTATAATATTCATCTTAGTCTACAGTAAAGACATTTCACGAGCTCACAAGAGTATAATAATGATGCAAATGTATGCCAAGGTGTGCGGTACAGAGGGATTCAGGCGTGAGTTTACTCACACTTCTCGGGATGCTTTTAGGCATACGATGGAAAAGGGGTGCAATCGCCTGCCTCAAATCAAAAGGACTGTTTATAGGGGAAAAAATGCCACAATTTACTTGAAATCTAAATATGCCTACAAGGCAGGAATTTGAACTATTGGTTAGACAAAGTACTTGAAAATTTCATTTTATGTTGGCAGGTATTAAGATTCTGAAATACTGATAGGGGACCTATGTGGAATTTGGGGTGGGTCTTTTCAACTCTTGCTACCCCCCTGGCTATTGGCCTGATAAACAACAGGACAAATAATGAGAAAGCTCACACAAACAAGGTGGCGTTAGTGACACAATGAATCGCAGATGCCTGGAATGCAGAGGCTTTGGCGCTAATTATTGCAGCACGATAATTTCTAAATAGCCACAATAAAGCCCTTTTTCTCGCTTCTTTCTGGTTTTAGGTGTATTTTCTCTAGGACGGGTCTAAAGTAAGAGTCTGCACTGTGGCTTTGTGTGTATGTTGCTGTTTCACAAAACAACACCACAAAATAACGTCAATTATACATTTTTTTTTTTTGCCCCAACAAAGTAAAGGGGCTCAGCGTTGTCTGTGAACTAGTAATATTCACAAGTAATACCAGACTCGTATAACGCACGTATCTACAAACAATTAGGTACTCAAGGCGCTGATAATTATGTCTATGTTTAAAGACAGGTAAAAGAGATTTATGAGAAATATGAGACCCATAATGTACAAGGTGCTGCAGGGCATATGGCAGCCACTGCCAGAACACCGGGGCAAACCGCTTCTCTCAAGTAAAATGTAAAATTCACAAGCCTGCTGGGGTGGGACTTGAACGCGAAATGAAGAGAAAGTAGTCACCCAACAAACAACCTTGCAGCAGTGGATTGGTGAATTCAGATCTGATAACAGGAGCTGGCACCACACTGAATGGCTTACATCAATGATGAAAGTGAAAAGCAAACACTGAATATTCAAATGTACATCTCCGTGATGCAAAATGTTCACGATGCAGTGCCGTTTCAGAAACTCTGTAATGCATGCACAGAGCTGAGGTTCGCATCAATAATATTCCAAGTCAGGTGACATTCACTTAGCTGTCAGAATCCTCTTGGTGTAACCATGGCAATGGAGGTTTTTTTCACCTGGGCTCCAGCATGTGCAGTCGCCACTTGTCATCTTTGCTCAGCTTAGGGGGGACAAAGAGGGCCACATCGTCAGGGGAGGGGGTGGAAGGAGGGGCTCCTAGGGGGCCCGGCGCAGTCATGGAGGCTGCTATGGCGTTGGAGGTGTACTGCGGACCAAATCCCTGTGGGGGTGAATAAGACAAAAGGCACAATTAATATCATCCCCCATCTGTCTGAAGCTCTTGTCTAGAGCCGTTGTCTGGGTCCCTGCCCATTACAACTCTGTAGGAACAAGCTCACAATGGATGTAACCATGGGCCTTATTCACGAGTCGGCCATATTGGATTGAGAGTGAGATAAAATCTTGATTTTTGGAACTTGTGAAAATGAAATCAAGTTAATTACTAATTAATTCCAGTCTGCTTCGATGAATAATTTCAAATTTGTAATTAAACATTCCCTAAAGTTTAAAGCCAGATTTAACAAAAAATGGCAGTAAAATATGGCTGCATTATGCCTGCATAAATAGCCTGGCACCGTCCCATTCAACAGTTAACAACTAATGAAATACATTCAGGGAACTCGACAAAAATGGCCAACTCATGAATAAGGCCCATAGCTCTGGAAGTCTGTTTCAGACACTGCCTTAGTCTCGGTCCAAGACTGCTTTTTGGATTGTTACAATTTTCCGCAAGGCAGCCAGTCCATCTCATGCAAACGCAAGCAAGCTGCCACCGTGGTAGATGTACTCTATCTACAAGATCAATCAGATTCAGTCTTGGTAATCTCGCCACTCCGGCCAGAGATATCCCAAGCATGGCCCATGCTCCGTATATTCATGCTTATGCGTGTCACAAATATTCCTAATTGATTGAGTCCAAGTGTCGACAGCGCCCTCTGTTGGTGGCTTGACTGCACTTGCCATGGACTGGCATCATTAGGGGAGCATAAAATATATCCAAAGTTGGGCCAAGACTAGGTGAAAATTAGGCATACTTGTGCAATCAATGAAATAACAAATGTTTTTTTTATGCAGAATTTACAGTTTGGGGCATATATTACTTCTCCAAGAGATGAGGCAGACTAAAATATCTATGAGCCAGTCTGCCAGTCATTTGTTTAGATATGGCAGCCACAAGACGCCGTGTGCCCGGCAGAAGGGCATATGTGCATATGCCCTTATGCATTAGTGCATAATCACCAAAATGTTCCCAGCAAAAGGGCATATGCAGAAAACTGCCTCTATATTAATGAAATTAAAAACATTTTCGTCAGATATTAATACAAGTTGTTCCCAAACTCATGATTCATACGTGTGACAACTTTCAAATTCGTACGATTTATATTACGTGAGGAAGAACATGTGATTCATAGTACGCGCGGGGGAACAATGGAACCTTTCAATGCAATTTTCTTGAAAATGATTTCTACGTCAGAATGCTCATATGCCCTTCTGCTGGGCACCCAACAAATTGGGCAACATTACTTGATTTGGGTGGAGACACATTATGTGTAAACTGGTAAAAACAATTTCACACAAACCAAATGAAGCCACCATATCTCAAAATTACCCGTTTGGGTTATGAAATCAGATAGTGGGCACTGAATCTCCGAACCACTATTATCACAACTATAATACACTCATTTATCGATTATATCAATATAAAACGTCGTACCGCAGCTGTTCCCATTGTAGGCTGGGTGATGTTGCCGATCCATATCTCGGCCCGTCCTGCCTCTAGGCTCTTGAGGGCATCTTGCAGTGACTGCTGAAGCTGCTGTGCCTCTTCCTTGAAGTCAAACATGACCAGGATGGGAAGGAGATGTCCAACATCACCTTGGAAACAAACAAACAAACAAACACCCCAATAAGCAAATAAACAAACAACATCATCATCAAGGAGAAATATGGCTTTGTAGCACAGTTGTTAGAAGCCACAGAGGTTCAAAACCGGTCAATAGCTTTACTCAACTTAAGGAAAATGCCCACACAACAAAATACAAACCGACACTGTTAAAGAGTTATTTTTTTGTGGTCGGAGAGTTATGCCTTAACTGTTAAGAAGAGAAAAATATTTGAAAATCATTACTCCAAAATCACAAACAAGGACAGCATGGGCAAAAGATCCTAAGGTCTCATCATTATGGCATCAGAAATCTGAATAGTTAACAACGGACCCTTTGTTTTAGCTGTTGGATTATCAAGCTTTACAATTTGCTGCTGTTGGATTTTTATTAATTTAGGCAAAAGGGGGATGGTGTTTAAAGACAATTCATAAATACCTGAGACAGTTTACCAATTCCTACTGGTCGACAGGCTGTTACGAAGGTGGTTTTAAACGGTTGGTAAAATGCTGCTGTGTTCTGCACCAATTTGCGCAGTATGTGCTGTGCGCCAATTTCCATATGAGGACAATTTTAGCACTATGCGTGCGAGGTACATACCATAACCATGGGCAGAGGGGTGTTTCACAAAACATGAAGTAAAGATGTTGACCAGAACTTGGAAATTTGTGAGTTTTTGACTTGTTTTGACTTTTTGACTGAAAGGTATTTATGAACTTGGCCATCTAGGGTCCTGGTTGCGGATATTGACCCTCGCCTTCAGAAAGGGCCATTATCCGCATCCAACCCCCTAGCAGGTTTTAAACATACTTGCGAAAACTGGCAAATTACATATTTATTCCTTAATATGACATGATATTCAAAATGCCTTGATTCCTTTGTAGGTGGATACATACATTTTATAAATGTTAGCGTTACCTTTGAGTTGATCCACATTCTTCATGATTTCTATTAGTGCGTCCAGTAGTGCTAAGTCTTCGTGTTTACTCCCTTCCTTCAAGCTGCGCTTCTTCTGCTCAGCTTTCCTTCGATTCTTTCTGGACCGCCTGTACAAGAAGATAAAAAAATATGATTAAACTCTGTACACATGTTTCCGTATTGGAGATACTATCCTCAAATTTTCACTTCATATCTTTGAGAAGTAAATTTGTGAGTACTGCAACCAATCACTGTTTGTAAAGGTGGAATTTTTTCGTCGGCAAGATGTAAATTCAATATTTGGTTTTGCCCTTCATGTTATTTCATAAACTGTCTGAGGGCTAAGCCAGATATTTCTTCAACGGATGGCAAACTCAATATTGAAATTAACTTTTGACATTAACATCTGGAGTGCTGTGGCCTCGTGGTTAAAGGCACTGGATTTGTGGTCTGTGGGTAAAGCTGCAGGTTGTGGGTTCGAGTCCAGCCCAAAGTCATGGTATCTGTGCCCTTGGGCAAGGCACTTTGTCATGCATTGCTTCTCTCCACCCAGGAGTAGATGGGTACCTGTGAGGGCAGAGATGGTCATTGTGATTGAATTAGCTTCCTTGCGCCTAACAGGCTGCATCGAGCTGTATACCCCCCAGGGAGCTGAGATGGTTTTTGGAATGTTTAATTGGCCCAATGATCAGGGGTAACAATAACGTAAAGCGCTTGGCATTTGTCTTAAAGCGCTACATAAGAACCTGTTATTATTATTATTATTATTAGACTTGTGGTATAGCTCAACAAAAGTAGACATATTTGGGAAACAGCTGTGGCATTTGGGAATTCAGAATCTAATCCAAAAATGCTAAGGAAATTAGGGGTGTATCTGGAATGCTGAGTGCGTACCCTGAGGTTTTACTGCTGGTTGTGCTGGTGCTATACGCACTACTGGATGATCCAAAGCTGGTGACGCTACCCATGGCACTACCCCCGACACTACTGGTGTCAGAATACAGGTCGGCATCCACGTCGTTGAAGTCAGCACCTTCCTCTTGTTCCTGGCATAGCTTGTTCTCTCTCACCACGGCAAGACGCTTCTTGTGCTTGTCAAAAGTCACCAGGAAATTCTCCAGGGAGGCCTGAGTGCTGCTACACCCTAAAATACCAAATGAAATAAAAATGATGCTGTAAAATTATAACATCCTTTTCAATGTATTACTTACTAGGTCCGGCCCTTTTTCCAAGACACCACTGAAAAATTTGAAGAAGCAAGTCCTACTGAGGAATTTTTAACTAACTTTTAGTATTATCATTAGGCACAGGGGCTGATTTCATTGAGCTTTCCAACAACTACTAGGAATTGTAAGATAACTAAGGCAAAACATAAACTTATTACCTAACGTGTATTTGAAAGCAAGCTGATGAATTAACAATTGTTTACTGCCGTGATGTGGGATATGAAGGGTGCATAGCGACCCAAGGCAAAGCCGAGGGTGCTAGCGCCCCGAGGGTGTTCAAAACATCATATCCCATATCACAGCAGTCAACCATGGTTTTGTTATACCTCTGTCTTGGATTCTTTGGATTCTGATGTAAAATCACGAAAACAAACAGCAATATAAACACAACAATTATGACAATCGAAAGTCAACTCACACGGTGCGCGCTCGAAACAGATAGCTGCTCCCTGCCTCCCTCGAAACAGTTCGCTGCTTCCACTCATGAGTGAAACCATGGTGAAAATAGCATGGGTACCAACGAATCCCACAGGGAGTGTGCCATGACTTTTAAAAAACTTAAAACATGGGAAAGATTTCCATATACGAAGTTCACTATAAATTTTCCTCTGTATTGACTAACAAGCCCCCAGATAGCAATTTCATGTCATCAAAGTCAATTTGAGCAGTGAGAAACTACAAGCATTTTCTTAGAAAACACTTAGAATTTTTCAGTCCAATCTCATAGGGTTTGTACACAGGGTGTTGAGTGAACTTCGTATATGGAAATCTTTCCAAACCATGATCGTACTAGGCCAATGAAAATACAGCATTCGAGGCAGAGGTATAACAATATGCTTTGTGCTACATTTTTAACTTGAGGTAATCAACCTTTCCTGCCTGTCAATCAAGCAGTGCACACTGACCAATTAGATCACAACGTTTGGTCAGGTGATCAAGTGTCTTGATCCTCCAGCAAGTTTTTCCAGCAAATATAAATCATTTTTTATTTTCAACTTACTTTCCACAAGTGCTGGTTTGAGGTGCGTCTCAATAATGTCCTCCCTCTTGTGCTTGTACATCTGCAACAGTTATAACATTCAATACCTCAAAACTGAGAATTGGAAAGTAGAGCCTTAGGTTTTGGGGAAAAGTGTTCGCAAACTTTTCTTGGATACGAAGACAAGACAAGCGTAGTAAGGTTGGTCCCAGAGAGAAACAGAATTATATTTGATTGATTCAACATTGCCATTCACTGGAAGTCTTTTCATGCATATGGAGTACACAATGGGCCCAATTTAGCACACTATGCAGTAGTTATAATGTGTAGTTATAAAGCGCACATATCAACCAGTATTGGTGCTCAAAGCACTACATCATTATTACCCTGCTCATTGGGCCAATGAAATATTCCAAATACCATCTCAACTCCCTGGGGAGTACACAGTTCTTTTGGCCAAAACAGCTAAAAGCAATCACAATAACCATCTCTGCCCTCACAGGTACCCAATTTATACTCCTAGGTGGAGAGAAGCAATGAGTGACAAAGTGCCTTGCCCAAGGGCACACGCACCATAACCCCAGGATGGACTCGAACCCACAACCTGTAGAATTACCCACAGACCACAAATTCAATGCTCCAAACCACAGCACTCTATTCTATACAATGGCACTGCCAGGCTCTATTCACTGGCCAGCAACTAGGCTAAGTAGTGGTTTAGTGAGTCAGGACTATCAGTTGACCCTGTTGTTCTTCACTCATTAGACATAGGCATTTGCCCATGGTCTCCTCCTCAAACTATACACAGCTGGAATCACTGGTTCCGCTCAAATCAAAATGCATTAAAGTATTTACAATTCGACTGCAGGACCTCAGCAAAAAGTACTATTGTTTGTCCTTACCAGTCTCAGAGATTCTGCCCAATGGCATCCAGTGATGAGCACACTGATAGCCTCTTCAACATCGTCGGCATATTCCACTAGGATGCTAGCTGCTTCAGAGTGTCTCCTGTGCCCCGAGAGATACACTGTGGATTTATAAATGAAAAAAACATATCCATGTCAACTACAAACTAAGATGCACTGTTGACGCTTAGGTCCCCCAGCTTTGATCCACACAACTGTTTTGATAAACATATGATTAGCTATCTTTAACTACTATCAGCCTTGGTTGTGTCGCATCATGTACAGGTACGTATACACTTAACTATCAGAAACCATTGCCAATGGCAGTAGTATTCCAAAATGGCAGCCTCAGATGAAAGCCTCATATCTGTGGCTAATCTAGCTTTGAAACAAAGATAAATGGTGCATACATGCTCAGCAATTCACCACTTATCAATCAAACCATGTATTTGAATAGAATATTTCAGTAAAAGTTGTAGATTGACGATTTACTCTGTGTTTCACACTGACGCAAAGTGAGCAATTTGGATCATTCTATGAATTTAGGGTCCAAACTGTGTGACATTTTTCCTGTCCCTGTTACCTTGATCTGATACGCCTTGCCCTCTGGAGACATGCACACAATTTTGAACAAAAGATTGTATACATTTCCACAGGGCAATTCTAAAGATGAATACGTCTCCACAAGGTTTTCACGAAATAGATATATGGATTTTACTCAAAAACTAGGAATTTCCAAGGTATAGCCAACGAAAATAATTCTGGTTAAAATAAGAGCATTTTGAAACTGTACTTTCAAACTCGAAAACTAAAAGTACACGAGAACAAAGAAATGTCTCCACAAGGATACAAATTTCAGTATGTATGGTACTTTGCAATTCGCCATTCAAGTACCATTAAGAGTGACTTCAAAGGATTTTTTTATTTGTTGGGCGGGAAGATTGCTATTCATAATCACTCTCGGAGGATGACTGCATTAAGAATTACAAAATCATAGATGTCAGATGTAACAGGGACAGGAAAAAAAGTGGACCCCAAATTTATAGAATGCCCAATACACGTACATGCTGTTTACATGCATAGCAGAAACTGAGTCACGTATGATGTAAAAACATCACAAAAAACTGATGACCTATCAAGTGCAAAACTCCCTAATATCCTAATTGTTACAACAACCAACCAATGCCTCTACCTGCTAACTTCCTAGCAGTTTCTGCCAGCTGGTCTGCTGTGTAATTCAATCTGGATGCCATACAGAAGGCCTGCTGCCATTGGCCACACCTGCTGTGCATCTCTAAGGCCCTCTCCCATTGGCTGCAGAGAGTGAAGACGAGGGCTGCATCCGCGTAACGATTCTTGGACTGGAGGTAGTCGCCATATGCAATACCGATGGCCTGGAAGCAAAAGGAAACAAATTTAAAAAGCAAAAAAAAAACAGTAACAGAAACAGGACAATTTAGGGTCTTAAAGTTTGGTACATGGAAGCTGGAAATGTGGTCTGCATGAAAGGATATCATAGGTGCCAAACTATTTAAAGCTTATAATTTCAAACTGGAATTCCAGAATCGTGCTGAACCAAATTATTCTAAAGATTTGAATTACGTACATGGTAAGTCTGACATTTGAAACAATAATAGGTGACTACATTGAAGAGTGCCTATAGCCGTCATTTTACACAAAGTTTACCTTTCTGAAAACAAGATCTCTATGGGTAGACCTGAGTAGTTCCTAATAATATTTGGTTTGGCCCAACTATGCTAGTATAAAATGGGTTTCAAAATAGAGTGAATGACAATTTAACCAACTAGGACAAATCTCATAGTCTGCTTACCATAAGCAAGAGTGTATCACTAACCATATCATAAAAGTCTGTGCTAATAGTAAGCGTATCTATACGGTTCTTACAAAATTTTAGCATACACATGTACACATCCCGTAAGAAAGGATTCTAGGCTGATGGTAGGCCAAGAATACCTGTGCTAGCAATGTAAGCACAACTTCCTGTGGCAAGCTTACTGCAGATGAGAAATTTGCACTAGTTGTAGCAGAAAATTTCGCACTTACCCTAACTCCCCAGCATGATTTACTAGGAACCATACCCTTCCTGGCAAATTCCAACACCATATGGGAAACTGTGCACACATATTTCTGACTTAGTTTCTGGAGGTGTGCCAACCCAATGTAAAAGACTGTCAGTTTAGGGGTACTGTACCCATCATGACAGATTCCAACAATACATGGTGTAGGGGTTTGATGGGTTGAGTTCTGTTAGGGCTAATGATCAGCAAATTTAACAGGTCATGACTTGTGCGTAAATTCTGCAACCAAGGATTATGTGCTTACAATGTTTGCACAGAATTTGTGCGCCTGCACTTTAAGCAGTGAATGGAGATTAACAGCACAGAATTCAGTGTTAATAAGAACCATAAAGTTTAGCCCCAACAACAATGGAGTACTCAACAAAGGTCAAAGGTTGGCAATACCCACCTCGTATCTTTCCGATCCCCTGTCAAACAGCTGCAGTGCCTCGCTGTACAGTTTGTGCTCAGCCACTAGGCTCATACACTCTACGAAGCGTTCATCTCCCGGGCACCTGCTGATGTGACGCAGTGCCTTGCTGTAGCGTCGCAGGTGCTTGTCGATGGTGTAGCGCTGGTAGTTGGTCTCCAGACTGCGCAGCTGGTTCAGGAAGGGGAGGTACTCCTTAGGATCCTACAGTAAGTTGTGAATAAGAAAGAACTTAACTGTAACATTGTTTGTGAAATGTGCTTTGAAGCTGTGCACCAACAAAGATTTAATCTTGAGAGAGATTAACATTAATACCACATGAAATAACGAACTTGAAAAAGAAAGCAGTTTTCAGCGGAACGAAAGGTACGAACTCAATGTTTTGGTAACATGGGGGACAAAATCTGCCCCATTGCCCTGTGCATTTTTTTCTTCTTCAAATATCACCACCATGGGTTTGTTTTTAGCGTCAAGCTTTTGAAGACCGATTTCTGTAGACTTATGTAGACTTATTTCTTGTGAACTTATTAAAAATTTCATTAAAAAAATCTGATGTAGCATTCAAGCAAAATTTGAAATTTTTGACGGGGGTACAGAAAAAAACGTTATTTTTCATTGACAAATACAAAGCATTTTGTATTTATGATATAAAATTTTTTTCCCAGACAGCTTTTTCAGTTGATGAGTGATTGATAATATAAATAAAAGAATACTGCTTGGAGGTAGGATTGTCTAGGATAGTAGGAATCTTCTAGGAAATATAATGACACTGACTTGTACTGCACATACAATTTTCTCGACATAATAATTGGTAATTGATAGAGTTGATTTCGCATGATTTGAGTCGAACAAACTGAAAAAATTGTGCAGTCTCTCTGGTATTACGGCACGTGATGAGCACCGCATCCCGTAACCATGGAATGTTTGTTTGCGAGTCATTACTCTAAGCAGGCTTAGTAAAGACTGGCTTATTGCAATGGGCTAGGTTTGGTGTCTTAACCAAGACCATCTAAGAGCAATATCTGGGTAAAGTCAGACTGGTTAGCTGGCGGTAACCATGGAATGTTTGTTTGTGAGTCATTACTCTAAGCTTAGTAAAGACCGGCTTATAGCAATGGGCCAAGTTTGGTGTCTTAACCAAGACCGTCCAAGAGCAATATCTGGGTAAAGTCAGACTGGTTAGCTGGCCATAACCATGGAATGTTTGTTTGTGAGTCATTACTCTAAGCTTAGTAAAGACCGGCTTATTGCAATGGGCTAAGTTTGGTGTCTTAACCAAGACCTCTAAGAGCAATATCTGGTAAAAGTCAGACTAGTTTAGCTGGTTAACTAAGACCACGGTATTGCAATCCGCCCCTGCTCTTTCAGGGTTAGTCAACTTGCTGTCAATTGCTGTGATCTAACATTGAGATGACATGCCTTTTGTGACTTCTCAGCCACCATCAGGACCAGCTTGAAGTCATAGGTCCCCAATGCCACGTCAAAGAGCTGATTGACGTCCACCAGGATGATCAGGTAGCGCAGGGCCTCGTCGGGCGTGGGGCAATCACAGCCTGACCCTGGGCCAGGGTCGTTGCCTGTCCCTGGTCTTGTTAGCTGGGTCAATTGCTGGATCCTCTGCAGGGCAATTTCCAGTTCTGGTTGGTTCTTCTTGACGTGGGCTGTCAGCACTGACAGAAAGAATCTACACGGGGAAGAAAAATCAAAGAACCAGGGGCATAACTATTGGGGAGTAGGTACGGGAGTTTAGCCCCTTGCTTGAAGCCTGTGCTCCCCCTAAAAAAGGCAGAATTTGGGGGAAGGCTAACATACATTTTTTATTGTAAAAAGCCAATGAATGCCCACTCCAACCATCAGGGATTTTGGGATCAAATTGCCGGATAAAACTAGGCAAGCTTCTGGAAACTTTTGGATTTTTATATGTTTTAGCTTACAATCTTAATTACAGCTTGTAAAATCAGACAACATTCAAGCTGATAACGTACTTGTTTGGGTCGATCCTGTCCAAGCTTTCCCTGACCGCATCACACACCGCGTCCACTTTACTCCCTCCAGCCGTTTTTGTCTTCTCCGGACTCCTGGAGTATGCAGCTGAATACAAGGTCTGTGTGGTGTCTTCCTCCTTGAGATCGGCCAAGAACAGATTCAGGCTGGTGGCAGAGTCTAGCTCCCTCACAAAGTGGTCGATGTTATTGAAGAATGCCTGTTTGAACAAGAATAATTACGTCTGTTGGTTGATGTTTTTGTGGTGTCTGTTGGGCAGACTAAACTAGTAAGTGCATCCACTCATTGCCAGTTGAGAATTTTGTTTTAAGCAACAAAAGTGTTAAAAATTAAGAATGCTGTATATTCCCCGAAAACAATATTCTAGCATCTCGATTTCAATTCAAAAGTTGCCGGGTCATGTTTTGAATTGCGCCCAAAATCACCATCTGGGACATGTTCTCATTCAGCCTACTGCAGCTATGCGATGTCACGCACTGAACCAACTATAGTAACTTTGCTCACGTGTGCGTTGCATCAACGCTTGAACGCACCCATTCACAGATTTGCCAAATCACAAACCAACTACTAACAGAAATTTCCAGAAATGCATCACTTGACGCATCTTTGGAAATGGCCTTCTTTTATTGTTTTTTTTTCTCAAAATGACAGCATGCCATCTTCATCTTCAAACCAAGTAAGTTTTTTAACAATGATTTTGTCAGTTAATTTTTGGAAAGCTGCAAATGATCTGCTCTACCTTCACATAACCTTTACACTTATGCTCAGTTTATGTAGTACAGCAGGCTTCATCAGCAGTTCTCTGTTATGAGCAGGCGGGCAGGCCCTACACACGTGCACGACACGTGCAATTTATATGCAGTGCTGTGTACATGAGATTTAATTATGTGGAACCCAGCGTATATAAGACTGCACACATGGCCGTTCAAGACCAATGAAATTACAGCATCCAACCACACAATATAACAGATATAGTTTGTGATTGATTCTCAAGCTGATTCATGCTAAGCACATATATCTGCTAGGCACTATTTTCTGCTTAGCACCTCCATAAAATTGATGAATCACCTTTGGGTCATGGTCGTAGAACAGATTCCAGTTGATGCGGTGTCTCTTCATGACTAGAAAAGCTTCTTGGTACTTCAGTCCGTTCAGGAGTTTCTTGATGGCAGACAGGACGAGCGCCCTCGGGTGGATGGTCTCCAGGTTACCGCGAGGCATCTGGAGGATGAGTTTGGTGTCGCCAGGGACGACGACCACGATGCGAGAACCTCGCTCCACACGCCGGATGCTCTCATCGAGGGACTTGGACTCTGCTGTGGACAGGTCTAGGAAGGTTTACAGAGAGGAGCACAAGACAGGTTTGCAGATACAGAAACAGATCAAGACAACTGTAAGTACACATCAAGGACAGATGATCTCACCAAAAGACATTCTCTCACCAAAACAGACTTCCTCTCTGTTGTGGATTTCAAAAATTTGCCGGACATGGACAATTCTGCGGCAAATGGCAGATCGGTCAATAATCAGACAAAAAATGACAAAGTAAACTGGTGGAGAGTTTTTCTTTATAAATACGATGGAACGCCGCTATAACAACATCGCTGGATCCACAGAAAATGTTCGCAAAAGCGATCATTCGGTATAGCGATTTTAAGCTGCTGGTGCTCCGGTACTCCCTTTTCAATAAATGGCACCCTTCATGACTTCACCCTGCACGCCCTGGTAGTTACTGAAAGATGACTTCGAACACGTGCCGACTATTGAATAACAGTAATTACACAATTTTGAGCTTACTACCTACAGCAATGGGTGGCTTTCCCCTTCTATGCCATGGGGAAATAGTAGCCACTTAGCGCTCTTCTGTTGACGGTTTTCAACAACAATGTTCGGTTGGTTTTGTACACAAAAATCGGGAGCCAAGGACGATGTTTGGTATAGCTGAATGTTCGGTAAAGCGGTGTTTGGTATAGCGACGTTCCACTGTACACATTATTTTTAAATTCTGGGCCTCTTTAGGGTATGTTTACGGTGCCGCTAAGCTCATTGTTACCATTGTTTGTTTGTACCTTTAGGGTTTGAGTTGAGGCTGATACAGCGGCAGGTGTGGCTGTGAGTGGTCATCAAGAGGTACTCATCATGCACGGCAAAGGAGGTACAGTTGGAGGCAAACTCTGTCTCGTTGATGTAGAAACGATACCTCTCTGTCAAACCAAGGACCACTTCCTATCATCAAAGAATTTAAGCAGACAAATTTAAACAAAGCCATCTCGGCAGTCAAATCCAATCAGGTGAACGTTGTTTAACAGTTTAGGAATCCTATTTAGGAAAATTATTACTAAAATTGTTGGTTTTTGCACTAATTGATTTCATCCTTCTTCCTGAAGGTATCATGTGGAAGAACTCATTAGCTGGGTGATAAATGTCCTTAACCCTAAAAGGGCCGGGGGGGGGGGGGGGGCCTCAACTTTTTCCGCGATAGCCTTGAAATTTTTTGTTTTCGCGACCCAAGCTGTTATGACTTTTAAGCCTCGAGCCTTGCGCATCTTTTGATACCAAAAACATAAAAATCTGACCATGGGTTGCCGTGCAGCAAAAAAAATTGCCGTCGCTATGCGCAATAAAAACTGAATTTTCCCATATATGTCGTGTACACAGAGCAGAATTACCATTCGTACATATGTATAATTACCATAATTCCAAAACCCTTTGACCTATAGTCATGAAATTTCTTGGGTGTGTTCATGATGAGTTGCTCTATGCATGTACTGAGTTTCAAAATTTTTCGTCACTCGATGGCTGAGAAATCCCGCCCCCCCCCCCCCCCCCCGCTTCCTCATTCTCTAATCATAAATTGTCTTGATGTCATCCAACTTAACTCCTATTATGTACGACGCATTTTTAGGGACCCGGTTCAGTTTATCAATGCATTTTTAAGATTTTAATTTGTTTTCTGTGTTAATAACTAATAACAATGAGCTGTCGACAAAACAATTTACTTCATTGCCGCACCCAGGATTTGGCTTGGGGGGTTCATAATTTGTTTTTCAATTTTTCTTTTGGAAATTTTAATTTTTTTTATCAAAACTTGTTACCCAACATTTTTGGCCGCAAAAAACAAATCTTTTTTTTTTGGGGGGGGGGTGGACTATTTTGACTTTGTTGGTGCCATTCACACCCCTATTATACTACTCAAAAATAGGCCACATACATATCACCATGGTCAAATCATGGGGCTAAAAAAAACAATTACCCCCCAAAAAAATAAAAAAAAAAAATAAAAAAAAATTAAAAAAAACATAACCTCTTGGAGAGGGCCCCCTACCTTGGGTGGGCAACTGATTAACTTTACTGCACAATAATGTAATATTGAAATTGAAATTCAATCCAATTTTTTTTTTTTGTGGAAATTATACAGACCTGTCCGCCCATAGTACACAATGCCATTTGGGTGCACGGTTGGGGCAGTTTGACTATTGGCTCATTGTCTGTTGTGACAACGCTGCCGTCCACTAGCTGTACGGCGATGGTCTCTGTCGATGGGTTGCATGATACCCGGTAGACTTGGCCAAAGATGGTACTTTGCGATCTAACAAAAGAAGGGAATATCAGGATTCATTGGCAAACTGCATAGGAACTGACTGGCCAATTTCCTGGTATGCTTTATTTGAGGATTTGCAATGAAAAGCCCTACCCTTTTACATGTAATTGCCTTTTACTGTGTTAGCAGCATTTTTAATGTTGCTAACATTATGATGTTAGGCTCGATCCCTTGATCAGTTTATCTTGTTGGCCCATTTTTTATTTTTTTTTTAGTTTAGACACTTTTAAGGGATCTTCAGTGTGAAAAAAATCTACAAAATGCTTTGACTTTATAAAATAACAGCTCAGAGTTGATGGAAGAACTCATTAAAATGTAACGCGAAGTACCATGGAATTGCCATAAAATAAAAATAAAAAATTAAATACAAAAAAAAAACTTGAAGAGATCTTACAAAAACATATAAGCTTCAAAAAGACAACACACACTTTAAGATACGAAATATGAAAACATAAAAAAGTTACACGCATATTAAAATACACAAAAGACCAACAATAAATATACAACATTCTTAAACTCATAAACCCACCAATGCAAGCATGCATTCTGAGCCATGCTGTTACTTGGGTCAAAATCGGTCAAGTGACCCATTGGTGTGTTAAAAGTATACCAGGGGAAGTGGAAGGACACTTTGACTGTTGGCGACCTTTTAAACAGCAGGAGGGTTAAACGAGTTAAAGCACTGTACATCAAGAATAACAGGAATCATTGTTCACTAATTTCGGCTTACTTGACACAAAGTTTGGGCATCTCGACATCTTCCTCAGAGAGGCTTACACGATGAAGTGTGCTCCCCACACCACCAGGGTCTGATGAGATGAGAATGAATGTCTGGCTGCTGACCCACTGCAGGTGATGATACTGTGAGGGATAGCTGTGTACTAGCGGGCTACCAGACTCATCCTCAATGCTATACAATAAAAAATTAAAAGAAATTGCACAAAACACACAAGTCATAACATTGTTTAAAATGAAATTGCATCTAAATACACAATCCCAAAGACACGTTTGAATATAGATCTTTCCCTTAACAGTGATGGTATAATTTTTGAAGCATTTTTCTTTTTACATATTTGGTACTACAAATTTGCAAAACACTGAAGAATGAACAAATAAAAACATTTAAAAATACAAAATAAAAATGTCACAAATATGGGTAAGCAAGTTCGATGATAAGCCTAATAGTACACCAGTCCTTACCAAAGCACTGCTTTCAATGAATGTGGAGTCACCATCGCTTTGAAGCCGTTGCCCCCAGCAGCCACTAATCGGACAGTGGAGTCAATGTCTGAAGAGTGATTCTCTCCTGAGCAGAAAACATGTACACTACATTATTGACATGCTCTATTGAAAAGAGTCTGACATTGTACCAATTGTTTTCTTTACAATATCCCTGAGGCAAAATAACAACACGTTTTGAGAACATGTGCACCTTCATACAAACTCTCAAGCCACCCCTTTTGTTCACAGCTTCAACAAATATATCACAAATCTTGATAAATATTTGACAAATTTATTTCATCAGCTTTTCCACAATGAAAAAAATCCTTGCAATTGGAGAAATAGTTACTGAGTTATGGTTAATTCAAAAACAAAACTGCCGCTTTTCATTTTGTCCATGGTCTTTGTCACTTATTAGGGATGTAATGAATTTGGGGCAAGGGCAGATTTGCTTTTTTTAATTTTATAACTTTCTTTCTTTCTTTTTTTCCCCCTTATTTTTTACTTTTGCAACAGTGCTCATTCCTCCTTTTGGAAATGGACTATTTTGTTTTATCATCTTAAACGTTCACTGTTCTGCTCCGTTCTCTACTAATGCTTGCCTTTTCACGGATGCAAAATTCGGCCCTTGTTCTCATTGTGGCAGTCAAGCATCAGTCGCAGTGGACAAAATGAAAAAGCAGCACTTTTTTGAATTGGCCATAACTCAATAACTATTGTTCCAATTGGAAACGTATTTTTCGTTGTGGAAAAACTAATTAAATAAATTTGTCAAAGATGTATCAATATTTGTCATGTATTTTTTTTTTAAGTTGTGAAAAGAGGGTGGCAAGGGTTTTTTTTCTTTTTTCGGGACACCCTGTATGATAGCCCAGTGGGTATGACATCTCCACCTAGGTCCAATAAGAAAGCGTCCATGTAAACAAAGCGGAATGTCGTTTTGTCTAAAGGGCTATTGAGGTTGATGTTGAAATTTCACGAAGCATGATGTGTGCAGGTACAACATGCAAAGTGACTATCTGTGAAGACTCAATCATATCTCCAAAATGGAGGTGATCCTGAGAAAAAAAACAGCTGTTATCTCTGTCTCTATCAAATTCTTCACAGAACCTCGCTTTTAGAGACAATTACTTCACATGGTTTGTCTGCAAACTTTTTCCAAGCTGTACAGGGTGAGTAAAAAAAAAAACGAAACCCAAATGTTGGGACCACTTTTTTAGGGAAGTTTTGCATAAAGCACTTCCAAAATCTAGGATATGAAAGCCCAATTCATAAGCTTTCTTTTAGTACAAGAATCATTCAAATCACTTACGTACTTTACAAGTTACAGAATTTTAAACACAAACACTGTTTTAAGGTTCTGTTCCAAGGATCACAGATAAGGTGTGCGTTCTTTCTGCAAAACGAAAACAATTCACACACATCCCTATGTGATTTGTTTTCGTTTTGTTGAAAGAACAATGAACTTTTTTGTGATCCGTAGACAGAACCTTAAAATGGTGGTTGCGTTTAAAATTCCGTAACTTGAAAAGTACATGAGTGATTTGAATGATTCTTGTACTAATAGAAAGCTTATGAATTGGGCTTTCATATCCTAGATTTTGAAAATGCTATATGCAGAACTTCTTGAAAACAATGGTCCCAACATTTGGGTTTCGTTATTTTTAACCACCCTGTATATGCTCCTTCGTGCAAAGCTTCCATTCACACATAAGTTAATGGAAATTGAATTTTTGAATTTTGTGTGTACTTCTTTAAATGAGCTCTTATATAAATATTTTTTTCAAAAGAAGCCAATATAAACCAGATATCAGTTTGAGACTCTGTTTCTCCTATGCATATGATGTGTTTTCATAAGTCTGTTTCCTAAAAGTAGCCTTTCTAAACTTTATAACTGCAAATTTTTCACACTGAATTTCCCAGAGGAATTGCCCAAAGACCCACCAAATAAAAGTATCTTTAAGGCAAAGAGTCAAAACATCTACACATAAAAAGAGTTTGTAAATTTTTGAAAGAAATGACAGGAAGTAACAGAAAGTAGCTTTACCTGCTGATTTCACATAGATGGCAATTTTGCCATCACTCATGAGGGCGGCCATCTTGTTGCTATGGGGAGGCGGAGCAAAGCACACTTGATTGACAGGCTTGGGAAGGTGCATTGTGTAGGCAGAAATTGGGGGCGGAACCACCATTTTCCTGAATGGGGTCATCAAGACCTTATCTGTGAGTAAATCAAAAATGTACATGAGTATTCAAAAGTTCATGAATTCATTCTTTTATTTCAATTCCTTAGGCCAATTTCTTTAATTACTTGGATTACGGATCTGCTGCCGAAAAAAAATTGGAAATAAAAAATTGCCACTCAAAAATTACACTTTTGATAACCAAAATATAAAATTTGAAAAAAAAAAAACAACCAAAAACTTACCTTCCAAGTAGTAATCACAAGTTTTTAAATTTACTTTTAAATTGCAATCCCTGCATCTAACCTAAAGAATAGAGAAAGGAATCGCGTACATTTCCATACATAGGCCTACCACCAATAAGCATGGATCCTTGATCCACGCTCATTGCATACAGCGTGTTTGTGTTCTGGTTCCCGTCACCAAAAATATCTTAGGCAGTACGGACAGAAACCAGCTGAACTAGTGGGCCACGTTGCCGATGTCATTGACTGATCAATGCACACATGCCTTTCAATATTTAGCGACAAAATATTTCAGAAAATAAATACGAACCAAACATCGTTTGCAACAAGATAAAAAAAGACGACTTTTGCTAAGTCTGCAAACTTGTGCCATTTACTGTTAAAGAGAATATACAACATTTGCAAATATCGAAAAATACTAAGTAGTTTTTACAAAATGCCTTACTAGGATGTTGGTAAATGACAGCCTAAAGCATCCTGTAAAATTATGGCACCAGGTGTGAAGTCATTTTCAAGAAAATGGTATTTTTGTATACATTTTCATGTTCATTAAAGGGAATGTACATCATTGGCTTTTGCTGTAATTTTCAGAAATGAACTATTTGGGGGGTTAGTATAATAGATCAAATATTGTTGCACTGACATGTTTGACGTTTTGTGTTCAAAAATGCTGGAAAAACCAAGAAAAACAAAAATATTCAAGTAGTCTGGTTCCCTGACTCCACAAAAGATGAAATGGATCAAAAATACCGGAAAATTGTAAGGTAAGGGAACCAGTCTAACTGGCCTGCACCCGTTCATGAACATGGAACCAATAGCTAGCTAAACAAAATTTAGACTAAAAAAAAATGGTAAATTTGAAGCAGTAGGCCTAATTGAAAAATAGTTAGGTTTTTCCAACGGTGGTCGGCCGACCAGCGTTGGAAATGTATACAAATATAACATTTTCTTGAAAATGGCTTCACACCAGGTGCCATAATTTTACAGGATGCTTTAGCATGTCATTTACCAACATCCTAGTAAAGTATTTCGTAGCAACTTGGTAGTTTTATTTTTCGATGTTTGCAAATGTTGTATTTTCCCTTTAACGGGTGCAGAGCAGCTAGACTGGTTCCCTTACCTTACAATTTTTCTGGCATCTATAAATTGATTCATTTTATCTTTAGTTGAGTCAGGGAACCAGACTACGTGAACAATTTTGTTTTTCTTGGCATTTTTCCAGCATTTTCGAACACAAAATTTCAAACATATCAGTGTAACAATATTTGATCTATTCTACTAACCCCTCCAATAGTTCATTTCTGAAAATTACAGCAGGCAAATGATGTACATTCCCTTTAACGCAGGGAGTCTCTACTTAGAAGTTTCCGAAGAGGACTCAGTTACAACACTGGCTGCATTTTTCTACACCTACCACCATCTATTACAGCAACGTATGCGTCATCACTGCAATCTGTCCCTTTGCTATGGTTGGTGGCCCAGGACCATGTATACTGCAGGTACCTGGCAGACTGTGTGATGATATGCAGTCGATATCCATGTTCCGGGTCCCACTGCATTGCAGTCAGCCTATCAGAGGCCGGGAAATCCAGGCTTTGCTTCAGGTACCAGTGGTAGTTGCCCACCGTCCATAACTGAACTGCAAAATGACAATTAGTGAAAATAAAACCAAAATTCTTGTAATCCTCCCTGCGCAAGTGATGGAGTTTGTAAAGGAATTCGGACATGAATATATAGTAAAAGGCTTTTTTGGTCTTAGTACTGCCACTTTTACGAGTAAATCAGGGCCTTTTGGTTCCATAAGTTAGAGCAAAACAATGACGTCACCTTAAGCACAAGTTGAATTTAGTGTTTATTCTCAGCGCAACTATCAACGTTAGGCAAACTTGTGCTTTCACGGCAAATATTCATACTATAGACTTGCAAAAAAGTTTGCACATTTCTCTCATGCACATTTTGCTACAAGTATTTCTGTACAACACAAGTCGCTACACATGAATATGGACATGGTCCAATTTCATGGAACTGCTACGCACAGAAGTCTGCTAAGCACATATAAGATGTGCTTAGCAAAACAGGTTACCAGCAACAAGCTAATGTCATGGTTATTGCTGTTGACTGGTACTCTGCCAATTTTGGCTAAGCACACAAATTTGCTAAGCAGTATTTTAAGCTTTGCTACTCCATGATATCTGTCTAAAACAGGCTTCTAGAGCTACGGCTTCGTCCGTTGTTCCCAAGTAGTTGTTACTGTCTAAAACCTAGGCAACAGCCCTAGACAAGAGATTTGGAAACAGCCTTAAGTACCGAGGCTGTGCCACTGGGTTTTTCTGTACAATGCTGGATTTTGAAGGATGTAGGAATGTTTGAAGTAAAAGCGCCCAGGGTCTTAGTGTTCCAACCGTACCGTATGAGCAGGGAGCTTGCCCAGCTTCACTGTGGAGGTCCTCGAGCCACACAGCCATGACAGAGGATTCTGTGTTCCAAAGAATCTCACAGACCTGCAGGAAATATTTTAAAAACCTGACAAATTAAAAAAAAATAAACCATACCAATGAAACTGATTAAGTTTTTTTGTGATGGAAACCAAGGATTCCTCAAAAGTGCCCTAGGCACTGTAGCTTGCAAGCCTGGAGAAATCCGTAGAGAGAAGACAATGAGAAAAAAAATGAGTTTTAGAGGTGGGAGGAAAATCCCAGAAGAATATTCTGTGGGACCCCACGGAATCAGGCAGGGACTGAAAACCCAATCCACATATTGGCCCAGGTGGGTTTCGAACCCGGGTCACAGCGGAGGAAGAAATGTACGCCAACCTGACTTTTATAACTTGAGTGCCGTCCAAGAGCTTGATCATAAGGGACAAGAACCCACCACCTCCTTAATAGTGCAGGTGTCTTAGCTTGTCAGGAGTACAGTTTTTTGCCATTGACTGGCCGTCATGTAGATACTTAGTTTAACACACATGCTAAAAAACCCAGAATTGATTACAGCAAAAACAAAACTTCTTGCTATTTTTCTGCTCAAGCATCAAAAGAATAGCACGAAACAAAACAACCAGGGCCCAATTTCACGGCGCTGCTAAGCACACGATTTTCTGCTAACAGAGCCTCCGTCTATTTCATGGAGACATACCGTAAGCATAAGCACAGCAAAAGGCATGCTTACTTCAGAGGAAAAATTTGCTTAACTTAGTGATGTAACAATAGAAATCTCCATGCACGTGCGACCGTTAGCACACACACGCCGTGAAATAGTGCTTAAGGTTAGCAAATTTTTCTGCTATGCTAAACACAACTTTTCTGCTAACTGTTAAGCAGCGCCGTGAAATTGGGCCCAGATTCTTACTTTGAAGTGGCAGTAGAAACAGTAACGTTGCTGATACTATTGGTAATAAACACCAAACAAAAAAAAGAAGTCCACACTCATTGGAGGGGTCATAATTTTGAATCTGATCGTCTTATGATGACGTCATTTATATAGACCTTTGGGGAATTTCGCTAGCTACATTTTGATACCCCGTTTGCTACCAAAGACTGTAAATCATCCAACATTGACAAGGCTTACGAAAAATGATCCAGTTTAATTAAAAACTTGCAAATTTAACGAGTTCGCAAGTGGACAAAACAGTTTCAGTTCTATTGTAAAGCCATTTAAATTAAACACAGTAGGTTACTGTTTTCCCTGAAAACTCCGGGACTTGACATACCTTGACTGCCATTTTGTCAAACGGTAGGGTAAATTCCCCATGTCTGAGGCCGTTCTTCTCAAAGAAGATGACATCGTGACGGTCCTCTAGCCTTTGGCTGACAACTATCAGGCTCCCGGATGGTCTACAATTCCAAAAGGATTTTACTGTTAAGTTATTTTCTTCAAAGAAGAAAATTAATTTAGCTACACATACACTAACACACAAGGGGTCCAGTAGTTGCTAATACTACTACTACTACTTAAAAAGCTAGTTTGCACAAAAACTTGCTTGTTTTAGTGCATTTTAATGCCGCTCAGAATTCTTTCGCAACTTTACCAACAAACAAATTAACCGATTTACCGATGAAAAGCACACCAAGCAAAAATATGACTGGCGTGCAACTGTTCTGTTTATAAAAAATGCTGTACTTCTGAGGAAATTTGAATTTGTTGACACAAATAAGTAGTAAGATGACCTGTAAAGGGGCAAGGCCAAAAAAAAAATAGTTCTGCTTCCGATTACATGGCATTCGAAAATAGTGTAGGGTAGGTAGGGAATTTTTTGGGTTTTTTTGCCAATTTTTTTGTGTACGGTTATATGGAGGCCTCTGCGTGTAGTAAAGGGTAAAAGGTATAAAGTGATGCTCTTGGGTGTTCTTTTCTCATTTTTCCAATAAAAAAAAATAGGGTAGGGGCTGTCAGAATAGGGTAGGTAGGGAAACCGGAAGCAGAACTATAATTTGTTTCGGCCAAAGGAATAATGTTAAAGGGGCATTACTGACTGAAATCCCCGAAAATGTAATGCTTTGGATTGTTTACTTATCCTTTTTCAAAGGTGTGGCTGAAAGGAAACTAACCTAATGTCTTACCGTTCCCAAGAAAAGAAGGAAAAATCTGGTTGTTTACATGGGACATGGCGGACATTTTGTGGCATAGGCATACGCATATCCAGCCGTTACCATTCAATGTACGGTACACATAATTCACATTTTAAAGTCAAAATGTTGACCCCGGAACTTCGTTCTCACATGGTTCTCGCAAGAATAACACAAAAATGCCCAGTTTTTAAAGGATGGTGGTGTGGACGTTCCTACTTTTAAATGCTCTTTCCACTTTTAACATCATTTCGTTTAAAACGCATTTTGTAGCCCAATTAAGCGCATTTCATCACGTATTGTTAGTTTGGACATTGCCTCTCTTCTTTAAAAAAATGAGTCGAATGTGGACAAAATTGAAAAGGGTTTCTCATATTTTATGGAATTTGCGTTATATAAATGAATTAATTATTGTAACAAGAGCCGAGTGTTGCCCACTCACTTCCATGACAAGGCCTGCTCTAAACCATTCAGATCTTCGCTGGTGTACTGTAAGATACAGTCTCGACTCCAGATCCTCAGCTTACGTACTCCTTAGAAAACGAGGAGGAAAGAAGTGACAATACGGAGAAAGTCATGAACACTAAAAAAAGAAACAGACACATGTTGCCATCTTCATAATAATAAGGAGTAACCCTAACCATCCCAAATCCTCCAAAATCCTTTTTGCAAATTAGAGGAATTTGCAGGATTGTGGTTACATGGCAAAAGTGTGTTGCTGATTTCAGAGGATGCACTGTGTCAAGGTCTTGGGCCGGACCTTGTGTTGTTTATGCTCAGCCATGCATCAATTTAGTCCTTGATTATACTTGAAATCCTCCACACTGCTCCAGGATGTCACTGCCTCTGCCTCAGCCTATTGACAGTCATAGCCGGAGGATTTTGCAGGATTCAGGCAGTGGTCACCTCTCCACGGACCATATTCAAGAAATCAAGGAGGAATTTGCAGGATTGAGGCTATGTGCTATTTTTTCATGAGGTCAATTGGAGGATTTTGCAGGATTGAGGCTACATCCTAGCAAAAAGGCCTAGGGAGTTGGGGTTAAATTACACTGATTTTTGAAAGGCTTTTGTTCAGTGCCAAGCAAAAGTGATTGATTACTCTGGTTGGGAAGTTACAGCATATTGCAAATGTCATTGAGACAAACCCAGATTTGGTGTTTCAAATGGTATCAATAGATAACTTTAACTTTACACATAACAAAGGTCTTAAACCTGACTTTTCGGGACTAAGTAACTAGGGCTGTCCCAAATATACGGAATATTCATATATTCAATCATCAAACCGATTATTCGAATAGATTTTTGCCGGCTTGAATATTTGAAATAAAAAAAAGTACGCAAATACAAACACGACTGTGATGCTAGTTTATTGTAAAGTTGCGGTGTTTTATTGTTAAGTGCCATTTTTTGTCAACGGTGATTTTTTTTGTGAATGTCGATTCATCGTTCATATCCTTTAACAAGGTTAAAGCCCTTTACAATTATACAATATTTACTGCACAACACTCATGCGCTCCATAGCGATTGCTGCACGCAAATGTTAACTGGCAACTTTTTACCGGCGCAGCATGCAGTTGCAGTTAGCAGTATACAAATATTGGGTGGATCAGCGTGGATTGGCAGGAATATTATCGCAAGGTAAAATCTGGACTTTTCCATTTCACGAGGCGAAGCCGAGTGAACTGGAAAAGTCCAGATTTTACCGAGCGATAATATTCCTCCCATTTCACAATTGAAAGCCACTCAATATTTGTTTTATATAACTGACTTATAGATCCTTGGCATTTGATATATTTGAACTTTTATTTCAATACAAAATTGGTGAAAGTTGTGTTTCTCTCTTCCAAATCACCCCTTCACGAAAATGTTTGAACCCAACGCTGTAGCGCTGGCTCTTTGGAACAATACGCACTACGCGCAACGCTGAACGCGTACACCAGCATGCATTTTGCACACAAATACCGCGTCATGGAACAAGAGTGATCCTAACTGTTCAATAGAGTAGTAAGGGAGGCGGGGGTGCTGGACTTTTGTCATAGGTCTGTGGGTAGTACAGGGCCATTAATGAGAAGTCAGGGTACCAGACTTTGTCATAGGTCTGTGGGTAGTATAGGGCCAATGGGAAATCCCCCGATCTCAAGAAAAAAAAAAAAATAAAAAAAATAAATCTAACGGAGAGAGTGAGAGAGAAAAATCTGTCGTCGCTAAAATGAGGGGAGTCTAATTATTTATAAATCTAAAAGTCTAACCTCAAAAAAAAATGAAGAAAAAATATTATATTTCTATAATAAAATGGAGAGTAATATGTTTAGACCGACCGTCAAAGGATATTCTAAATGGAACAAAGCCACGCTGCGTGATTACGTACAGCGGTATAATATACCGCACAATGAAAATGTTTCTCTTACTCGTAAAGTTTACATCGAGGGGATAAAACATTATGAAAGTAAATTTAAAAACTTGAGGAAAAAGACACTACATGAGCTCAAACAGATTGTAGACGAACACAATCTAGAATACGTACCGACGGGTTATAAAGGACGAGTTTTGAAAAAAGATTTAATCTCGGCGATTAAAACATACAGACAACCCGAATACTTTACAGAGTCAGCTTTTAGAGAAACGAGAAGGTTTAGAAATTACTACAGAAACTGGGAATTAAACCCCAGACTTTATAACCACGATTTAATCAAGTTTTTTGATTCGCACAAGGAACAAATAGTCAATAAAATCAAGTCTGAATTGAGAGAGCTGAGAGGTTTAAAAATGGAGCTCACAATCAAAATAAAATACGAAAAAACCAAACCGGATGGTACGATCGAAACGATCGAAGCTATTCATTATAGCAAGCAAAAAGCCGTTTTAAATCAAAGTCAAATAAAACAGGCTTTAAAAGAAGAGATCGAAGAGCTATTCAAAAAGGATGAAAGGTATACGAATCAAGGATCGGGTTGGGTTTTAAAAAAGATAATGGCGTTATACATCAACATCAACAGATATAATCCAGCGAGAGGTAGTTCCTACATAGACCTACCCGAATATCTTAAAATTAAGAAGGCGATGATCAACATCAAAAACAAAGACGATGAGTGTTTGAGATGGTGTTTGAGAGCTGCTCTTGAGTTGTATACGGATAAAGTAAAAAATCAAATAAGAAATAATCCTAATTATAAAATTCATAAAGAAGAACCTGTTGTATACACCAAAGACGACGGACTCAGTTTTAAAGGCGTTGACTTTCCGACACCGGTCGATCAGATACCCAAGATAGAAAGACAAAATAATTTATCGATAAACGTATATGGTTATGAGGGTGAGATATATCCATTATACGTGTCTAAAAACTACAAGGGGAAAGAGATCGATCTGCTTTTGATTTCTAAAGGTGACAAGCATCACTATTGTTGGATAAAAGATTTTACGAGGTTGATATACGACGTTACGAAACATAAATGTAAGAAATATTTTTGTCGAAGATGTCTTTGTCATTTTACCAATCAAAACAAATTAGACAAACATATCGCCGATTGTAAGGGTATAGATACACATCCATCAAAGATTGTATTTCCTCTGGGTAAACCAAAATACATAGACGGGCAACCAAGTGAAGAGAGAGACGTACCGATATTAGAATTTAAAAACTATAGGCACAAACAAAAAGCACCATTTGTCATTTATGCCGACTTTGAATCCATATTACAAACAACAACATCCACAGATAAAGAGACAAACACAAAAAAGATTAACGTTCACAAAGCTAGCGGTTATTCGCTAGTTGTCGTCCGATGTGACGGTAAAAATGTATATCAAGAGACTTATAGAGGTAAAGACGCTTCAACTAGATTTATAACGACGTTGTTACAATTACAAAGCGATATTAATTGCCTATTTGAAAAACCCCAAACCATGAAATTTAACGAGCGAGCTAAAGATCATCACGATAAAACAAACGCGTGTTGGATTTGCGAAAAACCAATTTATACCAATTATTCGAGCAACTGTCAGTGCCAGAACCCCAGAGAACCCAAAACGATAAAACAAAAGAAAGAATATCAGTACAAAAATAGTAAGGGATTTATTGAGTCTAAATGTCTCGACTGTAACAAGAACATTAATAAATTTAGAAAGGTGAGAGATCACTGTCACGTCACTGGTAAATATAGGGGTGCCTCACACGCTTATTGTAACCTCAAACTACAAATTAAACCCGGTTGTACACCGATACCAGTCTTTTTTCACAATTTACAAAATTACGACGCGCATTTAATCATGCAGGGAATGACAGAATATGATAGTCAAACAGAAATACAAGTGATCGCTAAAAATTCAGAAAAGTATATTTCGTTTTCAATAGGAAATCTACGATTTTTAGACTCGTTTAGTTTTATGGCATCGTCGTTGGATAAATTAGTGAAAGCTTGTCCAAAAGAGTCGTTTCATCTACTCAAAAAGCATTTTAAACATTCTGACTTGCTATTACAAAAAGGAATTTATCCCTACGAATATATGAACTCGTTTGATAGATTTCAAGAGACCCTCCTACCACCCATCAGCAAGTTTTATAGCAGACTAAAAGACGAACATATATCGCAACAAGACTACGACAGAGCTAAACGCGTGTGGAACGAGTTTAATATACACAATCTAGGAGAATATCACGACTTGTACGTGACCACCGATACGTTATTACTTGCAGGCGTTTTTGAAAACTTTAGAAGAACGTGTATTACAAACTACGGGTTAGATCCAGCCAATTATTACACCACACCCGGATTGTCCTGGGATGCTCTATTGAAACACTCGGAAGTTAAACTCGAACTGTTGCAAGACGTAGACAAACATTTATTTTTTGAAAAAGCAAAACGAGGAGGTATCTCGAGCGTGGGTGGAATGAGATACCACAAAGCCAATAATCAATATCTCGATGACTACGATTCAAACAAACCCTCGAGTTATATCGCTTATCTGGATGCCAACAATCTATACGGTTGGGCAATGAGTCAATATCTACCGTACAGCGATTTTAAATGGACACCCTCGAAACCGTTTACCGAAGAAAGAATATTAACGCTGAAGAAAACGTCAAACACCGGTTACTTTTTTGAAGTAGACCTCGATTACCCGCACGATCTACACGCCAAGCATAACGATTATCCCCTAGCACCCGAAAATATGGTCGTACCCCAAGCTTGGATGTCTGATTATCAAAACGAATTATTAGATACCGAACCTAGTAGCGACGTACAAAAATTAACGTGTACCCTCTATCCAAAACAAAAATACGTGTTGCACTACGTCACATTACAATTGTATCTCAAACTTGGTTTGAAACTAAAAAAGGTACATCGCGTGTTAAAATTTAAACAAGCGCCTTGGATGAAATCTTACATCGACAAAAACACGCAACTCCGAACAAAAGCGACCTCTGATTTTGAGAAAGACTTTTTTAAGCTCATGAATAACAGCGTGTTTGGTAAGACGATGGAAAACGTTAGAAATCGAATAGACGGTTACCTACTGAGAGATAATA